ATGATTGTGAACAAAAATCAATTCACTAAGTATCTAGAATACTTTTGATAGACTTACCTAAAACAACATACTTTTAACTTTCTTCAAGATTGTCTAACTCTTCTAATCTATAACCCTAGTATATTGTGCTATATCTACAACAAACTAATGCAAACAATGTCTTGATTCTTAGAGAACTCATCCGATATTTTCATGCAAAATATAACACTTCACTTTTAATTTTTTCTTGTTGATCTACTTTTTAGTTAATGGGTTTCTCTATTTGAAAGGAATGAACACTTCAATTTTTTCTTGAGAAATCACTAATAAAGGTAAAAAAATATCTTGTTCTACCTTTTAAGACATTTTGACTATCATTTCAATGGAGAAAGTAGATGTGATCTACAATGGCCTAGTCTTCTGGATTTTTTTATGGTTGTATTAAATTTTATCATATATTTCTCAAACACATAATTTTAAGATAAATTTAATTTTTATTTTTTTAAGTAGTAAATAGATCTTACTAGATCAACTTAATCATATCTCTTTCATTTTTTGGCAACACTTCATTTTCAATATTAACTTATGATAAGTCTTCATTATCATGAGTTAACAATTAATTAATAATATAATTTTAGCCTTAACTCATGATAAATAAATTCATATTTGTGTTAAATTATGAAAAATAATTTTAGTTAGTTAATGTAAAATTTTGACTAATTATGTGATTTTATATGAATTTATATAATTTTATAATCTTATTTTTGAGATAAATAAAGAGAAATAAATTATGTTAAAATAATAAAAAAGGGGAGACCCATTAGCTAGCTGGGCCTACAAGCAAGTCAAAAGCACAGTCAAGTAGAGTTGTGAGCAAGGGCTCGAGCAGTTGAGGACGGACTGAGTAGGAGACACATGTGTGTCACTCTCCTTCCACATCATTAGTGCCAATCATGCGTGGGGCAAGGAATGATTATACACACACGAGAAAGAAATACATTGATTATCAAATCTCATATTACTATATTTCCATCTCAAAACTTAACATATAATCAATGTGGGACTAAATTGACGATCACAACCTTCTAGAAGGTTTTAATAATTTTAATACTTAAAATATCTCTTATTTTTTAAAAGAAGATACCCCTATGATGTCACTTTATAAGGGTATTTATGTACTTATTTCACTCTCTCTCATATAGGCGGGTGATTAGTCAAGGCGATGTACTTATATTTTTATTTGATTATATTATGATTTTCTTATAGATTTCTATTTAACAATTAAGCTACTATAATTACTTAATCATTGGCAAAATACTCGTCAATGCGATTCATGGAGCATCATTACTAAAATTACTTAATGATTATAAATAAAAAGATTACGAATCCATTAAATAAATCATCTCCGATTGATCGATGAATAAGTTATCATCGAAAAGAAGATGATCTATTGGGAGAGGAGTTGTCACCTCTTGAGAGCATACTAGATGTGATAAAGAGCCTCATCTTACTATGTAGACCTAAGGATAAAATTATCTAAGATGCATCCCACCTCCATCTAGTTCATCTTTGTCAGGTGACAGCTATTGAAGAGTCACAAAGTTACTGTTTTTCTACTTCATCAGATGACAGCTATTAGAGACGATTTAATGACCCACTTTATTAATTTTAAGACTTCACAAGAAGATCTAGAGATGCCTACATCATTCTTGTCTAAAGAGAGTTTTTAAAGTCATAAACAATACACAATAATCTTCTTGAACATTTAAGATTCTGATGCATTACCAACGTGACATTGAAACTATATTTTATCATTTTTAACTAGTTTAAACTTTCATTATTATTTTCTAAACTTTGAAAAGAGAACCAATAAATGTCCACGTCATTCATGTCTAAGGAGAACCTTTGAGGCCATGGACATCTTTCAATAATCCTTCTGAACTCACAAAATTCTAATAATTACTATTGCGAGGTTGAAATTCTGTCTTTCTTATTTTCAACTTAACTTTCACTTAATTTAGTGATACTTTATTTGACTTCAAGTTTCAAAATTATTTTTCATTCAATTATAATTCTTCTAGCTTTTACAAATTTTAATTTGACTAATTAAATCATCTATAATCACTTACATAAGAATAATCAAGTAGAACTTTGTTTCCATCCAATTCGCATCCGTCAACCACTGATGTCATCTGTACCCTTATTTTCCTTTTTTTAAAATTTTTAAATATATTTTATATTCATCATTTAGTTTAAAAATCATTAAAAAATTATATTGTTTAAAGAAAATTCTTAAATATTATCCTCTTACATCTTTGTGAAATATTTTTGGATCCTTTTATTGAATTATAATTAATTTATTTTTTCTAAAATATTTCTAAAAATCTAAAAATTAGTATTTTCTAGTTTTATATATTTTAAATTCGTGTGATTTATTATACAATGACTAAGCCACGTCAACTTATATTTTGATTTAAACTTGTTCCTTTTATCAAAATATTTTTATTTTCCTCTCAACATTGGACCATCTTCTTGATCTCTATCATGAGTTTCAAGTAAGCATCATTTTAAATCATAGTTTAAGGAAGTCTTGACATCTTCCATAAAAATATGATCTGTCTCATTTAGCAAAGTATCAGCAAAGTGCTCACATGAAACATGTAATAAACATAAGAGTACAAGAACTTGGTACTTTTCATCAACTTTAACACCAATATTGTCAATATCTATAACAATTTTAATAAACTCTGTTAGATGGTATGTAATGGGTGGACCTTTAATGCGAAGAGTGAATAACTATTTTTTTTGATATAGATACTTTGTGAGGCTTTTTTTATTAGATATTGACTTGAGATTGAAACAGATTTTTTTAAAAACATCTTCATCAATCTCTTGTAGCACCATTTGTTAAGTTTAAATGAATCACATCAAAAGCACATTCCATGTACTCTTCTTTCTCTTCACATTTCCACCTAGCTAGTAGAACTTTTTTGCCTTTAATATTTTAACATGCCTTGCTAGATTAACACTAACTCTATCTTTAGCATCCATATGTTGAAATCATTCATCTTTCCTTTGAATGCTTCAATGCCAATCTTCGTTACTGATATTGAATTTGTTGTCATGAACAATGAACATGGAGTGAATCTCACCCAAGCTTTGATATCAATTTTTTGGAGACCTCTAATGATCACTCTTGATAATAGAGTAAGATCTACTTGACTCACAAGACAAAAGTAAGTAGAGGGAAGAATAATTTGTTGAGTTAGGATTAACTCAATTAAAATGTGATGATTTATTAAAAAATTTAGGTAAAATCATTCCTAATTCAAAATCATGAAATTTTACATATTAGATGTGAAATTATGATTGAAGGTTAATTTATTCCAATTAGTAGATTGATTCAATTTTCGATCTTGATTATTAGATATTAAGTCTCACCTATAATTCAACTCTCATTAAGGGTAAAACAGTTCGATGTTTCTTGATTTATTTCATGTTTAAATATTTTAACATATATTAAAAAATATTTTAAAAATGACAATTTTATTTTATGAAACATTAGTAATCAATTGACCCCAGCTCATGATTCATCCAACTTAGGGACCAACATAATCAACCCACTTTAATGGGAAGATTTATATGGTTTGGAAATTTTCCTCTATATCTACAGCAACAATGATGTTAGGCTAAACTAGATATGAAGAAATTTATTTGAGACTTTCACCCCCAACCACTTGGAGCAATCTGCGGCTCTCCTCTCTTTATTACAAAGGAACATGGGCATGATGTCACCTCCAATCAGGATTTGATAGTCGGCGGGTTTCACCTCCTCAGCCAATAAGACAAGCGGCGTTATGTGTTCAGCCAACAGGAAAAGCACTGTTCTCTGGACAGCTAGCAGGACACACGGTGCTCCTTCCCCAACCGGACTGACAGCACTCCTTCCTCAGCCAGCAATGCAGACGACGCTGTGTTACTCGAGAACGCCTACATCTCCATTCTCTCGTCCACCTCTCTCTCTCTCTCTCTGTCTGACTCTGTCTTCGAGGAGAAATCAAAATACTCCAGACCATGGTGGAATGGTTGGAATGGTTGGAAGCTCTACATGCGGCTCAGTCACACCATGCGGAAGCTCTCTCTGACACCATGCGGCTATCTGTCTACATGGAAGCTCTCTCTGACATCTCCATTATCATACTCCAGACCATGGTGGAATGGTTGAAGCTCTACGTGCGGCTGCAAGTTGGGCAATCAGCCACACTCGTGGTTCGTGGGCGGATGATCTGGATGTTGAAGAACTACAGGAGTCAGTGGAGACTCGCAGGAGTAAATGTGTTTACACTTGAGAAAAAATAGAGGCCATGAAACATAAGGGTCAACCTCGACAGCATAAATTTCCACCCCTATATAGAGAAGATAAGAAAAAATTAAGGGATACCCCTATATTACATGTTTGACGAGAAACTTCTGGGGGTCAACGTGCGTAGTTTGCTGATGACAATTTTGAACAAAATGGAAAGCTAAAAAAGCTACGAAATTGATCCATTTTGGGGACATTAGAGGATAAATTTTCAACAACAGCGATGAGAAGATCTCCAACGATAGAATATCGAAGCGTGGTTCTCAAGCTCAACAAAATCAGTCATGTAAATCCTGCAAGCATCATCAAGCTCATAAGATTTCCAAGAAATGTAAACTATGAATGACTTATTTGAGCTTAGAACAGCATCCTAATCCGTCTAGAAAACATTTCATTTCCTAAATCCTGTTTTTTGTCCAAGCGTGCAATTGGGCAATATTTAAGGAGTTAAAGTTGGTATCCTGAAAAAGCTAACTCAGTGATGTAAGATATAATTTTTCTATCGGCAAAGTAAATCTAAATAGGTTTGTGAGAAACATAAGGAAATATAGCCAAGGAGCAGCTTCAGAGTGGACTGGGTCAAAAATTGTCCAAATTATTATAAAATTCACGGCCCCTTTCATGGTGCATGGACTTCTTACATTTTATACAACCAACCTCAGTGCGCGGCGGGACCCGGTGGGGAAACCTTTCCCCCCACGGCAACCGCCGCAGAGGAAACCCCTCCCACCATCTCCTCCAGCGCACGCCACGACGACCCGCCATCCTCCATGGCCCTTCGAGCGGCGATCCGCAGCTCCGCCATCCTCGCTGCCGCCTCTCGTCCCTTCTCCCCCGCCAGTAGCTCCCTCACCATCTCCTCTATGTCCTCCCTCTTCACCAGATCCCTCCGCGTGCCGTCCACCGTCCGAACCCGCTGGCCGATCCCGAGCTCCTCCACCACAAACTTCGCGTTTAGGGGCTGGTCTGCCATCAGCGGCAACGCGAGGATGGGCACCCCAGCGCAGACGCTCTCCAGGACGGAGTTCCATCCGCAGTGGCTCAGGAACCCCTTCACGGCGGCGTGGGCGAGCACTCCTGTCTGCGGAACCCACTCACTCGCCACCAGTCCCCTTCCCCCAGCCATCTCTGCGAACCCAGACGACTCCTTCCGCCGCTGAACCCACAGGAAGTCCGCCCCAGAATTCTCCAGGCCTGCGGCGACCTCTTCAACCAGCGCCACCGGCAGCTCCGCCTGTGTCCCAAAGGAGACATACAGAACTGGCCTGCCCTCCGCCGCCCGGGCGTCGAGCCACTCCGCACACTTTCCCCGGAGCGACCTCTCCTCAGGCAAGCCCAGTAACAGGGGACCCACACACCAGGCCTTTGTGAAGTGTCGATGCCAATGATCTGCATAAGCCGCCTCCATCTCGTAGAAACTGTTCATCACGAGCCCGAAGCTTTGCGTGTCGAATTTCTCCTGCTCGCGGACGAAGTCCCCAAGGGGGGTACTTGCACAGGGGTCGTCGAATGGCGGTGACAGGTCGCCCTTGGTGAACTGAACGTGACCGAGGCCGGGTACTTCGAAGGGCTCCCCCTCGGAGGAGATGCTGGCGTGAGGGCGGGTAATAAGTAAGAGGCTGTTTACGGTCATGGTGTGGAAGCCCATCCCGTAAGAAGAAAGCCTTCGTATGCCGAGGTCCCTGGCGGACTCTACCGTCCAGCCGAGGAAGCCGTCGGAGATGAGCAAACTGGGGCGTGGGCGGATGGCCCCGAGCGCGAGCTCGAACTCCGGCCGGAGGCGCTTAGTGGCGTTAACGAAGTCGAGGAAGAGAGACATGGAGGGGAGCTCGTCGGTGCTCTCGACCCCAGCGGGGATACCCGGATTGTCGACAGGGAATGAGAGCTCTACGATTCCCCCGGCCACGGGGTCGACGCCAACGAGGGCGGAGCGGACGTAGGGAGAGTTTCCAGGTGTGGTGAAGAAGGTGAAAGTGGCGAGTCGGCGGCGGTGGAGGACACAGGCGAGGTGGAGCAGTGGATTGATGTGCCCTTTGGACATGAAGGGGAAGAGTGCCACGTGGGGAAGGGCTGCATACGGACCCAGAGCACTGGCAATAGTATCTCGTTCCATTCCTCTCCTCATGGCTTCTAGTCGGCCGTCAGTAGGAGTTTATATCATATCGAAGCTGCGGCCATTGCAGTGGATGCTTAAGTTAGGACAAAAAACATGGACATTGACTATCCGGAGAAAAGTCTTAACCACCGGTCGGGTGATAGAGGGATAAGCAATGATCCAGGATGACATTTTAACATGTGACAAGCAAAACCCACGTTCAAGTGTATGGTTTTTGGTCAATGGAAACTAACTTTGCTATGAGCATCAGAGTAGATGATCACGTCACTGACGACAACTGGCAACGATGACAACGATGGGGTACCAGGCGTGTATGCCCGATAACAACGATAACGTTACCCGCACTGGCGGTGATGCCCATTGCACGTGGCCACCATGCTTGCTATCCAGTTACGGAAGAGGAAACTGAGACGTCGGCCTAGGTGCTAGTAGAAGAAACACGTGCAAAAAATAAAAAAAAGAAGAGAACTGTGTTACCAAATGTGATTTCCCCCCTTGCTGGAAATATTCATTTATAACTTTTCTGTGGGAAATTCTAGCCTACATAGTTTTATGCTAATAAATCATTTTTTTATTAATAATTGTGCACCAAGCAAAATTAGTGTATTGTAATATTGAATGACTAAATAATAAATTTATTGTTATAATAGATCAGCATCTATAACTAGTCTATGGAGTTATGACTTTAGATATTGGAGGGTCAATCTCTCTCAAGTTATCTCCATTTTTCTTTTCCGAGCTAACAATCAAAGAGAAATAACACTAAAAATCTTAACTCTAAACAAAACCTTCAAATCCCTTTTATTATGATTGAGTCTTCATTTTGGAGAAGATAATAGAGCCTCACTTATATTTCAGTGTCTAAAATATGGGACAGATCCTAGTATAGGCAGCGGCACCATATTTCAAAGAGGGTATCTAAGATAAGGAAAGTTGGTTTTATTAGGAGAGTATGCATAAAGTATAGGGTGACACTGCTCAGAATAGCGAAGGAGAGTATGGGACAGCAAGGGTGGTGACATGAAATGGAAAGCTGTAGGGATCCCTAAATTAAGTTTGCAATCAGGAGAACTACATTACAAGTTAGACGGGATATAATCAAGGGAGGAAATCAAGCATTAGATTCAATCTATGATCTTCTTGATTGAAACTCTTCCCATTCATTAGATAAATACGATCTCTCTGAGTGACTTTCACATCAATTGGCATGCGTTTCTCAAAAATTAGACACTTATATCTCTAAAACATTTCTTATCTAACCAATTTAGTGTGAATATAGGTGATTTCTTATTTCTAATCTTAATTTTTATACTATATACTTGATGAAATAATATTTTCACTACTGCCACTTTAATTAATTATAACATCATATATTGTGATTAATGCATGGTAGTTGAAATATGCTATGTTACTAGAGATGCTCTTATTTCCTTAATGTATACATGAGCCTCATAATCACTGAATGAGATAGTGCTTCTTTGATGTCAAATTAAGGAAGTGTTCTCTTGAAGTGTTCCTTGTCCTTTGCCTCATCATTCTCTTCTCTATCAATTGCTTACATGAAATTTATTGTACCTTAGAATAAATATTTTATTTGTGGTCCTTCTCATTGTATTTATCACATTTCTAAGGATTATTTGGTAGATACAATCTTTTGGCAATGCACCATGACCAATATGTCTTACTTTACTAGATTTTGGTAAAACAATTGTTATCTTGTGTACAATGATCATTGCACAAGAAACAATAGTTGCCTTTGACCTCACTTGTAAAATATTACTAGATTTCTAAAGATTTAGTTCTGAACCTTTCTAGTAAAGATCTAGCATATTTTGATACCATAACAACATCAAAATCACTTTTCCTTTAATATCTTATTTGAGACCACTCTTAAATTTTGAAATCACATAGGATCCTATTTCTATCAAATTAATTTGGGAGGATAATATGTAAATTTCTTCTACAAATTATTTCATAAATCTAATTTTTTTTATTTTGATATTATTGGTATACCATTTATTCATGATATGGTAGAAGAAATAGATATTTCAATAATTTATTTGTCTTGAACTATATAGAAACAGAGTTTTTGCCCGATCTTGTTCATGTTTCCTAGATTTGTTCTCTCCATGTTTATGTGCCACCCTTTAATTTATAAGATACAAACTTTACTTGGTTTTCTTCTTAGATCGTTATATATTGAAAACAAACACTCAACCTTAGCCAATCGATTCATAAATTCTTTCATACACAATTCCTTGGTAAACTAGATAAATCAGTTTTCATTCAAAAATGATTTAGATCAACCTCCTCAAATCTACTTCTCATACTTCCAAGTATAAATAAACAACAATGATTATAGCTAATGAAATTTTTTTAGTTCGCTATCTCTTTGAAGAATAGCTCATATCATTTTTATTTCGTTAACTATTGTCACATGAATTTTCTTATTGTGACCCCTTTCAATAATTTATTTCATTCTTTCATATAGATCTTTAAATTTATTATTATTATTTTTTAAAACTCAAACAAAGGTAGCCTAGAAAAAGGGCATGACTTGATGAATTTAAAGCTGAAAATCTCACTTTGATACCAATGGATGAAATATGAGTCGTGTGAGAAGGAAATTTCACCCTTAAATCTACTAGACATTAAATTTCAAACATGAAACCAAATATTTAATTCATAAAACTAGGAACCTTAAATCTTGAAAGGTTTACTGAATTGGCACATGAATCCACAAGGATCAAAATATTCCACTGAATGCAAAAGGAGGTAGAATTGACAAGTTGAGAGAGAAGAAACCTCAAAGAAGAAAATTTCAAATTAACTCAAAATGGTCGATTACACATGAGTGCCTTTCAATACCCTAAATTTCTATTCGGGTTCCCCTAAAAACGTGAACTAGTTTTAGTAGGACTTTCAAGTAGATTTAAATCACTTTAAATAATAAGTCATAACAAAAATGCACTAAAAATAAGAACATGAGCTTATTATCTATGTATTTCTCACATGTTTTAGTAGGGGCATAATATAATGATAAGGCGATTGTTAATATGAGATATAAGGACTGCTACTACAAGCAATACTACACCTTTGATCGTGAAATATCGATTGCTTGTTGAATCCTGTTAATCACGTGAAAGTAGCAAAATTCGGGGGTTAAAGATTTTCATAAAACGTCACAATTTGGGGAGGGATCTTTTTTTATATAAGGAAAAAATTTCTACTCCATCCGACTAGTTCTGGGTTCGAGTCCCAGGCAACCAATACATAAAATGGAAAAAGACTCGCCTTTATAGCCATCCTTTCAAGTTTCCATTGTCTAAACACACAAGATTATATTAACCATGTCACATGTGGGCACATAATATAATAACATTTATGCATTTAATAAATGACTATGTAGGTATTGACTAGACTCTAAAGTGACAGCATATTTTATCATGGTAGCATGCATTTCTTTATTGCCAATTGGTACATTAATCATTAATGATTAGATTTTTTATAGACCTACTTCCTCATATAGTTGAGGTAGAAGAAAAGAAGGTGGCTTGTATAACATTACCCACTGTAAATTGTCACACATCCCTACGCCTTTTGATTTTTCACATATATTAGTAAAAAATCTCTTTTTTTCCTTCAAAATTTATCATTCTCTTGGGATATTAGCATATTATTGAGTGAAATACACACTAAGCTAAGGACAACTATATTAGCATAGTAGCCAATTGAAATTGTGACTCATGCAAGGATGAGCCAACAAGGTGGAAGTATATTGACAGCTTTCTTGATTGAAGCTACTTTTTTCTTCTTAGACATTGGTTCTAAACAATTATTTTAGGAATCAAAATGTCTAGTCTTTATTTTTTCATTTAATTATTATTAATAAATAAATATTATTAATATAGGAAGCTCATGAAAATATAGGATGAGTGAAGAAAAGCATGGTCATGAGAATTAATTTTTGACTTAAAAGAAATTAGATTCCAATTAAGTACCATTCTTTTAGGCTAAATATATTTTTCATATTTGACAACAAAACAAGGTTGGTTGTTGGGGCACACACAATGCATGCCTACATAGGAACAATGAGCGTTTAATTTGATCCCCACCCACGTCTTAGAAATAATATTAGGGTTTGTTTATTTTCTGTGAGTTATTTCAATGTTTAGACAATTATTAGTGACATTAAGGTCCTTGTTTCTGAGAGTATTGTCGATGCAGACTTATTTCGGTGATATAATCTACATAGCTTGGAACGCTAGAAACCTTTGGGACATTTTTCATACTTGTAGATTTATTTGGGTATTTCAGAGATTATGTATTAGCCCAAACTGCCCCTAACAGCAGGCAGAGAGGGCCTTCCCGGTGCTGGCGCCCTGTTTCTCCCTCGGCCGGTCGTCACCCAGAAGGGCTTCTTCTTCCGCCGCCACCACGACGTTTCCATTGGCTACACGCCGACGAGCGACGCCGCTCTTCCCCCGAAGCGCCGTCTGTGGGTCTCTTGCCTGCCGGCCGGCAACTCCGGCCGCTGCTGCTGCTGTTTAGGCTGTACCCAGCCAGCGCCATTGCTTCTTGTTCTCTCTGGGTTTTCGGGAACCGCTCGCGTAGAACTTGAGGTAATCTCGCATCTTGTCATCCCTCTCTCTCTTGCCAGAATGCGTTGAGTAGGGCCCCTTCTCGAACCCATCAACCAACCATCACCTTACTTTTATCCTGCTCGTGGTGGTGGTGAACAATCTGATAGGTGGAGTCTTATGCAGTTTATTGAAGCAGCAATCTTGAGCCTTTTTTCTTGAATCATCATCTGAAATTCGTTTACTCCTTGCACTGGCTACATGTTTGTCACTTTGTTTTTAAAGTGGATAGTGCCTCAAGGTCATTAACCAAAGGGAATATGTACAAGTTTCTGAACCTTGAGTCATCGTCACTATCGTACGCCTAGACGGTGTTGAGCAAAAACAAGATATCTGAAGATCCATAAATGAGATTTTTTTTTCTCTTTCAAACCTCTCCTTTTTTATGGAAAAGAGGGTTTCCTTGTCAGTTACATTACCAATGAAGATGTTGGGGAGCCTGCTTTTTATTGCTCCTGGCTTAGATTTCTTGCAAAGAAAGACAGCAGGAACTCTCACTTTTTTTTTCTGTCCAGTATTAGTAGTAAATGTCTCTCACTGACGGTGGTCTCAAGTGTGTCCACAGAACATTCGTTGCCATGTGTTCAGACCAAATATCAATTCCATTTCTTTATAAAATGTCATAGATTGATGCTACATGTTCTGAAACACTGCAGCTATTAAGATTCTGATTTCCAACACTAAAGCGGAGTATCACTTTTGACTACTAAGCTTTTATGTTGGATGTTCTTGATGCTAGCAGATAAATGCTTTACTTCCCAACTCATGAATGGGTGCGCTTGTCTAGTTTAAGTCTTTACTTATTTCCCCTGTATGCATTGTTGTGGTTCCCTCTGTTTGTTATCAATTACATTTTCTGGGAATTCTCTCGCTCTTTCTACGTCATGGATTGTAGTGGTTGTTTTCTGCTGGTCCGATTTTCAAAATTCCGCTAGTTGTGTTGATTTTTTCCATTTTTGTTGAAATCCTAAACAAATATAATGCCCACTTGCATCACTTGCTTCAGAAAGCCATTTTTCTGGTAACAGTGTATTTCTTTTTCAGGCCTTCATCTTTTTTCTTATGTCACTTGGTTACGTCCCAATCATCAACACCATGAAGAAGGAAAATAAGGTTAACTCTAAGGTGTGTGGAATTCTTGCATTTTATCTTTTCCTAAGTGACTTGTTAATCAAGATAGGGTGTAAAAGAATTTAATTTTTGGGTTTATTTCGACATTGACTTCTAAGCGTTTGGAGAAATGTGACCTACTTTTTTAAAGTTTTATTTTGGAAGAATGCTTTTGAGTCTTAAATTCAATGCTTGCTCAGAATATGTTAGAAAGGGATATGGAAACTCAGGCTGAGGTCCTCTTAGATTTCCCTATTATTAAGTGGGCTAATTTCAGTGACCCATGTCATTATCATCCTTATCCATAAGTCACGATATAGATTTGTAGACACAATATCTCTAAGAAGAAAACGCTTTGTAGAGTAGGGCACATGAAAATGAGGAACCATTTCAGGAAAGCGCCTATATCTATACTTGGTCTTAACATATAACATCTTCTTGTACATGAACGATGGATTTTCCCATTCTTTGATTCATAGCGTCCTAGCGTCCCATTCATCTTGAGTTTTTGATATACACCAGTCTTTTGATTTAAAAGTTGATAATGCCATGATTAAAAAATGGAAGGTTTAGTAATCCACATGATCCTCTTGCAGATTCCGCCTCAGATATAGAAATATTTGAAGCAATATCTTTCCCAGTGATCGATGGATCTGACATTCTCAAACAATTGAGGATTTGGAATCCTTACTCTTAGAAGTTAGCCAATTAAGGATTATTTTGTAATAGTAAAAAGTTCTCTTAAGAGGACAAGAAAATTACTGAGACATAAGTATTTTACATACCTTTGTTTCTCCTTGGAAAACCAAGAAAATGACCGTCAGAAGTCCAGAAGACTATTCATTTATTTTTATGTACTTATTTTCTCATGTGGAGTTTCAGTGATGAACAAATGTAAATGATTCTAGAATTTTTTTTGTAATGACTTCTTGACTTTCTCCATTGCTATGATTTAAATATTTAATTGCAGGACCTTTCTGATGACGTGCAAGTTATCGTCCAAAAGTATATGCGTGGGTATGGTGCTGATCTAGAGGTAGGATCATGATCATAAAGACGTTGTCTTGCCAAACTTCTTGCTTTTATTCCTTCTGCAGTGGGTCCATTCATTTAATTTTTTTGTTGGTTTAAATGTTTAACCGTACATGTTTTTATCTTCATTTCAGAGTTTAAAAGATAAAAAGCTTAAAGGCCAGCTTTCTGTAAAGGAACAGCTTTATGGCCAATCTGCGAAAGCTGCTGCAAAAACTGAGAAGGTTCACTTTATGATACTTTTTGACATACATTACTGATTTTTCCCACTATGTATCAAAATTCATGTCTTACATGGCAAGTATGCTTTTCTTGAATCCTGGTTATGTGAACCGTAGTTGCACAATTTAGCCATCTTTTATTTAGTGCGATTCTATTATTCTCTACTTACTAGGTTTATCTTGATACGTGGAATCGTTAGTTTTAAAATATCACACATCACACATTTGTTGGCGTGACCGCTGCTTTCCTTTTTTTTCTTGAATGTTGAGTGACTCTGTTCTTCCTAAGTGGTTTTTTCCCCACAATTCAGGGTGTATGTGTGCTATGAAACTGTCCTGTAATCTGTTGTATTAATTCCTCCTCTTGTGGTGACCAAATCTCTGCCTTGCTCACCAATGGGTATGTAAATCGTGACTTTTTGTGAGCCTCAGCATTTGCTGCCTTCACCCTGTCATGAGTACACAGGGAGGTAAGTTGGTAGATCAGAAAGTTCTTAATAGCCGTGAGGGAGGGATTCCAAATTAAGTAGATATATGTTTTTCTTCAGGTGTCTGAGAAGTGATATGGTGTTAAGAAATCTAAAGAATATCTGATTGACGAGCTCTGTTTGATTTTTCGCTATAAACCCCTTTCCTGAATTAGATCAAGAGGATACTTTACATGGGAGTCCATTTCTTTAGAATAGAAGGGTATTAAAATGGATGCTGCTGCAACTTTCTGGTAACTGGAGGTGGGTAAATGGCTTAATGGAAACCATAAGTTTTGATGAAAGAGAAGTTATTGTTGTCCAAGATAAAGAGCTGCTAATGTGTAAAATGAGATCCACGAAAGAAAATATGTTGCGTTTGTGAGAAAGAAATAAGTGGGTCCATAACTTATGGGTAGAGTTTTCAAGCTCTTTAAAATCGTAAATCCGAAATTGATACCTACTGGTGGCCAACAAAGAACACTAGTGGCATGAGGGGGTCATCCATGGCCTTTCAAATAGGTCTCTTAAGGCAAGTGTCTCCATTAAGCAGCCAGGCACCAATGTCCTCATGAAGGGGTGATGGCCTATCTAAACTTCAAACAGTCAACCTCTGGTGGCCGCATTGTTATGTAGGGTAGCAAAATAGCTGTTAGATCATTTTCATTCCTTGCTTTGCTGTAACAGAGACAGGTTCAGGGAGATGCAAGGGGGTCCGTAAATTGTTTGAACAACGACTTCTAGGAACGCTTTCAGTAGAAAGATAAGAGTTGTGGCTCAACTCGTCAGTTAAAGATCATGTGATGATGATACACCATCATACACTTGTTCTTAAAAAAAAATAATGTGAGCACCAACTTTTGAGGAAATGTGAGGAGATACCCTTGTTGAATTTAAAACTTGATGCGGATTTTTTTTGTTTGTTTGTTTGTCTTTTGACCTAGCATTTAGGCTGTATGATGGCAGTAATATGAAAAATCCGTTGTCTTAGTCGCAATCATCACTTATATTTCCCTTCGTATGAGGCTGTGGGATTTTGTGACTTAGTTTTGTTTTTCTTATTCTGTTCTCATGTATTATTCAAATATGATCATACGTTTTTGTGTTGCTCTAGATTGATAGAATCTGGTTGGGACCAGCTGATTTGGGCTAAGTCTATCTTAACCAATCCTGATCGAATCCCTGCTTTAACACCCTTAAAGTCATTCTTCACTGTTTATTTCACAAATCTGAAATCATTTCGTTCCATTCGTTGTCTAAGGATTTTATGGCCAACCCATTTTCAGAATTGTAATCTTTTTTTAGGTGGCACCTGGTACCTGGCAAATGTAAATTTGGTCAGGACGGAGTCACATGAGTGTCAAAGATGGAATTAGCATAAAAAAATTGGCACATTCTTTTTGTTTAGTTTTATGCGAGTTAAAGTTTACACAACCAGGGGTGGTAACCTTCAGATGCTTTCTGGTGAACTCGAAGGAATTTCTGTAAAGAGGAAAATGGCAAGTTTTTCATTGGACCATGTGTTCTGAGATCATTTACAGCCAAAAACTGAGCCATGGGTGAATGTTTATGCTTAAAGATATTGGACAAAATAAATGTCAGGATTCTGGTTGATGTTATGACCTTGTTATAGTTATGCTAATTATTTCCAGTTAGAAAGGTTTGTTTTTTTTATTTGTTACAAATTCATTCTTGGAGCTTCAAGAATTGCCTTTTTTTGTGATTCATTGCATAACTAAAAGGGTTGTGGGCCCTTAAAAGTTGTTCATTATTTAGCTGATTGAGATCTGCTATTTCCACCGTTATGTGCCCTCAAAGTTGACACTTGTCTTACATCTTTCAGTGGATCATGCCTACTGAGGGAGGTTCCCTGGTGGCTGAAGGTTTAGAAAAGACATGGAGGATGAAACAAGAAGATATCATCAGCGAAGTCGATATATTAAGCTCTAGGAAAGCCTGTGATATATCCCTTCGAGGTGGTTTACTTGCATCTTATGGGTTTATTTTGGCATTTTAGTAGTCACTGTGTGTTCTGTCATCCAGCAGATTTCTTCGTATTGTATTTTTTTATGAGGAACTTAGTTTGGTAATTTCCCCCCGATGATGTCCTCATCAGCACACTTGCATATATTGCATACGCTGGCTCAAATTAAAGCAGCTTCAGTTTCGAGAAGCTGTCACACTTTGATGTTATTTACGTCAAAATCCATGAGGCTTTATATTCTTTCCAAGAAATTACGTATACTGAAATGTTTGCTGGTTGTGCATGGTGTTGCAGAGGCAGTGCTAGGCCCATACACTCTAGTATACACCTTGAATGGACGTAATATGCTGATGGCTGGGCGTAAGGGAGAGCTTGCCACCATCGACATGTTGACTATGAATCTAATTAAAAATTTCCAGGTAATTCTTTTGTGAGGAAAACTTTATTTTAGGATCCATCAAGAAGAATGCAATTAGAGGCTCACGCTGCAGTGCAATGCATCCGACATCGGTGCAATCAGAATAATCCCGAAGATTATTGATGGATTTTACTGACCAATGTATTCAATTTCTTTTGTATGGTCGATGCCCTTAAATGGTTCTGTAGGCAGGGCGAGGTGCCTTTATTAAGTGGGAGGTCCTTAAATATCTTCACAAAAATACGTATTTTAAAAATATTTCAACTAAAAGAAATTAATATTCTGGTTATAGTCACGGCTTCATGCAGAGGGCAAGGATGTGATGCTCACGAGTTTTTAATGAATCTCAGGTCAAGGAGACTGTGCGTGATGTTGTATTCTTACAGGATGGACAGACTTTCGCCGCAGCTCAGAAAAAGTATGTATTTTCTAAATATTTATCGATGTAGCATCAATTTATAGCGGCTTTTTGTTTCTTTTAATGTTTCTCTACTGTGGGTGTATGAATGATTTTATTCTTTTTTGCCACTGATTTATCCGTTCATCCTTGGTTTCTTTTCTCGCTTTCCCAAATCAGGTCGCAGGGATGATATTTATCAGAAAATCATCATTCATTGCAACGTCATGCTGATTTTTTTTGCATTAATTAATTTGTTTGAAGTGTTTTTTTCCTGCTTTTTCTCAATAAATAGAGATTATTGTCTCCTTCCTCAAAGTAGTAGTTGTGCATCTTATACATTGCAGGGTCTTGATCTCCCCCAGATGATCAGGAGTGGCAGCCATTTCTAGAAAAACATAATTGCCAGACCCTTTTTTTTCCCCAATTTTTTTTTTAATGACGTCATGCAAGAACACCTTTTTCCCTGTAGATTTTCATTGATATTTGAAACTATACGTCAAATATGAAATAATAGTTTTATTGTCTCCGCTATCTAAGTCGTCCTTTTACGACGAGGCAGTTGTGCTGGAGCCATCATCTCCTCATCATCCCAAACGCGTCTATCACTAATGGATCATCAGCTAGAAATTATTATTTTCTTCATATTATGTCAGATTTATTGGTCTTAGATAATTTATTTTCTTGAGCATGAGTTCCATCGTCTTGATCTTGTCATGGCCAATTTTACTCAACAGGTACGTGTACATTTATAACAGGGATGGAACCGAAATCCACTGCCTCAAGGTAGGTAGCTGATACGATATAATTTTTCAAACATAATTTCCAGTATTTAGTTAGTGTCATCCACTTTTTTATCAAAACCATCTAAAAAGTTAAGTTTTTTTCACTCTGCATTTTATTTGGAAATAATTGACAATGGATGACTGTTATTTCTCTCCCGCCTGATGAAAATCTCCAGGAGCACGAAGCCCCGCAGAGCCTCCAATACTTGGAGAAGCACTTCCTCCTATCCTCCATCAACAAGTATGGGCAACTCCATTACCAGGATGTGAGCACGGGGGAGATGGTGGCCAACTATCGGACAGGCCTCGGCGGGGCCCGTGCCATGCGGACCAACACCTTCAATGCCGTCATCGGCCTGGGCCACCCAGGTGGGAAGGTGACCATGTGGAAACCCACCAGCGTCAAGCCGCTGGTCTCCATGCTCTGCCACCACGGGCCCGTCACCGCCATGGCCTTCCACACCGACGGCCGCCTGATGGCCACCGCTGGCATGGACCGGAAGATCAAGCTGTGGGACCTGAGGAAGTACCAGGTCCTCCGCTCCTTTGCCGGGCACGCCAGAACCCTGGACTTCAGCCAGCGGGGCCTCCTCGCGGTGGGCAACGGCTCCTTTGTGGACATTTGGCGGGACTCTGGTGGCGATCAGAGCTTCATGGATCGGTACATGAACCACTCCATGGTGAAGGGTTATCAGGTGGGGAGGGTCCGCTTCCGCCCCTACGAGGACGTGCTGGGGATCGGTCACTCAAATGGCATTTCGAGTGTTCTTGTCCCCGGCTCGGGCGAGCCCAATTTTGATTCCTGGGTGGCAAATCCTTACGAGACCCGGCAGCAGAGGAGGGAGAAGGAGGTGCGCGCCCTCTTGGACAAGCTTCAGCCAGAGACCATCATGCTGGATCCGGGAAGGATAGGCACGGTGAGGCCGACAAGGGCGACGGAGGCGGAAGAGGAGGATGTGGCAGAGGTGGAGAAGGAGGCGGCCATTGCCGCCGCCAAGGCCTCTGCCTTAAAGCACAAAACCAAGGGTCGGAACAAGCCCAGCAAGATGCTGAAGAAGAAGCAGGAGGGGATTGAAAGGGTGAAAAGGAGCTTCATGGAGCTGCCGCCCGAGCGAGAGAGCAAGAAGCTGAAGAAAACAGAGGAGGTCGAGTTGCCAAGGTCTCTTCAACGCTTTGCCAAGAAGAAGTCCTCATGATTGGGTCATTTTTTCTTCTTTCTTTGTAATGAGATAACCTTAGATTTAAGTCACATGAGATCAAGTGATTATGTATGTGTAAATTGGTGGTGCTTAGGAGAGTTTTAGGAGCTGCAGAGTATTATGATCCATCAACATCGGCGTGTGGGGAGATGGACAAGTCACACGGCTATCTTCTGGTTGTTACTCATGGAAAACGCCTTGAGAGGGAGGAACTGGAGCTCCATTTTCGTAGTATTTTTATTTTCTTTTTCAAATTATTGGCTTGATTTTTCTTTTCAATGTCAAATCGCAATCTTGTTAAGTGAACATCAATTCGGCAATGAAAGCTGGCATTCCGATTATAATTTACAGGTTATCATCTTTGGCTATGTAGTTGCAGTTTATATAAGTTTTAGATTTAAAAATCATTATTTTCCTGGTACAAGAAATAATTGCTTTATTATGTTAGCATGGAGCGTGGGTAGGTACCATCATATGTAGAATCACATCAAATTATAGACCATTTCCCAGTTAAGGTAATTTTGATACTTGTGATCTTGGTTCCAAGATAGAAACAATATTTTGATTCTTCATATAAACTCGCCAACTTAGGAAAATCACATTCTAAATTAACATCTATGTATGTTCAGTTTACCATTTATGTACACGTTGAATGGAAAATAAGAAATTTTAGCTTTTCGGATTTTAATTAGTTGCTCATTAACTATAATTTATGAACTCAAGTCTTGTTATGATCTCAGATTTACCATTTTTTTTATCAACAAAGAAATTAATGGGCATTTTTTTATTTGAGATGTATTGGCCGGGCACCTCAGAATTGACCAGTAGAAGAAAATAAGCTCAACGATATTATTGATTTGAAAGAGTCAAACTCTATACTATGTATGGCCAAATAAATTAAAATATATTGATAGCAAACCAAGATATTCTTTTTATTTTTCCCTGGTCTTATGCTTAGGACAGGCCGTATCAAACTCTGAATGTCGTTCAGCGAATATATAAAATAAATAAACACTTATATAAATAGCGGGGTTGTGAATGGGATCCGCGTTGACCCAGGAAATGTCCACGAAGTGAACTTTGGCCCGGGCTAAAGCAAGCCTTCTTTTATCCATCAGAGAGAGAGAGAGAGAGTGATTGGGCCAATTGGTTTGTCTTACGGCCCATTAGTGGAATTTGCAAAGGCCCTGTTTTTAAGAGTGTTTGCACTTTCGGAGAGTAAGATGACCCAATTGGTGCTGCCAGAGCGCTCCACGTCGCTTGGGGTGGGGGGAGGACCTGTCCTACTTGGGACCAGTTCTTCTAGACCCCCACCTCTCTCTCTCTCTCTCTCTCTCTCTCTCTCTCTCTCTCTTTTCTGGGCCGGTTAAGAGAAAACGAGGAAGAAGGCAGTGAGTGCTGGTGGCATCTTCGGGTTGAACGTAGAAGTCGACATTAACTTGGAAGAGGGAAGAGGACCCCATCGAAGGCTGGATCAACCCCGCTCCAACGATGAGGGGCATCATCTCGCGCCTTGTCCAGTCGCGTTCTCAGCTCTCTGGGCTCTCGTAAGGACTGACGCCCACCCTCCTCGCTTGCTATATCCGTCGCGTCTTTCTCTTTAATTCCTAACCTCTGTGGTGAAGGGTCTGCCCTCATATCCCTTACCATTGGCTTTCTGTTGTCGTTGTTGTCTACCAACCTCATTGTTTCTTCCGGAAGCTCCTAACCCAGAGACGAAGGATCTGATGATCAATGTTGTCTGAAGGGCATATGCTGGTCCTCTTTCTCCAGAATGCTTCCATTTCTCTTCCTTACGTTTTTATGTTTTCAACAGGCGAAGCTTCAACGAGCGTTGATGAACGTTCTGCTTTTCCTTGAATGACGATATCATTTAGAAATTAACGTCCACAAGATGTGACCTTGATGAGCACACTCATGACGCGCATGATCTTGGTTTTTAAGAATTTGTTCGTCTTACCCAGAAATCTTGGCATTTTCGGTTTATCTTGTGTGGGCAATCATGCATGCTAATATCTGAATGGAAAACCGCGGTTATGCATCCTAGGGTTCCTATTAATGGTGGATTCCTTTGAAACTTGGTCTGATGTGATGAATTTTCTCCCCGGGTACTATATTCTATGCTATATCAGATTGAGAATCACGTGGTTTGGCCTTGACGTGTTGAATGACCAAACCTGCGGCTTTTATCTGCATTGGCTGAGCAAATTTAGAGTATGGCAACTGTTTAGGCTCTTTGAGGATTGCCATCTTCCTTTTTGAGTAGAACTTCAACAAGTAAAGTAGATTTCTACCTGCTTTCTGTTCCTAGAGGACTGGTTACAATGCAAACACACCTAAGTATTGCCTTGCGTATATCCTGTTTACAACATGTCGGTGGTTGACTCTGAACATGCCAACTCCCATCTACCAAAGATTATATTTTTTGATTTACCCTTATCCTTGGATGAATGGTATGAACAAGCAAGATTTTGACCGACCTTTGCACCTGCCCATGGTCGATCCTTCTTAAAAACTTAGACCCTTGACTTTCTTAACTTGGCGATTCAACCAAGGTTTGAGAAAAAATTGCCTCGCTACATAAGTATGTCTGTATTTATTCCCATGACTGTCGTGCTTAGTTATATGATGGATGCCCCTCATGCCCCACGATCCATGCCACTTATCTAATGAAGTTTTATGAATAAGTTTAATTTTCTTCTGAGGCCTTGAAACTTTTTTTAAAATTGTGTTTATGATTTCTTTTTTTAAAATCGCCTTTCTTCGCCCTTAGCTTTTATATTATTCTGCTTTAGTTAAGACTGCAATAAGATTCTTTGATTCAATATAGTCCTGTATCTCTGCCTCAGTGATAGACCCTTGATTTCTTTTTTCTCCTATCCGTTTTCTAACCAATATATTTTTTTTTTCTGATTTTTTATATTTATTGGAAATTTCAGTCCAACTTTGGTTCACTGGTTTCTTGAAGCTTTCACATATTACCCAGGCTCTGTTGCATCACAATAAGCCTGTTCTCCTTTACTGCTTTTTGTACTTCCAAACAGTCTCTTGAGGGCTCTCACTTCAGATTAGACCCACTCCGATGAGAAAAAAGTCTGTCTAGTTTTAATTAAACAGGTTTCTGATGTGTTCTACCATCAGAAAAGAGTCATTGCTGTCTCCCAGATGTTTTTCTATTCCTTTCCATGGAAACCTGGTGTAGGCAAAATGTCCTCTCAACTGAACCATCTGTCAGTTACAATTTCTGGAAAATTTCATGCGAGAAGTATTTTCATGTGGCCTTTGTAAAAATGTAGAGGATATTGCAGCACCCATTTACATATCTTTTGAGACCAATTTATTTTGAGTTCCCGCATCTGAACTCTGCTGCTCAACGGAACATTTGCCCAGGCCCATCTGTAACCTTAGAGCTGTTTGCATTTTTCCACTCTGTCGTTAATTTTCTTCCTATCACTTTCATGAATTTACTATCCATCATCCGTTTCTTCGTTTTCTGGATAGAGATGATCACAACACTGTTGTGTCTAACATGTAATGACTCATCTAGTTTCAGACGTCTGCTGGTCCATACCTTGATTTTCATTTTTCTTATTATTATTCCATTTATAATCCATCCACTTTATTAAATCCCAGCGTCCTGGAGCTCTCTCTTTTAATTTTAGCTCTTCGCAAGACTGCCTATTAGTTACTCTTCTGGAGCAGTCCTGTCTCTTTTGACGAAACTCCTGATGGTGCCTTCATTTATATCTTAAATTTTACGCGTAAAGCTCTGAGTACCTCTTCGTATATCTAATCTAGATTCACGTTGATGGTATGGACCGGTAAGCAATCCTCATGCACTTGAACCTGGGGATGTCTCAGATTGGTTGGAAATCAGTCCATTGATATGTTTACTACGGTCATTCAGCTCTGATTGTCATTCCTCCACCTGTTACCTAAGCTGCTTCATTCCTTCTTCGTTACTGCCCAGGCCAGATTTTGGTCCTGCATCAGTTCATTGAGGAGGATTTACTTTTTGATGTTCTTTACTCCGAGTCTTCACCTGGTTGCGGTCTGTTTAATATACTTACGGATCCATATTAATCATTTGTGCATATTCTCCTACCGTTTCTTTGAGTTTAGTCTTCCGACCGCTCTGAGAATGCATTATAAATGGAAAAAAATTTGGGAAAGACCTATGGTGGAGAGTATGAATATAAATTGAACTTCTTCTAGATTTTTGTGTCAAATTCGTCCTTTTGGAATTAGTTTTGCCAAGCCCATTGCCTTTCTTCATGCCTCTTGTTCATTTGACCTGTTGCCAAAGTGTTCCTGTCCCACCTCATCCTGTTCATCCCCAACCACCAGGTGTAGTCCTCTGCAGCCCTGTCATCATGTCAAGAAACCCTCTGATCAAGGTTTAAGGGGAGACAGTTATTTCTTTCCCCTTTGACTTCTTGAAACCTAATCCCATTGTTTCTCCCTGCTTGCTGAACAACAAATAACGGATTTATGTCCTTTGTATTTGGACTGCTTATTTTCTACCCTTGTTCCCTTCTTTATTCCTCTCTTGCTCCGTTTTGCTCCCATTGTTTCTTTTGTTTCGAAGACATATTATTTGCATTAACCATACTTTCATAATTGCCGGGATACTCTGACACTTCTCCCTTGACATGATATTCCCATTTGCTGTGTAGTTAAGTGAACTAGTAGTTTCCATGGATATCTTCCAGGCAGAGGGGTTAATGCTTGCTGCCATCATCTCTAGAATGTAGACTAGTATATTGAATGAACTCATCTTCTCACGACTTGAATATCCTTTATAGAGTTTACCAAGCTGTCTGCTCAAACACTAGAAGTAATATAATCATGTTCAAATAAGATATTTATTTATTTTACTACTTTTTTTGTGACAAATGAATGAAGTATTGTGAAGTTGCATTGACTCTATATTCCTGTTGACCTCACCAACGTGTATTTCTTCAGCACAAAATGTCTACTCAGCAATGGTAGACTACTTTCAACAGATTCCAGTAAAATAGATGAACCATTGAAGGTTGAAGAAGCAGAGACGATAAGTTCACCGCCTCCTCCAACAGAGAAGGTTTTTTGGGCATATCTAATCATCTCTCGTGTGAAATTTCACGATTTCATTCTTCAATCTTTACAATAATTCTGTATTTCATTGCTGTAGCTGCTGGTCTTGGGTGGTAATGGATTTGTCGGTTCGCATGTTTGTAAGGAGGCTGTTGCGAAAGGGATATCTGTTTCCAGTTTGAACAGGTTGGTGCATCATTCACCGGCAATTTGTACTGTTGATTCTTCTAAACCATCATACTTGTTGGTGAATTGACTGTTTCAGAGCTCGATGTTCTATTGAGGGAACTAACAGTGTACATTTTTGTATATTAAGTATTTTATCAAACCTTTTTGATTCATTGTGGATTTTATTCTCATCCATTATTTCCGTACAGTTCTGATTATAGAGTTCTCTATGATCTTTGAGGCTCAGCCAGTAGTTATTTTTGTACAAATCTTGCTCTATGTGATCTGTCCATGCGTTTGTGATGTGATCTGTTCTTGATTTCTCCTTGATCACAGATCAGGGAAGCCCTGTGTACGGGAATCATGGGCTGACAGTGTTATGTGGCACCAAGGTAGTTATACAGTATAAATCACTACAATTAAAATCGCATTTGTGGTGGATACATTATCCCCCTCTTCTTATTATTATCATTCATTTTTTTTTAGGAAACCTTCTTTTACCTGACTCATGGAAGGATGCCTTCAATGGGGTTACAGCTGTGGTATGTAATTCATTTCTTTTAGCTAAATTTTTATTATAATATTCATTGTGTTTTCTAGCAAAATTTATTGGTCATACTCTTAAAAATATTGAAGTGCTATCTTTGAGAAAATGAACATATGGACTTTTTTTTATTTGAATATGGCGTAGATACCAACGTTTCATATTCAGATGGTGTGGAAGACATCTATAGTTTGTTAAACTAGCCGTACATATGTGTGATCCGTGAAATAACTTGCTCAATGTGGGCTCTGTGATCGTTAGATTATTTTATTCTTAAATAGAATTGGCACTATTTGCTTTCAGCGGGAGGCACTCACTTGTGCCGTGATGAAGGGCACCCTTTGTTCCTGGTTGGTAGGTCTTGCAGTCTAGACTCACAGCTTTACCAGGCTACACTGGCCAGAACACCCTGCAAAAGATAAAAATCTCACGCTTGTTTTCTAATATTGTCTCATAATGCATTAGACCTAAAGAATACAAAAATGGTACGCAGAATCGGTCAATCTATTTATTGTTCTATGGATCTGTGTCTGTCCTACGGAGCTAGTCCAGGCCAAATCCACAGTTTGGACCTGGATAAAGAAAAAATGTAGATTATTTGATCGGTGTTCAAAGGCATTTGCTTGTCATCTGCTCCTGTCAGGCACTTGGCTGAAAATTTGACGATTGCTTTTTATGTGAACAGTTTGTTTAGAAAAAATCAAGGCGAGATGATATCTAATTTACAGTTGTCTATGCATACTTTCTTCTTATCTCATATCTTCTGTGAACAGGCTAACTGCGAAGCGCATATTAAGCTCTTAGACAGATTTCATGAACGGTGAATGCAGTGGATGGGAATAAAGAAGTTCAGTATAATAATCATTAGGGTTTCCAGATGCATCGTTCAAAGTGCTTGTAGCAGTGGTGTTTGACTTACCGAGTGACATTATAAGTCCTCTGTTATTCTTAATTTCATCTTGCTTGATGCTGCTGAATCCTTGCAGATATCATGTGTTGGGGGCTTTGGGTCGAATTCCCAGATGTATAAGATCAATGGGACTGCGAACATTAACGCTATCAGGGCAGCAGCAGAGAAAGGTACTCCGTATAAATGCTCATTCTTCAGGTTTCAAAATGAGGATGAGATTTTTTTTTCTCTTACATTTTTCTTATGTTTTTGACTTTTTTAGAACCTGATTTCGCTTCTTCTAATGTCCACTTCGCAATCTAGTTTTTTTATTTTATTTCGTAAATGGAGCCTCTAAATGCTTTTGCCAGCTTACTCAATTTGCACTATCGGAGGGAGTGCTTGGTTGCCATGGAAAGGCATCTCATATTGCACTACCTGTTTTCTTCAGGTGTAAAGAGATTTGTGTATATCTCTGCCGCTGATTTTGGTTTGGTCAACTACTTATTACGAGGATATTATGAAGGAAAGGTACGGCCTTCCTTCTGCCTTATGGTTTGGAGCTTTCTAGAAGGAAACGAAATAACATGCCAGAAAAAGCTGGAAAAAACCAGAAAAATATCCAAATGGTTTTCCATTGTTGCCATGTCTCCTCTTCACGTTGATATGCATTTTTGTATTCCACTGAAATAGAAACATCCAGAAGGGGTTCTTGTGATCTCACAGCAAAGAGTGAGTATTTTCTCTTTTCCTTTTCTTCCCTTTCGGGGAGGGGCAGTTGACATGTCATTGGGAATTCTGGATATTGATGTTTTTAATTCTTATCCCGGTTTGCCACTCCCATAGTCTAGAACCATATTATCTTTCTATTTCCTTTGTTTACAATTAGATTGTTTGTGTGAGAAAAATCATCCTAAATGCTATGGGAAAGCTTCATTCACTTGGAGTTGACACATTGGCTGTCATTGATACTGATTTATTTTTTTTTCGTCTTTAATGTTAAATTTTTTTCCACTTTCTTGTGAGAGGATTGTGACTGCTCTGAGGACGATTTTTATGCACAGTTTATGCACAGTTTATTTCATGATGTTTATTTCATGGGTGGGTGATGTGGTTATTCAGCGGTTTCTATTTCATACCTTGGGGGATGTATAAAGCATTTTTTATGCACAGTTTATTATCATACACAGTAACTATGATAATTTTACTGCCCGTTTTTCTCTGTTGGTTCAGAAAGCTACTGAAGCTGAGCTACTATCAAAGTTTCCATATGGAGGTATTTTTTTGCTTTATGCAACAATGTCGGTGCTTCTTAGTTCATCATTTTTTTCTAATTTGGGTTATATTCTTGTTGTTCTTCCAGTTTACTAATGAAATGTCCTGAGCAACTATTATCGACTATGATTGATTTTAGCTTCCTTGTTTAAAAATCTCATTTAATTCTGAAGACCAACCTTGAGTTCTTATCATTTTTTTTTGCCTACGGAAGTATTTTTTCCTTCTGCACAACCATTATGTCTCTCAGTTCTTCATCTCTGGAAATTATGGCTCGAGTCAATTATAGCATCCCACTTTGGTGACCAACCCGGAAATTTAAAATTATTTTACGGTCTATGCAACAATGGTGTGCCTCTTAATCCTTCAATTTTCTTCTAATAGGGGTTTATTTGATATTTTCCCAGTTCAGTAATAAACTAATATCTAGATATTAGTCCTGATCGCAATAGGTGTTATCTTCCAGATTGAATCCTCGCCTTCCGTTCTAGTGATCAATCCTGATTTACTTTATAAAGTAAACATTATTTCACTAATCACGGTGTGCACCTTGGCATTGACTACTCTCTCGACTGTAACACCAGTCCGTTTTTGAGTCACCTGTTTTGAGGTCTATTTCTGGAGTAGGCTACCAGTACCCAAGTGGGTTTTGCCAGTGAAAACCAGTAGAAAGAATCCCAAGAGCTTGATGGGGCTGAAATTTTACCATTTAGAATCTGTCTCAATTACTATATTTCGTAATATTTCATTCATTATCTGAATGGTCCCCTCTCTCTCTCTCTCTCTCCCTCTCGCTTTGGGGATGTGATCTCTTAGTTTAGATGTTCAAAATCGTAGTTCAGGGTTGACCATACTTGTAAGCCGGAAAAAATATAGGAAAAATTCTAGAAAATTTGTGACATTATCAGTTGAAAGTTTTATCCTTCAATAAAATGGTCCAATACACAAATCCTCGAAAGAACTACTTGTTCATTAAAATTTATCGATAAAAATTCGATGTTCCGCTCCATCAACCTTTTCAACGACCTTGATTAATTACAGCGGAGAAGTCTTAATATTTCAGCTCATCAGACTCATACTTGCCTCCTCCATCTTCCCCCCCATGTTTCTCACAGGCGTAATTCTCAGACCTGGCTTCATTCACGGGACTCGCAAAGTGGGGAGCATCAGCCTACCCCTGAGCATCATCGGTTCACCACTTGAGACGGTAATTCCTTAAACCCTGTGAGACACAGATTTTATGTACAAGTGTGAAAAAGGCAGGAATGGGAGATGCACTAGAATTTCTATTCAAACCTTAAATCCGAAAATTTATCCAACTTGCAGGTCCTCAAGCATGCAAAGCCTCTGACTGGGGTTCCTCTGGTGGGGCCCCTCTTCATCCCACCCGTGAATGTGGTTGCTGTGGCAAGGGTTGCTGTGAGGGCTGCGACAGATCAGGTTTTCCCTCCAGGCGTTGTCGATGTCCACGGCATTCTCCGCCATGGAGATCAGAAGTGAGACTTTACAGGATGATGATATTGCCTCAGTTTGCTCTAAAATAACAAGCTACTCTTAGCTTCATCTTCTCTCTCATAAAAAGATATTTCCTTTTTTTCTTCTTTTTTTTCTGAGCTCACGTGGAAAAATAAAGAACAGATTTTTTTTTATCCAACGCCTCTTCTCTTTGATTGTACTCGGATTAGTGGAATACAAGGGAAAGATGAGTTTGTACATAAATAGCCTCTTTAACATGGATTTCATTTAGAAAAAAAAGCCTCATTCTTTGACAAATTTGGAGTAATTCTTTGTGTTATATCTGTGATTAAGGCGTTACTTATTAAATTTAAATATATTCTTCATTACTGTCAATTTCTACTTTATTATGCAATACGGGAGAGAACCCTCCTAAAGATCACGAAGATCTCCCTCCAACTCAATTCAATCTGCCCTAAATGAATGTCAATTTTTTTAGTAATTCAAGGTGTTGTAGATTTCCTACACCTCGCATAAATTTGGCCTCTAGAAGTATCTAGAAGCTGCAATCAAAAGAGTAATCCGGTAGTCATTTCAGATTTCCCTGTATTTCTCTGTCATTGACTCAATTCTCTGTAAGCAAATAAAATATTCTTCCTGAATTTCGCTCTCTCTCTCTCTCTCTCACTTGCCATAAGTTGGCATCGGCTGCTCGTTTCATCTGGGGAGTGGATGTCATTCGGGTCAACGGGAGCAATCAGTGCTATCGATTTCGGTTAGATTTAGCTCCCCAACGAAGACGGAAAAGTCAACGTGACGGTGAGGGGCCATTACAGCTCGAGCGATTCCGATGGCGCGTTGCTGGGATCCAGTTGACTCCGTCAAGTCATGTCTAGCATCATTGACGAGGAGATCACCGTCTTTTGAGAGTAATGGGGTCACCATCTCTCCCGTGTCTGCAGCCTAATTTAATACTTAACAGTCCGCTCTGCCTTCGCCTTTCGCAGCTCAGCTATTTTCCAAGCCCCGCCGGGATAATAGCTCGAAAACCAGGCTCTGGGCCTTGCAACTGTGAAGCACTGGAGCGAGCGAGAGAGAGAGAGAGAGAGATGTATGGAACCCGTAAGTAGAAGAATATGTGGGGGCTAATATCCAGACGGGGTAGATAGGAGGTGAACTCCGACGTGACAGCTCATAAGGGTTCACCTCACTTCTTACTCTCTCTCTCTCTCCGTCCTCGTCTACATTTCGACCAGGGGTCCCCTCCGTCAGTAATTTAGGGATTGCTCAGCCCATTCACAGCTTACGCAACCAGGAGACCTTCATAAATAATACGACAGTCTTCTAATGGAAATATTTGAAGATTCATTAAAAAGACTGGAGAGGGGCAACGAGGTTGTAGATGGGGGGGAGATCGGACTTGGGGCCGTGGGGGGGTGGGGGCGATGTGAGAGAGATCAGAGACTGTACATGCCGACGAAAGGCCGTTCGATGGATCCCAGCCACAAGGTTCCGTTGTTCTCCAACACTTCGCTGACGGTATTCTCTATGCTTCGATCATGCAGAAGCTCCACAGTCCTCCCATTCGCGTCCAACCTAACTCCTATCACATTCCCTGAGATGGAGACGATGGCCACCCATAACTCCCCCTGCCGATTCCCCTTCACGTTGTCCGGGAATCCGGGGAGCTGGGAGAAGACCTCCGACTTCCCCGCCATGGGACCCTTGAGCCAGTACCTAAGCGACCTCCGCCGCGTCGTCTCGGCGATGACGGCAAAGCGGCCGTCCTCGCTGAGGGAGACGCCGTTGGGGAATTGCAGGCCTCTCTGCAGAACCTCCGTCTGCTTCGTTCTGGGGTCGTACCTCATGAACCTTCCCCTGGCGTCTTCGGCGGCGATGGCAGCGATCCATTCCCTCGAACTGGAGACAAGAGAGATGAGAAATCTTCTTCAGAATTTCAACCTTGGATGAAATCTATGAATATTTCGTGGTATGTTCGTCTTTACTTGAAGATCCGAGTTGACAAAATTCTACCAAACAGTGGCAACATATATCAGGTATAGCAAATCTAGCTCCACATAGCTGACCCTTTCTATATCTCAGCTCAGCTAGACGTTGATCTACTATAAAAATATAATATTATCGACATAGGTTAAACATCAAGTGTTCGATATAAGAAAATTCCAGCATTGTTCGCTTATGTTCAAATTCCACTGATGTCAATTGTGAACAACGTATAGTTTTGTGGCGATTCTTTATGAGTCAGGCAGCCAGAGAACTGTAACGAAGATGAATGAAAGGGTGGGGAAAGGAAGAGATGGAGGCAGTGAGGACCTTCTCTGGAATTGGGTACTGCTATCAGTGAAGTACACGAACCCTCTCTCTTGTTCGACGTCGACGCCGTTGGTGAGGCCGAAGGGCTAACCTTCGGCAGCGAAGACGAGCCGCGTCGCCACCCCGCCACCGGGACCGACCACCAGGAGGCCGTAGTAGGCGTCGGCAATGTAGAGGTTCCCCGTGGCTCTGTGGAACTGCAGCCCAAGAGGCCTCCCGCATCTGTCCTCCATCTCGGGGACCGCCAAGCCATTACAACGTGCTCCGTTCCTGTTAACATCGTGAGGGAGAGAGTGAGAGAGACCGTCGAAGGTGCATTATATCTTCATACATTGATGCTAACAAAAATTGTAAGATGTTAGATAATCGAATTGTCTAATTTGGCACTGTGAGTTTACGATCGTCACCTATCTGGTTTGGGAACGGCGAACTCGACCCACCCGCGAGAGGGGCTATTCCACTTCAGGACTCGCCCGTCGGAGACGCCGGTGTAAGGACTGCCTCCGGCAGCGTCGAAGGCGAGGCTCTCCGGGCCGGTGACCGACTGGAGCTGGATCTTCTCGTAGTTCATGAGCACCCGGACGGCTGCGGGCATGAGAGAGGAGGCCACATGGTGCAGAACAAGCGAGAAAAGGAGGAAGAAGGAAGTGAGGACAGACGAGGGCGCCATGGAGGAAAGCCTGCGTCTGGAATGCAGGGAAATCCAACCCTCGTTGTGCATATATAATGCAAGCTTGCGTGCATTAGCTTTTTGCATGGGTAGGTGGCAGAGCCCGGGTGCAATTAAGAGCTTCTTCCTTCAAAGAAGCTTGAATGCTCCAGAACCACTGAAACAAGGAAGACCGCCGACGTCGGCCCATCTACCATTGAAATCATCGTACCCGCCGCGACTTCATCTAATGGCAATGAGAGATGGAACCAGTCGAAGAAGTCGACTAATGGCAATGCCAATGGAGACGACAAAGTCGAAGAAGAGAATGGACCTTGCTCCTCAAACAACTGGTTTTCTGACTTGACGAACCAGTCAGTTCATTCCCTATTCTTATTCCTCGAGAGCAGCCGACGAGAGAGAGGAGAGTCCTAACGTTTCTTCCTCTCTCTCTTGTCTCTCTCTCATCCTCCTCTATTTAATGAGTGCCGTGGAGGGGAAAAACGTTTCTCCCTCCCTCTCGTCTCTCTCTCTCTCTCTCTCTCTCTCTCTCTCTCTCTCTCTCTCTCTCTCTCTCTCTCTCTCTCTCTCTCGCTCTATATATATATATATATATATGCATGCAAATATATATCTCATTTTCGGTGAATTGAGAGGGCGAGTTGTGCATCTAAAGTAAGGAAGATGGGTTCAACATCGTCTTGTAAGGTTTTCTTTCTAAATGTTCTTCTACTTAAAGAAATCGCTGTTTAGTTCTGTCCACTGACGTTGGAGGATTTCTCTGAACGACGCAAATCCTGGTGTTGTTTGTGGTTCTTTCGGTACGTCCCTACTTGACAGGTAGTACGTTGGTTTCTGCTGTGGGTGTATGCGTACCCATCTCAATCACAACATTACACCAGTAGCCCTTGCTGCGGAAATGTATCATAACTTCATCGAAGGAACAGAAGGCCTCCGCGCACGTGGGAGAAACAAGTAGAGGATGTGCGATTACCTGAGGACAACGGCAGAGCCGGAGGAAGAAGATGACCTCGAATCAAAGGATGAGATGAATGGGGCGACAGCAATAGGGTATCTCCTGTTCCCCTCACCCTCCTCCATGGCGGGAGCTGACTCCAAAGGTTTCGGATCGTGTTCCATGTGGATTTGAGCTGTGATTTGAACTCTTCTCTAACTTGTGGATTTGCGTCCAGTGATTTCAGAGCCTAGTTTCAAACCCCGAATTTTCTCTTTTATACCAGGCAAGAAAGATTTTTTGCGCAGAATTGATTTTGGATTATCCTTCTAAGTTTTTCATTTACATTATTTAGTGGAAACGATTAAAAACTGTCTGTAAAATGTGGCTCCTGGTCGTGGAAGATTCTAATAGCATGGCAACGTAATGTTAATAACAATAATAATATCTAGCTTTCCCACGTGTGTTGGATAACAGTTGGCCTTCTAAGCCTCTATAGGTGACTCAGCAGAACCGGGAGAAAGAGCTAGGGAGAGATCACTGCTGACCGAGATAACGTGTTTACTGAACGATAGATTTTGCTGACCAAGGAGAAAATTAGTCAGGCACGATGGTCGTCAACGGGACGGCATTGAATTATTAGGTGAATACCGCCGACAGGACTAACTTTAGTCAATGAGAGAGAAAGAGTGTCTCATAAGTTTTCCATCTCTCGGTCGCGATTATCTCATGGATTCATGACTCGTAAGACATACCGACAAGTCAGAAATTCCAATGTTATAGTTAATCTTAAGACATTTTTGACCTCCTCTGCTGTTGGAGATTGTAGATAACATCGTTTGACGTTGAAACACCCATTTCTTAGATTCAATTTTCCATTAGAACTAGAACATATTCCATGATCGAAAGAAACATCCAACATGCTTACTGTACTGAACGAGTGATCTGAACGACGGCTGAGTCGCATAAAAACAAGATCTGGTGCTACCATTTCACAACCTCAGAAGTCTCAGAAAAAAGAATCGGAAGAACCTTCAGAGAGAATGAGAGAAATGAAGACTGCTAGAAGAGGCGAAGAGGAGGGGAACATAGACAGGTGGAGAGAAGGAGAGAGACAAATGGAGATCATGGATTACAGGTGGCAACGAAAGGATTCTCCGCGGAACCCAGCCACAGCTTGCCATTATTCTCCTCCACCTCGCTCACCATACCCGACGTGCTTATACGACGCAGCACCTCCATGGTACTTCCCCGCCCCTCGGGCGTCACTCCGACCACATTCCTCGCTGGAGACGTTACGCCCACCCAGAACTCCCCCTCTGGGTTCAGACGACCAGGAGAGCTGGACGAAGACCTCCGAGAGAACCCCCTTGGATCCTTGAACGAGAATCTGGGCATCCTCTGCCACGTCGTCTTTGGCGACGAGGACGAAAGCGTCACCGCAGTTGACGGCGACCCACCCCATTTGGGAACCGGAGGCCCCTGACCAGCACCGCCGTCTACTTCGTTGTGGGGCTGCACCTCAGAACCTTCCCTTGGCGTCTCACGTCGCGTTAGAACTCAGCCAGTTCCTGGAAACGGAGACTTAATATTACCAGAGAAACAGGTTGCCGGAAGGGTAAGAGTAGGATGGGATCTCACCTTCTCTGGAACAAGGTGCTTCTGTCGGGTGAAGTACGCGACGCCTGTCTTCGGTGTACCTTTGGAACTGCAGCCCCAGAGGCCTTCCGCATGTCCTCCAACAGTCCGTCCAGGTTCCTAGAAACATCAACCTATGAGAAAAAGGATTGAAAGATAGAGAGAGAGCTAAAGGGAAGGAGCTACTTATGAGGTGAAGGAGCTACCGTCCATATTTTGTGTCGAGTAGAATATTTTGTGATGACGGGGTGATACCTATCTCGAGTCAGAATGGCAAACTCGACCCATCGGCGAGATGGCCCCTCCCACCTGAGCACTTGCCCCTCGGAGACGCCGGTGTAAGGTCCACCCCTGCCGCCGCCGCCGCCGCCAAACGCCAGGCTCTTGGCTCGGTCACAGATAAAAGAGAGATCCTGTCGTAATCCCCTAGTTCCCTATTACCCGCCGACGGCGCCATACGGACAGAAACCAGAAAGAAGAGGGCGAAGATGATGAAAAAGAAGCGGTGCAGATGGTAAACGACGCAATGGGATGATCTTGCAGCAGGGAGAGTAGCCATCCGGTATGTATAGGGCGAACTTATACGCTTCATCTCTTCCATAAAAATCAGATGCCACAGTTACCACAGAAGTATGGCCATCTTAACGAACAGAATAAATCGCTTCAACAAGATGACGGCGGGGGTTCATGTTCGGCACAAAACCTCCGCCGTTTTTCACGAAGCCCCACCCACCCAGTCAAGGGGATGTCCTCGACTGAAGGATCTCGTTGCGAGTAGGGTGAAGGATCTCCGACGTAGCCGCCGCCACGAGTCCATCTACATAGTCAACGAACGGGTGAGTAAACGGATCAGGTTTTTCTCCTAATTTCCACGTTTGCCTGGGATTTGGAGTGTTTCCTTGCTGGCGAATGAGCGCCATATAATCGGTAAGTTTCAGTCTGATGACGAGTAGCTTTATCCGCGCTTGATGGAACGCCGAAAGGCCGTCGGAACAATTGCTGTCGACTTCTCCTTCAATGCCATACATTGAGATCGTGATAGCTCATACCACCAACATGTCAGCGTCATAATCCCAACGCCTGGCTCGCCCACGCCAGTTACTCTTCCAAGATGAAGAATCCAAGGGGAGACAGCATACCTGACGGATCACCTCCTACGCTTGCCAAGGCACGGCCGCAGAAGCAGAAGAACGAGCGAGAGAGAGAGAGAGAGAGAGAGAGAGAGAGAGAGAGAGAGAGAGAGAGCGCAATCTTCCCCACCATTTTATGTAGACTTCACAACCATCTCATAAATATGTTGGCTCCTTAACACTTCTTACTTCCAAATATGACGAAATACTACAGTTAAGGATTATTATCTACAAACTAGTTCAACCCATTCTTGGATAACTATCTACACAACAACAACAACGTTAATAATAATAACAATAAGAATATTTCTAAGAATAATATAAATTTTAATTGTAAAAAAGTCGAGGGAAAGGTATTTGAGAATCCAAGAACATGCAACCATGAATAAATTGACTATGGTTCCATCGATAAATTCATATACCAATCCATAATTTACAGGCCCCACACCTTTTCTGCTCATAACATATACGAGATTATAGATCGTCGGTGATAATTATTAATCTCATCGACGGTTTTCACCCAACACGTGAAAGAATGAATACAATCCATCACAATCTAGCGAACGGGCTTCTTCTATACACATTTTGCGTGAACCACTTTTCTATCTTTCCGAAGATATTTTTGACAAGAGCTTGTCGACGTGGATGATGATGTCACCAATGAAGGGTCGGATAGTGGGCAGGGGCTGAAGCATCCAGACGACAAACTGGCGGAGGGATTCGGGAAAGGGGTCTTTGGGTATCGGCGGCCACTTGATTTGGGCATTCATGATGGCCAGCTGTAAGCTGCCTCCAGTGTCGGCTACCACATATTCAAAGGGGGATATGCCATACCTAGGAATCAGTACCCACGAGACCATCAGTCTTATGTCACAACTTTAGATGGATTATTTTTTTAACTGAACGATAACATGGGCAAATTGATAATGATTTAAATGTGTCCGTACAAGAAATGAATATTACTACTGAGTGGAATATTACACATTAATAAAATAATCATAAGTAACCCACACAATACATGAAGAGCTTTGTACGTATATTATCACATGCCATTAGAACTTGGATACACTTTTATGAGGGAAATGTATGATAACCATGGCATGCGAAAATGGGCAGTAACTGAAAATGGAATACTAACCTAGAAATAATGATTGAGGGAAACATTATACACAAGTACGATAATGAGGAAGGGCATGCAATTTAATCATAACCATGAAGGAAGAACTTTTGACCTACATTATCACATGTCATCTGAGCTAGGTCCGACTTTCATGCGATAAAATTGATAGTATGCAACATGGGAAATTAATTTTTTTGCAATCAAAGTTGAACTCCTTAAGAAATAAGTAGCAAGGAGCGAAGCACTCTATATAAAACAAATAAACAGAAACGCAAAGAGCTTTGTACGTACATCATTGCGTATAAAGTACATCCTAGGGACCAAATATCTGTCCTTTGATCAATGTCTGCATAGCTGGGGCAGTTCCAAAGCTCAGGTGCACGAAAAGGTTCCGAACAGTGTTCAGCTGCCCATTCCTATGCCAACATGATTAGTATATAAGACTATTTTTGAGACTATTTTTCAGAAAATAGTGGAAACATAGTTAGTGGAAACGAGTCATCAATTAGTGGACATAAGACTATATATTTTTGAGAAAATATATAAGACTATTTTTGAGAAAAATAAACATAATTAATGGAAACGAGTCATCAATTTACACCTTTTATTTTTATCTTGAGAGGTACCAATACATATATATATATACGAGTAATTTATTTATTACTGCATGAGAAATGATGAGAAATATGAATCATAAATAATGACATTTAGTAAATTTGATTATTTCGATATTTACCTGCAGTTGCAGAGCCTCGGCACGAGAGCGAATGGCCTTCTTTCCTGGTCTTGTAGTCTCGAAGTCCATCAATATTGCAAGAGGCTCTTGCCCTGGTCGGGGTGAGATCATGATGTTATCAGGCTTAATGCTATTATGCGCATAAGGAGGATCATGGCTGTGCATGTGTTCTAGCCCTGCACAGACCTGTTAAAATTTAAAATGGTTGAAGCTTCCATAAAACAGATAGAAAATAAAAAAGTTAAATTTTATGGCTTAAAAAGTTTAAATTCCTACCGACTTGACGTATGAGAAGGTTCAAAAGGGCAAGAGACTCGATTATGGTTTATGGATGATTTCACAGTTTCTGAAATTTTAATTCACAAAGAATTCAGATATGAAAATATTCATGATGTTGTTTAGGCAGAGGTGCATATGAACCATGGTAATAATTGAAATATTAGTATTTGAATGATCTAGATGTGGAGAACTGTGTAGATAATAAAAAAGGTGAATTAGGGAAATCTCAATAAAACCAATGAAAAAAAAAATCAAAAATTCCTTGCTTAAAAAGATTTAAATTATAAACTAATTGTCAGATGAAAGAATTCATGAGCATGTTTTCCCAGATGAATCGATGACTGATCATAAGAAATTCAATGTTAGGGTTGTAAAATAATATAGAACAGGGTATCTTGTTAAGTGATAGAAATTTAAATAACTGAAACTTCCATAAAATAAATCAACTTCCCATAAAGTTCCATTAACTCATAAATTTGAAGTATAAAATGATTTTAAATCATACTCATGCATAATTGACATATGAGAGCATTCATGAGCACCTTTTCTCAGATGAACAGGCTATCTCAGAAATTTTATCACTGGCTAATCAAAGGATCTAGTACTGGAGTATTGGGCAGGTATATTTCTAATTTCAGAATATCCTGCCATAAAAAATATTCATGATAGAGATTAAGAAGGAGATCTTGTTTTTCACCTGTCTGAAGATGTGAAGAACAGTCAATGTCGAGAAGAACAGCTTCTTCGTTTCCATAATCTTAGCTTTGTCGAGTAAGGTACTGGCATTCAAATGAACAGGGAACAAGAAGTACGCCTCGTGATTGAATGCTCTTTCCTGACCCTGGAAATATACACAAAAATGATCCAATTAGCAGAAAAAAACTGTTTTTCGCTAAATAGAAATATCTAAAGGAAGAAATCAAATCGGAGTTGTAATACTCTGAAAATCGCAAACTCTATGACTAGATTTTTTTCATTTAAATTTTCTTCCAGGCATCATAATGGGAAAAAAAAAGGATCCCCTTCCAGATATTCGTAATTTTCACGGGCATAATAAATCATTAGTTTGCCAAGAGAATTCCGGGTCATGTCTACGATACAATGCAGCAGTTTGCACCATTTCCATGGAGGAAACCTGCAGATGTGTAAGTCCCATAATGGTTTTAATTAATTCCATGAGAGAAGATGGAGAAGCCAAGAGAGCTACCGTGACTGGGATGATGGCGTGATCAAGAAGGGGAAGGAGGTTAGGATGGCTGAACAAGGAGGAGACGCGGATCTCCTCCCTCACCAACTCCAGCTCCTCTTCCGTTCCGACAAGCACCTTCTTCATTGCGTACATCCCATGATCTGAACACGAGTAGAGAGAATATACACACATGTATCGTCAGATTTGGGAACATTCATATCTCCGATCGACCCAATTCCCGAAAGTAAGCACGAGGAAATCTTTTAAGTTCGGACAGAAAATAAGGGAAAATCAAAAATCAAGATTTTTTGATCGCTCATTTGCAGTTCAGCACAAGAATCCGAAGAAAATTATGTTCACTTTACTCGTTCCAGTGAAATTTAGATCCAAGTCCAAACGTCTTGTTCACTCCGTGGAGAAGCCGAGCAGAAAAACGTCTTAAACGGGAATCACATCCTCAACTCTGGGAATTCGTATTTCAAATCGATTGATCTCATTAAGCGGAACCCGGAAAAACTCTCCGAGATCATTAAAAAACAGAAGGGACCCCATCAAATTGAATCTGTGGATCGATTTTTTGCAGTTTAATCGGCGAAACTAATGAAAAATTTGTTCAATCTTGTTGTCGCAGTCAAAATCAGACCCAAGAGACCCAAGAGAAAACCTGAGCCATGAGAGGGAACCTTCAACAACTTCCCGGAGAGGCCGCTGCCGGCACCGTCGGCGTCGGCGTCGGCGACCTCCTTGACGAGGTAGGTAAAAGCGGAACCGCCACCATCCCCCAGCAGCTTCACGATCCTGAACCGGTTCTCGTTGACCCACACATCGCCTCCTCCGTTCGTCGCGCCATAGAGAGCGTTCAGGCCCGACAGGGAGCAACCCATTCTAATTGCCAATAAAGAGAGAGAGAGGCGAGATCACCCCCCCCCCTCCTTCTCTTTCCCCGTTTCTTCTGGATCAGAGGCGACGACAGGGCGGTGGACCTTCTCTACCCTGGAGCTGGGGCTGCGAGGAGAGGAAGGGGAAGGTGGGGAGCCCATGGTTGGGTACGTGAGATTCCGCTCCGTTGACCATGATGGGAGCACGTGGCCCTTGGAAGTTTACGGGGAAACCCGCGTGAAAAAACGGCTTCTTGATCTTATGATGGCCGGGGTGACGGGGACCCCATAGTACAAGGGCGAGGCGTTGACTTTTACTTACATTTGTTCGATTGTGATCTGCTTTTCCTGATTTTGACCCTCAATGTGACATTATCCATCTCTTCTTAAAAGCGTAGAGGTACAAAGTTCCCGAAAATTTGGAGAGATATCTGTTCTTCGGTCTCTAATTGAAAAATTATTTTATTTATTTAGTCCAATCAACTTCAGTAATTTGGTGGCTTTACAGTGATGTTGGATCCTATTTTTAACATTTAAAATATATTTTTTTAATTTTAAAACTAGAACTAATCCACAAAAGGCATCAGTCACACATTTCCCCCAAAAAACTGTTCATTAAAACTATTTTAAGATAAAAACACCATTTAAAGAAAATATAATTTTTATGGCAATCCTAATATTATCCAGATATTCTGAATAAATAAATACGCTTTATTGAGCCTTCCATTGTCCGTCGACATCACATCTACCATCGTCACCTAAAGTCTACTTGCATTATTTATTTGTCAAGTTTTGACTAATATTCATAAAAAAAACCATAAATAGAAATAATTGCAGGAAAATAAGCAAACTTTTCAACTGGATTACAAAGCCATATATTTATATGAAAAAAATATGAAACTATTGAGCTATGATCAATCTGATTGCACCTTCAAGACACATTTTATTATGAATTAAAAGTGGTAAGTGGCTTCATCTTAGGCTTTGACCATGCATACTAATAATGTACACTAGTGGGTTGATGAAGACAGGTGGCGTTTCCACCATAACCATCCAACCTTTTTTTTTTTTCTTTATCATCCATAACTTAACATACCCATTAGATAAATTAACTAAGATGTCGCTTATATTCTTAGAATTTATGGCGGTTAGTTTGAAAACAAGCATATTTAGCTAAAAATCAATTAGTTGAAGGGGGAATATTTGGCGTAACATCCCACAAATGTTATCCTCCACCGCCTTCTACTCTCAAAAAATAGTATCTCATGGGCGATTATTTACCTTGAACTATAAGTTTCTCGTAAAAAATAAAAAAAAGAGCTGCTGCATTAGAATGGGCTCATTCTCCTTTGAGATTCTTGCACTGAGAAGAGGGTTGCTGCTGAGTGATGCAATGTATGTTCCCACCAGCTAAGCTGATCTCCCTTGCCGTTTGAATCATCACAACCTGAGACCCATTGAGAGGGAGGACGCTTCATCATCAACACAAAATCCCTAAACCCAATCTTTTGGAATATACTATTCTTAGTTCATCATATATGAAAGCCACTGTTTCCTAATAAAGAAGAATATATATACAGGTTTATTGAGAAAAAAAGGGTGATTGTATTCACCTCATGCTTTGGAAACATGGTGGAGAGTACACGGTAGGCTTCATTATCCCATCTTTCATCTCCAAATGCAGGTGCGATTATTCCACCATTGACGATGTAGAAATTGATGTATGAGGCGGCGAGTCGGGTGCCCGCCAATCGGGGCTTTGCATTTCCCAGCTATCAGTCATAACCAAGATCAATCAGAATATGATGCAGCTAAATCGGAGATAGTGAAGTTGAAAGGAGATTGAATGAGAGATGCGGCAGTTTTCTTGACGCTCAAATTGAGACTAATTATAGGAGCAGGAGAATAATCTAAAATATATTAAATGGGACTCAATAAATACACAGCTGGAAAGATGTTAAATCTGAGACTGTTTTTATGGGAGAGTCTATATTTTAAAAGATAGCCGTGACTAATAATATGGGAGAATGAGATATATATATAGTAAAATAAAAAAATCAAATTGTGGCAAACTATATGAGAGAGAGAGCGTGGTTTATGAGAAGTAAAACGGCGAATAATTATGCGAGAGGTATTTGACCCACGGAGTTTTTGATGCCCTTCGCCTCTTCTTCAGTCATGTAGATCGGGCCTGGTATGTGGAGTTTGACTATCTCAAGCTTCCTCCCCTTAGCATCAGTGGAGCCAGCAAGGGCTGAAAAGGCTTCGATAGACCTCTCATACTGAGGGTCGGCCTCGTCGTCAGTCCAAGCTAGCAGGACCACGCCAGGTCTAACAAAGCAGCACATGTTGTCCACATGACCGTTGGTATCCTCGTCCCCTGCAACAAGCTTTTATATTCAGAAACAACAATTCAAAAGTGCCAATATATATATATTATATATATAATCTAGCGGGAGAGAGAGAGAGAGAGAGAGAGATTAAAGAGAACTATTTCAAGAGGCCACATCCATCATGGATGAAGCACAAGGACAGCAGCAAGATGGGAACTAAGAATTGAGTTGGTTGGATCAGGGCATGAGCATTCAAGAAAATCCTGTTGAATTACCATGTTGATTTTCTTCAGAAAATCCCTTCCAATTAGGCCACATTAGCTGACTAGGACATGACAAAAGTCAAAATCAGATACTTGATGAATCATGGATAATTTTCTCATTAAGGAAAAACAGAAATTTTATCCTTTCTGGACATGGATAATTTATTTTTATAAATACTGGCATTGAACACCATCCTTTTAATGGTCAACTCTAAATTTTCATCGTGATCAACTTTTTGGAGATGATAAATAATCTTTCGATGAAAATAGAGAGCCCATAAACAGAAAATAAAAGCGCAACATCAGAATTTGCTGCAAAAGCATGCCTACCGTAGAGGCCTCTGGGCAACCAAATGACCTTCTGAAGATCGAGATAAATCTTCAATTCGTTCTCTATCTCCACCTTGCTCATATCTGGGTTCCGATTTGGATTCAGCAGGCATTCCTCAGTCGTGATGCAGGTCCCTGCAGGGAGGTAAATCAGAAATGAGGAAAGGAACTATTTTAGCCAAGGATATACAAAATTAAGATCGAATTTCGAGTTCTGATGTTCTTCAAAGAGATAAATGCTTATATTCGCAAAAATAAATGAATATTATTGCAATAAACTAACTGATACCCTACAATATGTTCATTTCATAGCAGCTGCTACCCCTTCTAATCTCTTGGATATTCCTAAATTTTCCATAAATTGGTGTTCCTGATGCCCACACTTGCAGTATTCTTGAATAAAAAAGACCTATAGAGGTATGGACATTATAGATCGGATAAAATGTGAAATAATATTCTTGAAAGACTATTTTTTTCTAATAATCATAAAAAAAAAAGGATGTGAGTAATATTTCTAGATATTTTCTTGTCGCCATGGTGCAAGATAACAACAGGGTTCAGTAATTGGATGTAGAGTAAAACGTTTTCACCTTCTCCGTCGACATGGATGCTTCCACCCTCAAGAACCATCTGATGTCGAAACCTAGGGATCCTCTCCAAGGCAAGGATCTGATGATGAGGACAGTTGAATTTGAGGAAGTCAACTAATATATACGGAGATAGAGATGAAAAAGTTTAAAAGACCTTCTTTGCCACAAGGGAATCAAGGCTCCAGTCACTGTAGCATGCTTCCGACCCTGCACACAATCAGATGCCCAAAGTGTAAACGCGTCGCCCCACCTGAGCTCCAAATTTTAAGGGAAACAACAGCCTGTTCTGGATGTTTGACAGACGAAATAACCTTTGATGCCAGAGAACGACCAGAAAAGGAAAAAATGTAGCATTTACTCATCACAGGCTGAGGAGAATTGTACTGACGTGTCCTTACTTCGAAATTAATGCAAGCAGGAAGGTATTCATTTACGTGGAGAGAGAAAATTAAAACTCTTTTGAACCAGGTTTTGATTATCATAGCAACCAATTAGTTATAACTTATTGCTTTTCACATGCCCATCTGAAGATAATCCGGGGCCTTCCGCAGACATCTTGGCCATTGAAGGATTCAGGGAGAAAAGAAGAAGAAAGAAAGAGAAAGATGACAGCTAGGCACCAGCAGAAGAGCTATGTGCACATGTTTCTAACAAGAGAGAGAGAGAATCTCATTCTTGTCTGCAACTCAAGGTCGACTCTGTAATATTATTATGGATATTCTCAGGGTGGAGTAAAATTTACCAGTTCTGATGGCTAATTCTGATCCGAAATTGACAATTTTTTTCAACAAAGATCATGCATACTGTTCACAGATATCCAATTATAAACATATTTCTGGAGGAAACGAAAAAAGAAGAGGTCATTGGTTCTCACCACCCCAGCAATTGAAAGTCCAATCTATGCCCGCAGTTTGGCCTTCAGCACATTTTGCACTTGAACTCCTAACAAGAAACTAATCGCTAAGGACATCAGTTTAAGCTATGAACCGCTGTCTTGCCAGTAAAAGCCTCATACATTGAAAACTTTAACTATGGAATGATAGGAAATTGAATAAGGGGAGAGAAACTCACTGTAGGTCCAGTATCACGAAACCAGGAGTCATTCATGCTCATTTCCACCACCCTTATGTTAGCGCCAGCAGGCACCATACGACAGGCTTTTATATACTAGAAGGATCACGAAAAATTTATAATATGTTATCCAGTAAGTGATCAGTTAAGCAAGGTTTTTATTGCAAATCAAAACCCAAAAAAATTGATAAATGGAAAAAAAATCCGCTGTTGAATAAATAAGCATAGGTATCCCCAACCTGATGATAACTCCCCTGATCTCAGATCTAACTCCAAAGGGCATTCTGATCATTAATGTGTTTTTGAATATAACAATTGACCTGGGATTGACACAGTCAACTCATTTGGAAATTGCTCATAAAGAAACTTGTGTGTTTGTTGTCTTGGGTCCTGGACTAGATGGCTACCACCCCAAATCTAGGCCCATCCCAATGCTCATCTTGGCCAGGATCTGGGCATTGTCGGGTCCAGTCTGGATGTTCAAACACCTGTTCCATGTGGCTTCCCCCTACTGATATCAAGTCAACCGGGAGTAGGGGGGGCGTGGGCTTTTCGCATGACAATGTCCGACTCAAGGAAGAAAACGGAGAGAGATCAATGAAGTATCAAGTCCACACAAATGAACAGCATTAGAGGACCACCAACCTGGGAAGCGATGGCGCAGAGGGTTACGGGCTCAAACCTAGAAATAGCTGCTGCCACTTCGATAAATGCGCGTTGACCAGGCAGTGCATCATCCCGCCAGTTATCCACTCGCTCCTATGGAAAAATTCATACACGATCTCGTTATAAATGGCCCAGAAGAATCATGAACTAATATCTGAAGCATACAAGATGGATAATCATAATTTATTTACAGAAATCTGTGACTATTCTCTGATCGTTTTCTCCGCAAGTGAAGGGTGGTAAATAGTCCCACAAAAGAGACCATCCTATATGCGGTTCAAAGCCCTTTATTCCGTTTGTCACCTTTTCCTGCCCGTTTAATCTATCATCATAACTGTTCATCATAGGAATAATTCTTTTAATCACTACATCAAGAGTAATTTATTCCATTTTCCGGATGCCTGTGAATGAATCGGGTACATGCAGAGGAAACCCCTAAGATTTTGTGTACATTTATGATAGCCTCCCTATCATCTTCTATGTCCAATGAACCCTTCACCATAGAGGAGAAGATACAAGGTGTAGGGGCTTTATCTATAATCTGGACTTCACAGTGCGCTCTGTTCTGTCAAAGACTCCTTTCAGACCCAATCGAATAAAGAAAACACTTTTATGTGAGATCTATTGCTATCATTTCAGAGTCCCAAAAGTCTCACGAAAAGAATTGGAAGAACCTTAAGAGAGAATGGTATGAGGGAAGACTGCTACACGGGGTGAAGAGGGAGAGCACAGATAGAGGTAAAGCGAGCGAAAGATACAGATAGACGGAGATGAGGGATTATCGGTGGTGACAAAAGGAATCTCCACGAACCCCAGCCCCAACATGCCATTATTCTCCTCCGCTTTGTTGGTCGTACCTGACATGCTTCTATGGCAAAACACCCCCATGTTCTTCCCTGCTCATCGGACTTCACTCCTACCACATTCCTCATTGCAGATGTCCTAACCATCTAGAACTTGCCCTTCGTATTCACCTTCGCATTGTTAGACAACCAAGGGGACCATTGAGATAGAATTTGAGGACCCTCTGCCACTCGCCTAGGCAACGAGGACAAAATCACCACCGTTGTTGATGGCAACCCCATTACGGGAATTGGAGGCTTCTAAGCAGCATTGCTGCCTGCTTCCTCGTGGGGTTTACCTCAGGAACCTTCATGTGATGGATCACAACAGCCTACACCTGGGCTTCATCATGTTTGGTCAAAGACACTTCTTGACACACAATTCAGTAAAGAATTTCATGTGAGATCCGAGAGTAAATCTTTGACAATTATTTTCAATATTTTTCTAAAGGGATTACAATAGCCCACATCAGAACTTAAAAGTGTTTGTTCAAATTCTCTCGTTCAGACACAACTGAGTCAAAGAACTCCGCGTGGGATTCGAGAGGAAATCATTAAAACGTTCCTCTATGTATATGGAAACCCATTTTTACTGATAAGAAGTCAAATTAAAGAAAAATTGCTCCTCCTTTTACATTCACTAAATAGAAAATACGAAGCAAAAGAAGGCAAAAACACTCTTGAACGTCCCATTAAGGAAAGGCTCTATCACTCTATATTAAACCCGGAACCTTCATTTCAGAATTTGGACCGCTATATGATGACATATAAATCTATACCATTCATTATAAAAATCCAGTGTCATCATTTTAAAGCATACATGGAAGTAAAGGTTGAACAGGAAAAATGAACGTGAGGGGAAACTAAAAGCAAGGATCTGAATCTACAATCAAAATGGAAAGAATATTGTGGACTAAAAAAAAATCAGATAACTGTAGAAAGAAAACTGGATTAGTTCCCCCCCGCTTTGAAATAACATTTCGTAATCCGATAGCACAACGCTCAACCTGATAAATCGAAAGGAAAATGCTGCATCGGCATTTCAAGTAGGAGAGATGCAGCTACAAGCAGTGCTGATTCAGAAGGATCCCTCTATTGAAGAATGGATTAATTTTTTAAGGTGGATAAAAGAGAACATCAATCCATAAAGATACAAGACCCATGGAAATAATCCCACGATAAGAATCCTCCTGTAAAATCCATCTCACGACGTAGCACTCTGCCGGTGACAGAAGATTGAAGAGACGATGGAAAACATTATATTTTTCACTGTCGCTTCTCTAGAGGAGGCTATACTCAACTTCTTAATTCTGAAACTGTCAATCTATTCGAAAGTTCACAGGTCTCAAATGAGTTCAAAGAGGAACAGGAGGCTCGACACGATCATCGGGGGAGGGGGGAGGGAATGGGGTGTGAGAGAGGAAAGGGATGCGAAAGGGGGAGAGAGAGAGAGGGAAACATACCGGCCAGCCGATCCAGGACTGCTCATGCGGCTCCCACTCCGCCGGCATGCGGAACCCCATGAGGGCGGGCTTGCCTTCCAGATCCTCCATCTCTTCTCTTCAGCCCGCCGAGCCGCTGCCGGCTGCTATCTACTCCCACTTCTCAAACTCGGCGCTCAATCAGGCAATGGAGGCCGCAAGCAGAATGATCAAGCTTTCTGCATTCGCCACGCAGGTGGGCTGCCTCCGAGGGGAGCGCAATTCAACGGAGGACCCTGAAAGATTCGTACTCAGTTGTGGCTGAAAAGAACAGTATTTTATTGGTATAAAATATCACCGACATTCCGCTCTTCCAGCATATTAAAAGAAATCTTAGGAGGTATCCTGGGACCAACTAACCAACCCAACGGAGGAAGGTGGCTTTGGGATGCGTTTCTTATCTTATTTGGGCTCAGCACTCAAGCTCAAACTTTGCAGGAAGGCTTACACAAAGAGAGGCATATGGGCAGAGTTCATGAATACCAAGTTGGTGGGTGCTCTCAATCGGCGAAGCCTCACTCCCCAGCTCGGAGATATAAATAAAACCAACCGGAAGATGTTCTCAATCGGCGAAGCCTCGCTACACTAACTTAAAAACCGATAAAATTGCTTCAAAAGGACCCAGATAATAGTCAGGTGATAGCCGACTAAGATTGCACCAAAAATACGGGCTTCTACAGGATGCAAAAGCCCAGTCAAGAGTTGTCCCAAATCTGCGTTGGCGCCAAAGAAATCGGGGAACGGCCCTTCCACACAGAAAACTCTCCCACTATCATGAATTGTGCAAGCGAAGACGGACCCAAAATTGAACACACTGGGAAACATTTCTTCCAACTCGACCCATTTTTCAAGCTCAAGGAGAATTGCGCCAAGTCAAAAATTACAATGTGCCTTTTTGAAAGAAAACCACTGAATTTGCTGAACAGGAGAATAATTAGCTAAAGCATATCCCTTAGCTGTGATATATAACAGATTTTTCCCGGAAGGAAGCAGGCCAAAAATTAACTCAGAAGGCAAAAATAAATAAAACGAGGAAGAGTTTAATGATATTGTTTGAGTCGGCCCATAAGGCTCAAATGCATTTTCTCATTAGGTAGTAATTGATTTATGTTATATAAAAAGTTGTCAACGATTAGAGTTACTCTTCTAATCCAATAGTTTAGAGGATGTAGGATTATTTTTAGCATATTTTTGGAGACATAAACATGACATTAAACAGTTTTAAAAAATATAATTTCCTTTCTCCTTGCTTGTGGATTTGGGTAACCACTTGTAGATTCAACAGCCTCGTTGTTAGACTTTGTGAACTCGATAGCAACTTTGGTTGCCACAAGCAAAAAGATGAAACCTGTTCAAGTTCTTATACAACTGCGTTGTGTGAGGGGAGCCATTGAAGTCGTTGGTACCCTTCTCATTGCCCCTCCAAAGTGCCCCAGCTACGAAGATATTGATAAAATGAGAGATATTTTGTCACTAGGATGTAATTTATACACAATCATGTATGTACAAAGCTCTTTGTGTTTCTCTTTATTTGTTTAATATATAATATGTTATTCCTCGCTAATTATTTCCTGTCGATTTAAGAAAAATTAATTTCCCTTGATACATATTACAAAGTTTATTGCATAAAAATCAGACCTAATCCAGACGAATGCTGTAGGACACATTCCAAAGTTCTTCCTTCATTGTTCCACTTAAATTACATGCCCTTCCTCGTTATTTTATTTGCATATAATGTTGTCCTTCAACATTATTTCACGTTTTGTATTCAATTTTTAATTCCTATCAATTTTCCCATGCCATGGTGATCATAAAGTTTTCATCATAAAAGTGTGGACAAGCTCTAATGACATGTGTGTCTCGTTTTGTAATCCATCATAATAGTTTATGTACAAAACCTCTTCATGTATTGTCCCGGTTACTCATAATTATTTATTTGTGTGTAATATTCCACACCTTACAACTATTCATGTTTTGTCTGGACAAAACATATAAATCACAATCGAAATTTCCATGTCATGGTCCAATTAAAAAATAAATCTACATATAGGTGTTCCAAAAGTAATGTTCCTATGGGTACTATCTCCTAGGTATGGCATATCTCTCTTTGAATATGTGGTACCCGACTCTCGAAGCAACCTACAGCTAGCTGGCCATCATGAACGCCCAAATTAAGTGGCCACCCAACTCCAAAAACCCATTTCCCAAGTCCCTCCGCCAGTTTATCGTCTGGATGCTTCAGCCCCTGCCCGTCATCCGACCCTTCATTGCCCGATATTATCATCCACGTCGACAAGTTCTCATCAAAGGTATCATCGGAAAGTAAGAAAAGTGGTTCACGCGAAATGTCCATAGAAGAAGCTCCTTCACTACATTGCGATGAATTACATTCACTCTTTCACGTGTTCGGCGGAAACCGCCAATGAGATTAGAAATTATCGCCGATGACAACGATATATCATCCCCTTTATCTCATGCGTAGAAGGGGTGGAGCCCGTAAATGATGGATTGATTTATGGATCTATCGATGGAACTATAATGAATTTCCTCATGCTTGTAGGTTATTAGATTGCATAATAACAATTAGTTTCCTCATGGTCCGAAGAGTGATGGAGGGTCCGAGAGAGAGAGAGAGAGATAATATTTCCCACCTTTTATTTAAGTCACAACCATCTCATAAATATGTTGGCTCCTCAACTTGTTGCTTCTAAATCTGACGAGCTAGTTCATAAAAAGTTTAGGATAATTATCTACAAGCTAGTTCGAGCCACTTTTGGTGAATTATCATGCGTAGACAATTATCTACCAACTCTAGCAACAAATTAATTGTTAAATGAAACAAGCTGCTCTCTTGCGGAGCTCAATGGCGTTGCCGTCAACAATTGTTAAACGTTGAGGGAACATGCGTTGAGGAGGGCAACAAGCGTTGCTTGTTCTTAGGATGATCCAATTGTGCCAAAGAAATCTCATAACAACGCTAGTTCATAAAAATCTAGGTCTAAAAAGCTGCTCAGAAATACGTTTAACAATTAGTTTGTTTTCTGACGCTAGTTCATAAAATGTTGCCCTCCTCAACGCATGTTCCCTCCTCAAATGTTGCTCAGAAAAATCTCATAACAACGCTAGTTCATAAAATGGAACATGCGTTGCTTGTTCTTAGGATGATCCAATTCCCCAATGGCATTGCCGTCAACAACGGTGATGACTATGTCCTCAAATTCTAGATCAATGTTCCCCTTGGTTTTCTAACAATGCGAAGGTGAACACGAAGGGCAAGTTCCAGGTGGTTATGACATCTCCAACGAGGAATGTGGTAGGAGTGAAGCTCGACCAGCAGGAGAGAACCACGGAGATGTTGTGCCATAGAAGCATGTCGGGTACGAGCGACATAGTGGAGGAGAATAATGGCGCGTCGGGGCTGGGGTTCGTGGAGAGTCCTTTTATCACGGCTTTGATATCTCTGGTTCTCTCTCTCTCTTGCTCTCCACCTCTATCCGTGCTGCCCTTCTTCGCCTATTCTCTGGTTCTCCCATTCTCTCTAAAGTTTTCCACCGATTCTTTTTCTTTGGGACTGGTAGCACTAGATCTTGTTTCTATGCGACTCAGTCGTCGTCCTGATTACTCGATCACCACAGAAAGCATATTGAGAGTTTCTTCTAGATCATGTACTATGATGTGGTTTTAATGAAAAATTAAATCTCATAAATGTGCTTCGACTGAGTTAGCTATTCCAACGCCAAAAGATTTTTTCCATAATATTCTTCAGCAGAGGAGGTCAAAAATATAACAAGATTAATTATTCACATTGGAATTATTGACTTGCATGTCAGTCATGCCAGACGATCATGAATTCATTAGACTATCAAAGCCGAAAGATAGATAACTCATGAGATGGCTCTTTCTCTCTCATTGGCTAAAGTTGGTTCTGCTGGTTGTACTCATCTATTAGTTCGATGCCGTCTCCATCGTCCAACATCGTGCCTTACTAACAGTCTACATGTCAGTTAATTCTACCATCCAATAAACATACTATCTGAGTCAACAGTGATCACTCATTAACTCTCTCTCCAAAGCTAGAGTTACATACAGAACCATAGAAGGCCAACTGTTACCAACGTGAGAAAGCTAGATATTATTATATTACTATTATCATTACGTCGCCATGTTATTAGAATCTTTTATGCCCAGTAGCCACATTTTACAGAGTATCTAGTCGTGTTCAATAAATAATGTAAATGAAAACTTAGGTAATCCAAAAATAATTTGTGAAAAATCTTTCTTTCATGGTATACATGAGCAAATTCGGGGTTTGGAAATAGGCTCTGAAGTCACTGGACCCAGCACAAGTTAACAAGAGCTGAAATGACATCTCAAATCCACATGGAACGAGATCCCAAATCCTTGGAGTCAGCTCCCGTCATGGGGAGGGGTGAGGAGAACAAGAAATGGTGACCCAGGGAACGCGTCACTGCGGCGGCCCCTTCACCTCATCCTTTGCTTCGACATCATCTTCTTCCTCCGGCTCCGCCGTCGTGGTCAGGTAATCGCACATCCTCTACTTTTTCTCCCACGTGAGCAGTGGCCGCTTCTTCTTACGATCAAGTTATGATACATTTCTGCAGCAAGGGCTTCTGGTTTCATGTTGTGATTGAGATTGCTACGCCAAGTAGGAACGTACCAAAAGAACAACAGCACCATAAATCCTCCTACGTCAATGGAGAGAACTAAAAAGAAATTTCTTTCAGTAGAATAACATTTAGAAATAAAACCTTAGAAGACGATGCTGAACTCATCTTCCTTCCTTTAGGTCCACAACCCCCCTTTCAATTCAACCAAAATAACATATCTATATCTAGAGAGAGGGAGAGGGAGCAGAGAAAGGAAAAAGTCTGAACCCTTTGTTTCCTCCACGTCTCTCATTAATTAGAGGAGGAAGAGAGAATGGGAGCAACGTTAGGACATTCCCCTCTCTCTCATCGGTTGTTTCCGAGGAATAAGAATAGGGAATGAACCGACCGGTTCGTCAAGTCAGAAAAAGGCAGTTAAAAATTGACGCACCAGAGATCACTCGTTTGAGGAGCGACTTCCATTCTCTTCTTCGAGTTTGTCGTCTCCGTTGGCTCCATTTCCTTCCTTCTCCCGTGCCTCTGATCTGGTGACGGTTTTTCACAGAAGAATCATAGTGCCGAAATTTCACCCATAAAGGTAAAATATTGTTTGAACTTACTGACCCATGGCTCTTCAGCTCTTTATTCCCACGAGAAGGAAAACTACGAAACCACATGTTACTCACCCATAATCTCCATTATACAGGAAAACATAAGAAGATCCGTTTCTATTAGTTCTTGGAAATTTGAACTCTGAAACAGAGAAGTTATTTCAACCCCTTTTGAATTAAGAACATTAACTCATGAACAATAGATCTTCTTGAACCATTTATCAGCTTGTGAAGAAAGAATATCATGCATATAGTTTTGCTTCAGCCTGCGAATGATGGTGCTCATATTTCAAGATGTTCGTCATTCTCTATGAGAAACTCGCCAGTTAGATTTTAACAGAAAAATTGTTTGTATCGTAGTGATCCAAATATTGTCAAGCCAAACGCATGGCATCATGATTGTGGGATTATCGTACAATGATGTGACCTGATTGGTCTGTTATGATGTCGTAAAATGATAAGATAAACTTTTCATCGATAATGTCTCAAACCGGCCACCATCAGTTTATGGCCTCTGCTGCAAAGTTGCGGTGGTCCATGATATCCGTAACCGTCATTAACCGCGACGAGATTCGTCTTGGACTATGTATACGATAACACAATACATTTTGTTCTCTACAGCAGGGCGACCTCGTCCGTTGACATTTCTAGCCTGCCGACCGTCTAGAAACAAGGCTGTTAATGAGTCGACTCAGGCATGTGAAACATCCAACCTTTGTCTTCTCACTATGTCTCATCTCACCAATTGTCAAGGACTACTAACCCAGGTGAGAGATCATCTCTGCTGGATTTCATTTAACTCCCGACCATCCGTCGATCTTCACAGCCCATTCGCGCCAGCTATTCCACCGAGTGACATCATCTAATCAAGCCCATTTCTTTGACTGAGTTTCTCGACGAACGGCACAGGATTCGCCAGAACTAGACGACGGGTTCCATCTCTCATCGCCATTAATTGAAGTCGCGGCGGCACGAAGATTTCAATGGTGGATGGGCCGACGTCGGCGATCTCCCTTGTTTTGGTGGTTCTGGAGCATTCAAGCTTCTTTGAAGAGAGAAGCTCTTAATTATACCCGGGCTCTGCCACCTACCCATGCAAAACCTAATGCACGCAAACTTGCATTATATGTGCACAACGAGGGTTGGATTTCCCTGTATTCCAGACGCAAGCTTTCCTCCATGGCGCCCTCGTCTGTCCTCACTTCCTTCTTCCTTTTCTCCCTTGTTATGCACCATGGGGCCTCCCCTCTCATGCCCCCAGCCGTCCGGGTGCTCATGAACTACGAGAAGATCCAGTTCCAGACGGTCACCGACCCGGAGAGCCTCGCCTCCTCGACGCCGCCGGAGGCGGACCTTACACCGGCGTCTCCGACTGGCGAGTCCTGAAGTGGGAAAGCCCCTCTCGCGGGTGGGTCGAGTTCGCCGTTCCCAAGCCAGATAGGTGACGACCGTAAACTCAGTGCTAAATTAGACAATTCGATTATATAAAATCTTTAAATTTTTCATAGCATCAATGTATGAAGATATAATGCACCTTTGACGGGTCTCTCTCACTATCTCCCTCACGATGTTAACAGGAATGGAGTACGGTGCAATGCTTTGGCGGTCCCCGAGATGGAGGACAGATGCGGGAGACCTCTTGGACTGCAGTCCCATCGAGCCACGGGGAACCTCTACATTGCTGACGCCTATTACGGCCTCCTGGTGGTCGGTCCTGGTGGCGGGGTGGCGACGCAGCTCGTCGTCGCTGCCGAAGCTAAGCCGTGGACGTCGACCAAGAGAGAGGGCTCGTGTACTTCACCGATATCAGTACCCAATTCCAGAGAAGGTCCTCACTGCCTCCACCTCTTCCTCTCCCCATCATTTCATTCATCTCCGTTACAGTTCTCTAGCTAACTGACTCATAAAAAATCGCTACAAATGTATATCAGTGGAACCTGAACTTAAGCAAACAATGTTGGAATGTTATTATTGCTGCTTATATCAAACACGTGATGTTTAATCTATGGTCAATAATATTGAAACAACATATTATAGTAGATCAATGTTCTAGCTGAGAAGAGATATAGAAAGAGTGTTGGCGGTGTCAGTCCATCAAGGCTGACCTGTTCGGGAGACGTGCGAGGAGCCTCCTCCTGTCTCAACCATTCGAGAGATGTGTAAGAGACCCTCTCCCATCTGACTTGTATAGGACACATGTGAGGAGTGAGGGACAGTGACACAGTTGTCACCTCATCTCATCTAACCCGGTCAAGGGTTGTGCAAGGAGGGAGAGACAATTGCTACCTCATTCCTTTTGACTCGTTCGGGAATCGTGCAAGGAAAGAGAGAGCAAGAAACGAGAAAGGTTGAAGCCGTCACCTCTGAGATGTGTGGGCTTGTTTGCATGTAGATTGAGATATTTCTTTTTTAAAGGTAGTTATCTTTTCTTGTTTTCTATAAATAGGACATGTATTTTTCCTATTTCTAGTACAATGAACTACGAGATTATTCTCTCTCTCTCTTGGTTCTATTCTCTCTCTCCATCATCTCATTTACTCTTTGTTGGTCTCTCTTCTCTTTTCTATTATATGTAAATTCCTTATAGAAAGAGATAAGATTTTATTGCTAACTCTCTAGTGTGTGAGTCATCTCGATGACATCGAGAAATAGATTAGAGGTGTCTAGTAAAAGTTTTGTTTTCAGAATTCTTGATAGTTTAATAATTTTTCTTTTATTTGTTCTCATTGATATTTAAAAATTAAATTTCTATTATTATTGTGATCATGTGCTTATATATTTATTTCTACAAGTGGTATTAAAGTATTGATTTGATTATTTCTAAATTTACTATGGCTTCTAAGGTGCATATTGACATCTAGAAGTTAGATAAGTCTTCTAACTTTAATCTATGAAATCATTGTGTATAATATATTGTTGTAGACTAACTTATATAAGACTTTGGATGGACTAAAGCTAGACAAGATCAATGGTGATAATTAGAAGATAATGAAGAAAAAAGTTAGAGGTTTTATTCATACAGATTTGTCTAATTGAACTCTTTAATAAGTCATGAATAAATACAATCTAAAAGAACTCTAGAAGAAGTTAGAGAAGTGATATGCATTAAAGTTAATGATGAGTAAACTGATATTAAAGATAAAATTAGTTAGGTTAGGCATGTTAGATAGAGATATTTGGCATCATATTGATTATTTTAATTATTGAAATGACTTATTTCATATGAAGTCAAATTTTTCTAATGAGAATAAAGTTATTATTCTCTTTGTTTCTCTTATTAATTTATATGATCATCTTGTTATAACCTTGTTGTATGATAATACAATATATATTTTTAAAAATATTATTGACTCATTGATAGAATATTATCATTTGAAAAAAGATAGTTGTGAACCTCATGGTGAACGTTTATATGTGAAGGGTAGAAGAGAATACTTAAGGTAAAAAGAGAAAAGATCATCATGAGACAAGAAGTGTTGATCTAAGTCACATAAAATTAGTTAAAAAATCAAACTTATCACAACTATCATGAAAAAGAACATTTGTGAAGAGATTATTCAAAGAACCGAAGTGATAAGACAAGAAAAAGTGAATCTAATTCGACTAATGTTGTGAAAGTTGAGGATATAAAAGAGAAAAAGTTATTTTAGTATTCTTACAATTAAAAAATTATTGAACACATAGATTCTTGATATTGATTGTTTTTATTAGATGTGTTTTAATGTTAACTAGTTTGACCCATATAAGAGTGTCATGGGAGTATTTTCATGAAAAATAATGTAGCTTGTAAAGTTGTTGTCATTAGTTTGGTCAAGGTTCGAATGTTTGACTAAGTGGTCTAAGAGCTTAGAAATATTCATTATGCTCCAATATTGTACTAGAATTTGATTTTTCATAGAGTATTAAAAGTGAATAAATGTTACTTCAAAGGTGAAAATAAAATCTTCAAGATTATCAAGGGATCACTCATTATAATGAAGGAAAGACATCAATGAGCAAATATTTATAAACTTAAAGGGATTACTGTTGTAAGTAAAACTTGTGTTGTGATATCAGATGATTTCATGATTGATGACACTCTTTTATGACACTTGTGATTGAGATATATGAGTGAGATAAGTATGCATAAGTTACATGCACGATAATTACTTTCTGATGTGAAAACTTATAACTTAAATTTTTGTAAGTACTATATCATGAGAAAACAATACAAAATAACATTCAAGGTAGTGAAATATAATATAGGTAGTGTGCTGGATTATATTCATTCAAATGTGTGTGATTCAATTGATGTGACGTCGATAAATTGTGTTTATTATTTTTTAACTTTTGTTGATGATTTTTTTGAGAAAGTTTAAATATTCTTCTTAAAACATAAGTTAAAAGTATTTGTGAAGTTTAAGACTTAATGTGTAAAATTGAAAAATCAGATAGAGAGGAAGATCAAAGTCCTATAGACTAACAATGGTACAGATTTTAAGAATTTTGAATTTAATCAATTTTGTGATGAGTATGATATTCAACATCATTATATGGTGAAGAAGACTCCACAATAGAATAGTGTTAATAAACAGATGAGCCACATGATTGTTGAGAGAGCATAGTGTTTACAACTAAATGCTGACTTGTCTAAGAAGTTAAGTATGATAGCTTATTTGGTGAATAGATTGTCATATTATATTCTTTATGGGAAGGTTGTTGAAGAGGTATGAATTGAAAATCTTATTGGCTATTTGAATTTACATATTTTTAGATGTCCAAGATTTTTCTTTACAACTACTAATGAGCAATCAAAGTTAGATCTAAAGTTGAAAAAATGTATCTTCTTATACTATAGTGTTAATGTGAAGAGATATTAACTTTGAGATTTAAAGACAAAGAAGTTTATTTTTAGTAGGGATGTAGTCTTTGATGAAGATCACATATTGAAGTCCTTTATAGAACTCATGTTTCAAGAATCTAATGATACTCATGTTGAAGATAGAGTAAGGTTGAAAATGAAGATTGTGTAGAGTCTTTCTAATTTTATTTTGAGTAAAGATCGAGTTGTAGAAACATCAAATGTTCTTGATTGTATTAGATGGGTAGATATAAAGTAAAGCCTCCTACTTATCTTGATGAGTATATTGTATTTACATTATTTATAGGAGATGGTGAACCCATAACTTTTCAAGAGGTAATTAATTGTCCTAAAAAAGAGAAGTGGTTGTAGATGATGTTTGAAGAGCAATTATTTTTAGACAAGAATCACACATGAGAATTAGTAGATCTTCCTACAAGAAAATGAGTTATTTAAGTATAAATTAATATATAAGAAGAAGTCACTGATGATTAATGATGACCAACTATAATACAAGATACGACTTGTTGCACAAAATTTTACACAGAAATAAGGAATTAACTATATATAGATCTTTTCATATGTTGTGAAGTCCATATTTATTCGCTTGATGTTAGTCATTATCACACATAAAGATATAGAACTTAAACAACTAGATGTAAAGACGGTTTTTCTTCATAGAGATTTAGATGAGACTATTTATAATGTAACAATTAGAGGGTTTTATTGTCCAAGGATCTGAACATCTTATCTATCAATTGAAGATGTCTCTTTATAGGTTGAAGTAATTATCAAAATAGTGATATAAGAAGTTTGACTCTTACATATTAAAGAGTGACTATATAAGATATGATTTTGAATTCACATGAGATTACTAGATTGAAGACACTATTGAGCAAAAAAAATGACATGAAGAATATTAGTGTGGTAAAGAGGATTCTTGATATGAATATTCATAGAGATTAAGAGTTAGGTTAATTATAGTTGACTCATAGTAGTTATATCTCGTAGGTGTTCAATCTATTTAGTATAAGTAATAATAAAATAGTGACCATTCCTCTAGTTAGTCATTTCAAATCATCTATTATTTAGATATTACTAAGATGAAACAAATTATTTATGCTAGTTCTATTGGCTCTCTCATGTATGCTATGGTCTATATAAGATCATGTATTACTCATGTAATTAGAGTTGTTAGTAGGTTTATGAGCAATCTAAGAAAAGAGTATTAGAGCATAGTGAAGTGGATTATTTGATATTTAAAGAATTCTTTAAATTTTAAAATTCAATTTAACTAATATAATTGTCTCTCTACTATTAGCTTTGTTGATGTAGATTTTGTTGAGAATTTAGATCATCAAAAATCTACGACATGATATATTTTTATAGTGGCTAGTAAACCTATGAGTTGGAAGTCTACACTTTAGATTATTGTCACATTGTCTACGATTGAGGCAAAGTACATGACAACTATTAAACGAGTCAAGAAGGCCTTGTGGTTGAAAAGATTATGAATGAATTTGAGATCTGACATGATGAAGTTCCTCTACATTGTGACAGTCATAATATTATTTACTTGGTCAAGAATTAAGTCTATCATACATGGTTAAAACATACTGATATACAGTATCACAAGAATTACGAGTTGATGAATTATGAAGATATCTCTCTAAAGATGATTCACATGGAGAAGAATGTCACAAATATGTTGGCGAAGGTCATCACAGTGGAAAAGTTCAAATACATATTATATGTACCTTACAGGAGGTGACAAACTTACAACATAGATGGACGTCAACTTTAGGTGCAGTGATGACACCTACCAAGGTGGAGTTTGTTGACAGTGTCAATTCATCACGGCTGACACATTTGGGAGATCTGTGAGGAGCCTCCTCTCATCTCAACTATTTAGGAGACAAGCAAGTGACCCTCTCCCATTTGACTCACTTGAGAGACATGTGAGGAGTGAGGGGCAATGACATAGTTGTCACCTCATTTTGTTTGACCTAGTTAGGACTCTTGTAGGTAGAGAAAGATAGTTATCACCTCATCCTTTTTGACTCATTCAAGTGTGGTGTAAGGAGAGAGGGAGTAGGAAATGAAGGAGGTTGAAGTTGTCACCTCTAATATGTGTGGGCTTGGCCACACGTAGATCAAGATTTTTTTTTAGGGGTGATTATCTTTCCTTATTTTCTATAATATAATACGTGTATTTATCCTTTCTTGAGTGTTACAGACCATGAGATTATTCTCTCTCTTTTGATTTTATTCTCTCTCTTCATTAACTCTCTTTTTCTTTCTTAGTCTCTTTTCTTTCTTCTATTACAGATAAATTCTTTATAGAAAGAGATAAAAGTTTATTGTTAAGTTTTCAGTGTGAGTCATCTTGAGGATGTTGAGACATAGATTAGAGGTGTCTGGTGGAAGTCTTGTTTTCATCGAGATTCCTGATAATTTAATGATTTATTTTCTATTTATTCTTTTGATATTTAGAAATTGAGTTTCTGTTATTATTGTGATCATGTGTTTACATATTTATTCCTATAAAGAGTCAACTATACATAACTAAATTTTCTACACTATGATATACTGAGGTTCTATAGAGAGGCCTATAATTCCCCAACTACAAGAAGAATCAGCAGGGGGAGTTCTAGGTGGCCATCGTCACCATCGTTGGGGATGTGATTGGACGTAGGTTGGACGCGGATGAGAGGACTGGAGTTTCTGCATGATCTGAGCACAAAGAAGGAGGTCAGCGAAGTGTTGGAGAACGACGGAACCTTGTGGCTGGGATCCATCGAGGGGCCTTTCGTCGGTGTCTACAATCTCTCTCTCTCTCTCTCTCTCTCTCTCTCTCTCTCTCTCTCTCTCTCTCTCTCTCTCTCTCTCTCTCTCTCTCGCTCGCTCGCTCGCTCGCTCGCTCTCGTCCCTGACCTCCCTCACACCAGTCTTTTCGCAGCTCTCTGTTCATCTATCGGTTACATCTATCGGCGACTCCAGTCTTCGAACATCGGCTGTCTCTCTCTCGTCCCCGATTCCTGTCCTTAACGAATCTTCAAATATTTTCATTAAAAAACTTTCGTATTACTTATGAATGTCTCTTGGTTGAATAAGGTATGAATCGACTCAGTAAGCGCTCAATTACTGACGGAGGGGAACCCTGGTCGAAATGTAGACAAGAGGACGGAGAGAGAGAGACAGCGAGAAGTGAGGCCTGAGTTCACCTCATATCTACCCCGTATGGATATTACGGGTGGGTTCCATACATCTCTCTCTCTCTCTCCAGTGCTTCACAGTTGCAAGACCAGAGCCTGGTTTTCGAGCTATTATCCCGGCGGGGTTTGAAAAGAGCTGAGCTGGGAAGGCGAAGGCCGAGCTGACCATTAAGTATTGAATTAGGCTGCAGTCACGGGAGAGATAGTCACCTCATTAATCTTAAAAGATGCAGATCTCCTCAAGGATTCAGCAACGCATCGTCAGAATCGCTTGAGCTTTAATGGGCTTTCATCATCACGTTGACTTTCCCGTCGTCGTTGGGGAATCGATAGCATGATTGTTCCCGTTTACCCGAAAACATCCACTTCCCAGATGAAACTAGCAGCCAGCGCCCATTTCTGGCACGGTACAAAGAGAGAGTGAAGAAATTCAAAAGGTACAATTTCTTTTCTTACAGAGAATTGATTCATTAACAGAGGAGAAATACTGGAAAATCTATCACGTGAACTCACTCACCGGTTTACTCTTGATTACAACTTCTAAATACTTTGTATAATATTATGAGCTCTTTAAAATACCACAATCTAAACTAAATATATCCAAGGTGTAGGAAATCTATAACACTGAATGGCTATCGACGATCTCCTCTTGGCGTCGTTGAAATATCCATAGAGCTTCCTTCTTCGCACTCTTGGCCCTCTTATCCTCCATAGTTTTCGCTCGTGTGGTGCCTTCGACTCCATGCCGACGTATTTTTGGATCTGATGGAGTACCAGAGGATCCAATTTTCAGCTGTGACCGGGCCTGAGGGCCTTACCATCGACGCCGGCGGTGGCGGCAGATCTTACACTGGCGTCTCCGACGGGCGACTGCTCAGGAAGGAGGGGTCCTCTCGTGTGTGGGTTGAGTTCGCCATTCCGACTCGAGACATGGCGTAAACTCGAGTTATCGGTGAGCTCGAAGTGTAAACTTTCCTCGTTACAAAATACGGACCCTCGCTTCTTACCCGCATCCCTCCCCCTTTGTATCTCCATTTTGATGCTGCTAGGAACCGGTGCGACGGATTGGCATCCCCGCTGAGGACAAAGATGAGGGGGCCTATTGTGGTGCAGTTACACAGCGACACGGGAAAGCTGTAATTCCCTGCGTAACCACAGCCTGAGAGGCCTTCCGCATCTCTCCTCCACCGAGGGGATAGCCATGTCGTCTCACTGTGTTCGGTCCCTAGCAACATCAAGATATAAGAAAAAGAGGAAGATTGAGAGACAGATATAGGGGGGGATAATCGTAAGAATCGAGCGTCCATATCTCGAGTTCACGGAAGATACCTATCTCCAGTCGGAATGGCGAGCTAGACCCACCCGCAAGAGGGCCCCTCCAACCCGAGCACTCACCCGTCGAAGACACCGGAGTAATGTCTGCCGCCGCCGGCTGAGGCAAGGCTCTTCGATCCGGTCACATACATAAGCAGGATCCTTCCGTTCTCCATCAGAACCCTAACATCCGCCCGGCACGCAAGCAAGAACCATTGAGTACACGAGGGCGAAGAGGACGAGGAAGAAAGCGCTGCGGATGGTGGACGATCTTTTCCGAGAATAGAGAGAATTCGCTCTACCCAATTCCTCGGAGAAGAAGAGTATTTATCGTGAGCTGGGGCTTTCTCGGCTTCTTGGGAGCCGACGGAGGTTGGTCACAACTATTGACTGCATGATCTCTCCCCGCGTGTGCCACCTGATCTGAAGCATCTGGGAGTAGAAAATGCTGTTCATGCGCCTTTCGAATCATGCAGACCAGAACAGCACAACGAGAAGGGTGCCGCCCACTTCAGAGGCGCCACTCCTGGGTGGCGGTTGCAGGACTTGATCGTTCTTCTTTCGGCCACCTTTGCATGATTGATCAATGGGTTGCAGAGGCGACAGCATAAAACAGCCGCCGCCGCCGCCGCCGCCGCCTGGGTGAAGGGAGGAGATGGGGAATCTGATATCGGCTAGTTCTTAGAACGGATGTGACCATGAACCCTGAGATGTCTCTCTATTCACGAGGTCAATGCTGTCGGGTACAGAAATCTTTGAACAAAGTCAATACGATGGATGGATAGAGATAGCGAGAGAGAGAGAGAGAGAGAGAGAGAGAGAGAGAGAGAGAGAGAGAGAGAGAGGGCGGGGGAGACAGACATTAGGTTCATAATGATGCCACATTATAAGTGTGGCTGTCAGTACTAAAATTCCACAGGTATGATGCAGACGAGAACCAGAAGAATAGAAACTGAAGAACATGGGGTCTTCATTTTGGCGTTACGTGAGTATTCAGATGCTACACTTCGAAGACTAAAGACAACCAACAGTCACCTCCAAAGGAGATGTATGTACTAAACGTATAGGGAGAGAGAGAGAGAACTCTCTATCGCTTATATACTAGACAATTTCAATGGAAACTCTCTTTCTCTCTCTTGTCCTCTCTCTCTCTCTCTCTCTCTCTCTCTCTGTCAACCAACAAAGGGAGAAGCCCTAAACACCCTGAGAAGGGTTTGTTCCGTTTTCCTAAATAGACAGAATCATTTAAATAGTGGCCTAAAATTTCATTATAGTCCTCGTAATTAATAAAAACCCGGCTAAGTGGCTTAAAAAATAATGAGGCTTTATATTCTGTGGGAACCTAAAAGTCAGATAGTAATAGGGAGGTGAAATAAAATGACAAATTTTATCTTGATGTTAGTAAAAATATTAGGTTTTATGAGAAGAAGCATTGGTACTAATCAGGGGGGATTGTAAGCAGTATGGCCCCTACATTCTTATGGTCGAGAGGCAAATATGATGTTGACGGGGGTTCATCATTTAAATTCGAAATTATCATGGGCTTACTCAAAATGTTCAAAGAAAAACCGAGCTTCAGAATAGAGGCTGCACTCAAGAGGGCCTTTGTATAGAAGAATGATTGTCTTTGAATACCCCTGAGAACTGTCAGCTTGATTATATTGGACTGAATTAATTATATTTTCTTTTATATCACAAAAGAATCTATAAAAGCAAACATTTTTCACAACGGCCTTTTTTTTCCCCAGACCCGGCGGAATAATTCATCCAGGAATAATATCAAACAATGTATTCATCTTCATGCAATAACAAAATGCCCACCCATAAATATTTATAAATAAATATGGGCTTGGGGGAGACAACTGAGGCCAATCCAAGCAATGGGTTGAAAAGGCTTCGCATGTCCATGCTAATCTGCTTCTGGTATTAATCTTCATGCTCGTCCTCTCCTTCAGAATCTGCAATGAGCAGTGATGTAATTCAAAGAAAGCCAATTAACGTAGTTCTTGCTGTGAGAGAAGAGGAGATGACCAGAGCTTGTACCGGAGCGGACGTCATCCCCAATGCTGCCCGATTGTAGCTGCCTCATAATCATGCGGAAGATCAAGACTGACCAGTAGATGTGAAGAAAGAGCAGGCAGAGGAGAAGAGTGTTGAAGATGTAGTAGTATACAGGCCCCTCCAGTCTATGCTTCTCCCTGTCAAATCTCAAGGCAACCTCATAGCTGCGAGGAAATGAAGAATGAAGGAAGAACTGAGTCTCGGAGGATGATGGATGACCGTCAGATTGGTGAACATGATAAAACTCCGTTGACAAAAATGAAAGATTTTCGTCGAGAATGAGGAAGGGAGTTCGGATGATTAAAAAAACTAGGTGAAAATGTACCCTGAACGCTGATTTCAAAGTGATGCATATGTTTAAACGTCTTTAGAAAAAATTAAAAAAAATTAATGAATTGACGATGAGGTGTGGCAGTACAATGTCTAAAGCTATGCGACATGGTGTAAAATTTAAGTGATAAAAATGATATGTTTTTGTCGAGAAAGAGGATATGATCTCGGACGTTTTGCCATTTTAATTAAAAATGCAGGCCGATTCCAAGGGGCACTAGGGTTTCAACATCTAACAAAAACAATAATTAACGAATTTACGGAGGAAAAAGAGCAGAGAGATTCTCGTATATCAGATTAATTAATATTTGAAATATCAAAGAATATGCATGATAAACATGATAAAGTTTCATCACTAAAATAGATTCTGGTCAAGAAATTCAGTATGGTTTTGGGCGTTTAGCTCTTTTTAATAAAAATGCAGGCTGACTCGAAGGATATTAGGTTCAACGCCTACCAAAAGAGAACTTTTTCAATGAACCTAAGGATACAGTGCAGAAGAAAAACGTAGATGCACTGCTTTAATCAGACTTTCCTTGAGAAGACGCATGCAGTAATCTGTTTTTTTTAACAAAGATGCTCCATCATATCAGATGTTTTACCACCCAACAAAATAAAGCATGTAAATAACTAATCAATTAAAAATTACTTCAGTTTTGTGTCAGGCTTCAGCCTCTTCCTTTATGTTTTTTCTGCTAATGACCAAAGCATAATTTTTGCCATAATTTTTAGGATAAAGCATAGCTGACAGATGTAAATGCAATACTCAACCGAGCTTTCCATGAGACGACTGATTATATAATCAATGCTTTTTCAAAAAAATTGAGCAACATAAACATCACACGGAAAGAACAAATCAATACAAGTTTATGCGGTTGACTAAATGTTACGAGTCATGCTTCAACTATTTCCTTGACACACTTTCTGCTAATTATGAAAGTATTATTTTTTAAAATCACCTGGTGCTTCGGATAATCCAGAAGGGGAAGTACGTTAGGCGAAGAAGAACCCACACTATAACAAAACTGACGAAAAAAATTTGAGCGAGCCCATCACAGCCACTATATTTGGACATCTTTGCCATTTCCATGAAAATATCAGTCGCATCGTGAAGTGCCAACACCATAGAGCCAACCCGAGAGAATCTGGAAGGAGTGTAGAAAAGGAAAGAAATGAATGCAGGAACTCGATAATTATTATTCGTCACTCAAAAAAAAATGTCAAAACATATGAACAGCATACTGCTGTGAAAACAAGAATGTTGATGGCAACGATGTATTTGTTTCACTCCAGTACAAAATCGCCAAAATATGGTCCTCTTTGTTTGTCTTCAGAAAAATATGAGGCAGAGTATACAGCATTGAGTTCCTCATACTATGATGTCATTACACAGATCTGTTCTTCTTCACACAAATTCTTCCTATTAATTTCTTCTCCTGGGGTCAAAATCTTACTTCTCTCTTATTCATCTCGTTAATCAAAAGGGCTCTATAAGAAAAAATAACACCAGAATATAGATAGATAAGATGATGAGGATCACATAAGAAAAAAAAACGCATCGGTTAGATTCATCTGCATACCTGAGCACGTAAGATAAGATGATGAGGATCACAGTTGCCACATGGTGAGACATTGATACTCCAAAGTCTGACCGCCTTGTCTCCCAGAAGAGCAATGCAAATATTGAGTACGTGTAAAATCCACCAGCATATATGTATGCTGCTTTGAGTTTCAACCTGAGCGTAGGAAGAATTAATCAATCGATATTGTTTACATATTATGATGAGCAATACATGATTGACGATTCTAATCAATCAGTACTCCATCCCAACAAAGCAATCAAACACTTCCCAGATTAAACAAAGTGTACCATATATGCATATACACGGATAAGTAAAAAATCAGCAGTGAGGCTAAATACTGAAATTGTGTGCTGAAATATCATAAAAAAATCGTTGAAACCAGACAACAGACATTTTTCAATTAAGTTAAAATATTAAATACGAGCAGATCAATATTTATGTGGCGTGGATTGCAGTAAAAACCATAAGCATCAACTATTTGGAGCGAAAATTATATCCAAAATAAGAAAATAAATGGTACAGATTTTGTATCCGTTGTGTACAAGGACAGGTCTTTCATAGAATTATAGTATCGTGACACACGAATTGATGACTAAGGAAATATTAAGTAAAAAGAACAGGGGGGAAATGTAAAAGACCTTACTTCATTCGCTGATTGGGCCAGATCTGGTCTCCCGGCCCCACCCAAAACTTCGTCGTATCTGTAAACCAAGGTTCATTGTATGTAACTGCTAGGATGAATATCTCTGCTGACAGAAAGTAAACAAACTTCCACGCTGATTCTTTGAATTTGTTGAGCAATTTTCTTCTCCCATATGCCTCAACGTCAACCTTCACATGCCCCTTCCCAAGAACAAACAGCCTCGCTATTCTCTGTACATTGGTAAAGTTGACAGACATTTAGGTGCAACAGTGGAGATTATAGACAAATAAAAGCTTATGACCTTCTGATGGGAGAAGAAAGTAGCGCATAAGAGTTTCTCTTTGTGCCCTAATTGGAAAAGAAAATTACACTATAACATCATCACGTGGAAAAAGGGATAAGTTTCCGCTCAATAAATAAAATAAAGCATTATTTATTTGATCAAGGAACTAAATACCACATCAGAATTAAATTTCTCTCCACCAATTCCTTTATTTTTTTGTTCCGTTCGAAGGCAAAGATGCCAAAGCTTCTCTATTATATTCAGAAGTAGCGGGAAATAACTGATGTCTCTGATAATGAAAATCATCCAAGGAATATGGTCGTCCTAAGCCATCTTAAATTATAGACATATATAATGATGGACTTATTCCTTTAAGAAATCGATCATTATCTACCCGTCATTCATCTCCACAAGCCCACTTCATATCCAGAGTCTGCCCACTCTCTACCTTCCGACACACCTTCCCCTTCTATTACATGGTCCTCCTCGACTTTGCCAACAAAGTCCGGTTCTCCACTACCTGCTCGCCCTCTTCCATTGACTAAAAATGCAATGTTTCATCAAAACATCCACAAGAGATCATAAATGGCATATTCAGTCTGTATGATTAATACCCATATATTCTAAATGGGGTAAATTCATTTCTGGTCGTCATATCTACAACTCCAACATTAACCGTATAATATTGACTTTTAATGAAGACCGAAAAGAAAAATGTGACCACAACACGACTCTTTCGTTAAATTCAGTATACTAGAAATAAAGACACATTTTAAGGCATAACTTTACTTGTATTTATTGGGTCGTTCATTTTCCTAAACAGAGATGACCCCGAATAAATAATATTTGCACGAACCAAGACACGCTATTACCCATGGCTAAAGTTTCCAAAGATTATATGCTTCCCGACCAAGCGTAATGTTTATGCTCCACCCCATCAATCATTAGAAACCAATGATACCACAGGGAAGAGCCGTTTCCTCTTAATCAAAGAACCCAGAGACAGTTGAACCTAAACGTTCTAAAGTAACATTTTAATCTTCAATTTACGGACTCATTAATTCTATTTATGACCAACAAAAGGCAGCTTACCTCGAAGACGAATCTGTCGAGCAGAAACCTCACGGTGGGAAAGAAGGTGACGAGGAGGGGAAGGAAAACGAAGTCCTGGTAGGAAGGAAAGGTCTCCTCCTGCAGATTCAGAGATGCTATCGTCTCCATGAGACCCATATCCCGATTCGGCGCAAGGTTCCGAGGCGAAGAGACCTTAATTTACAGGTAGATAAAACGGCTGAGGGAGGGAGGGGGGGGGGGGGAGAGAGAGAGAGAGAGCGTTACAGGTGATTTGTGAGAGTAAGTTGGAGAGAGGAGGGAGAACGAGAGGCGCACGGGACTCCCGCCCTCCCTCCATTGCGTCTTGTACCAGGACGCGGTCGCCTTCCCCGCCGTCGAGATCGCACCGTTCCAAAAGGAAGAGACCACGAATTGTAGCGTTCTCGCGGATGCATTTTTTCTCCACCACTATTCGGGAGAGTCCGCGTCGGCGGCTAAAATAAACACTTCGGTGACGGCACCCATCTTTTGTTGGAGCCAGACCGAGTTTATCGTCGTATTTATGTGTATGCCCTTAAAGTCGATAAAACCTTTTTTTAGTACCCCGACAGCTATTTAATTCAACCCCGATTGCATCCGTTTCTAAAGTAGAAATAAAACATTATTACTACCCATGAAAATGACAAGATATTATTAATTAAAAATTTTCCCCATAATTTAATATATTATAAGATGTATCCATGGGTCAGTCATTGAAGGCATATTTTCGACACTAGTGCAATGTGGGACATCTTTTCTAATAACTAGGCAAGCTAGGTATTATTTAAAAAATAAATAAATTTAGTTCTAAAAATAGAAAGAGGTCATTTACAACTTGAGACAACCTTTATTTGGTGAATGTAGTGACATGAACACAATTCTAAGAGTTTTTTGGGGAAATTGCCTGCCAAGATATTGAAACTTCATATTTACTCTTATAATTCCTCGTAATATAGGGGTTTGAACATAATTTCAACACTTCTGAGGTTTGAAAGTACAAATATACTTGGGACGTTAGAACGTTTTTTCTTTCTAGAAACCCGCCGCCTTCTTTGACTTGACGGCAATACGCGTTGACTTTCCTATAATCCTGGTCACTTAATGTTGACGTAGAAAAGTACAATTTATGTTTATTTAATTTATACATGACATGATAAAAAATGAGGCCCGAGGAGTCAATGGGCCGGGATCTCTAGCCATCCGATTCAAAGAACACACATTGTCGGCTCAGTGCAAGGCCCCTTGTGTGCACTCATCCTGGGGAGAGAGAGAGAGAGAGAGAGACAACGACGACGACAATGAAGAAAGCACATCTCACTATGAGATAATTATGAGATAATTATTTTTTTCTACCACTCTTTAAATTTCTCAGTCAAAAAACTACAGTTCAAACCCACAAGTAATAGAGAGTACCGTTTAGTGACATACTCTGAGTAAACCCTACAATGATTAAATTATTATCTCTAAATCTTAATCAAACTCAATTAATGGCGCCCGTATAATCGCAAAATCATAAAGGCAGTTCCTATATCTATTTTTTATAATATATATATAATCGTAATATCTATACAGCTGGTGACAACACCCCCTCCCCCCCGGTGATTAATGAGAAATGGATGGGAATAGAAGTTGGGCCCTCCGTGGGCCTCATCTAAAATCGACCCGCTCCAGCCCAAATTCAAGCCCGGGTTCATAGAAAAGCAGGGGCCCGGGACTGCATTCGAATAACTTGGACGACAAAGGGCCCGTGAATTGACTTGATCCGAGCCAAATCTGTCTGATCAGTTGACTATTCTGTTGACGGATCTTCATTGACTTACCCACGTGGACTCCGCACGTGGGATTAAACAGCCCGAGGCCACATGGGGTGACGTCACAGGGCCATTGGGCTGACGGTGCATTCATGGGGAGGAGCTCGTCTGTTCGGAGCTCGCATTTATGAGGCCGCTGCCTGGAGAAGACAGCCTAGATTGAGCATGGGAAGGCCTGTCCATAACGCTCGAAGCTGCCCACTCATTTATTAACTCTCTCCCTCCCTCTCTCTCTCTCTCTCTCTCTCTCTCTCGCTAGAGCCTGCATGTGGGATCAATAATGAGAGAGACAAGCACGAGGGTGTGGGGAGAGGAGCGAAGGAGAGAGAGGCGCAAGCCCTGTGAAGTGTGAAGAGGAGGTTTATCCTCTCGCACTACGAAAGTAGCATGGGAGGAGGAGACGGCGTTAGAGAGAGAGAGAGAGAGGGAGCACTTGACAGGCACAGCTGAAACCCAGGTGCTCCATTCAGTTGAAAGAGACCGTCACCTTTTGCCCGGCTGACGTGTCCCGGACAGAGATATCGGGGTAAACCGTCTTCTCTATTTAAGATGATGCTGATGATTCTTCGGAAGATTCAAAGGATTTGGAGCTACCGGGGGGCGCTCGATCGACCCCTTCCAACTGGAGATGCGGGTTCTCTGTATTTCCTCCGAAAGATCCGTTCTTAGCGTTCTTGGGAATGTGGGTTCTGAGTTTTCACGGATTTTCTCTCTCTAGACCTTAACCAGAGTGCTCCGGGCTTCCCACTCCCGCCAGTTGCCTCTTCTGTGGACAGTAATGGAGTTCTCCCCGGAGGAGTGCAGCGGCGGCGGCGGCGAGTCTGATTGGACCATCTACCTCGCCTCCGACGCCAACTATGAGAGAGATGAAGATGAAGAGCAACACCAAGAAGAAGAGGAAGATGAAAACGTCGGCACTGGCGGCGGCGGAGAAACCAGCATGGAAGACGAGGACGAGGAGGACGAAGAAGACGACAGCGATTCTCTCACCTCCGACGCCGCGTCTGCTCCCATTCAGCTTGATCCATCTCACTGTAGCGCGGCCGCCAGCAGCGGCGCCACCAACGGAGACGCCGACGAGGAGGGGGACGATGGCGATTGAGCTTCTCTCCTTCTTCTTCTTCTTCTTCTTCTTCTCGGACCTTTCAGATCGTCGGCCCTTTCAGATCGTCTGGCTCCTCCCACCCTCTGAAAGAAGATCCCAAGTCCTCCAGTCAAAACCCTGCATCTTCTTCTTCTATCTGCCCATTTTTTTCGAAAATTAACTAGTTTAGTTTAATCTCTCCTAATTATGTTCCGTAAGAACGTGGTCATGTCGGATCAGATGTGGGGCCCACTTTGGGCACAGCCAAGTAGGCATACCCGTTACATATTTTAATTGCTTTAGTCCCAGTGAATCGTATTTGCATGTATGCCCTCTGGTAGTTGGAAACAGGAAAAGACCGAAATGTCCCGGTATCACGTTGTAGGAAGGAAGCCGCACCTTTGCAGAGTATGGGATATTGCTTAGGGGTGAGGCTATCGGTCTCCAGGTGGCGCCACGATTCTCGGTTATATTGCCGCGGGATACTCTAATTTCACTCCCTGTGGATTATACTCACTCTATCTTGCTCGGACATTCACCAAGTGATGTGACGCATATGAGCTGAGAAAAGGGTGACAATTTTCTACTTGGAGTGAAAATAGTGGTTTCACATTCAATTGAAATTACTAGGGTTTTTCCTCTTGCCTAACCGCCTCCCCGCGTCGCCTATAAATACCTCCCCGGCACCTGAAATTACGAATTGTCTTTCATCTTCACCAAAGAGACGCAAGGGAGGAAAAAGCGGACGACGGGGTTTTCCGGTTCTCTCATCGGCTAAGGTAAGCATCCGTCTGCTCGATTTCTCCTTGTTTGTGCCTTTCTCAGCTTTTGTGATGTCTTCTTGTGATAGTTTTCGTTTTCTTTATATCGGGATGATTGGATTCTAGATACTTGTCGTTCTCCATTCGTTTATCGTTCTCGTATTTGTTTTCTATGACCAGCGACGGCTAGATTTGACATAGCCTTATCTTTGTGGATAGAGGAGATTGAATTTTGAATTTGGCTGTGGAAGGTCGATCATTTTCATTTGCTCTGATTGTTTTTTCCCCCCCTCAGTACGTCGAGAGATGCATGGTATATTTGTCTAATAGAACTTTGGTGTATGAGTGATGCTTACCCATATGCTATTCATTTCATGATTAATTTGGTGAAGTGGTCGGCATCTTTCTCTTTTTGTTGGAGATCCGGCTATAGTTGATTCAACATTGTCTAGAGCTTTTCGATTCTGATTGTTTCCATCGTCATATTGCTCTCCGCGAGAAGAGTACGCGTTGCCGTTCGTTAGCACTGTTCCTCTGTTTGGGGAATAAACGACACTCACCGAAAAATAAGCGTCTGAAATTGTTATGCGACAGGATGGAAGTATGCCGGATGAGTTTATGCCGAATCCGTTCGGAATTTCATGATACATGACGTTTCACCTATTCTTTAGTGCTTTCTCTTGCTCTTATTATGTGGACTATGCTATGCTGATGTTTCGAAGACCAGTAAACTTGCAACTCTGTGTTTAGAACTATGCTTCAGTTCTTCTCATCTCGTGATAGTTTAGGGTTTATTTTTGTCTTCCCTGTGCGGTGGTCTCCTGTCCTAACCGTACCCTGCAAACTCATTTTTTTCCTTCTCCGTTCGCTATCAAAGATGCGAATTAGAGACGGTAGCATGGTCTCTCAGGTGACGGTAGCATGGTCTCTCCAGCAGCCAGGGTTTTCTTCTCCCAGCTACGCTAACAATTTTAATTGGAATGGTGGCATGAATTTACATTTGGTGCCGCCGTGCCTAAAAAGGATTAGCGTATCCTCGTACTATCATGCGCTGAGGATGCTAAACAGTAGGTTATCTATTATTTTGTGGCACATAAATTTTTGTTTATTCGTGTGTTATCCTTTCTTGTCCCGCAGTTTTCCGACTCCCACCGACACCCAACATAACAAACACCCCTCCTCTCCCCCCGTTATCTGCGGCTGGTGATTTCAGTTTCTTTTTTTTTTTTTCCGTGGACGACCGTAGTTAATCCATGACCTTCAAACTCCTGTTCTTTCTGCAGGCACGAGCAGTCTGACCCGCGAACCTGCAGGCTGGACAAAGCGGAAGCCCGAAACTTTTTAATGTCCGCACCAGTCTCTCTGCACCTGGGATCGTCTGGCCTACTGGGAGAACACTACTACCCCACATCCAGGAAAAAGTTCAGGCATCTCTTCAGCGACATCTTGCTTATGCATCTGCAGCCATTTTCAGTAGCCGAAGCTTGCCCACCGCAGCCTCCTTCATCCCGACCCAGAGCCCCGGCGGACCCGCTGCCCTGCTTCTGAGACACACCCAGCGAGGATGGCTCTTCAGAACATCGGCGCCGGAAACAGAGACGATGCCTTCTACAGATACAAGATGCCCCGGATGGTCACCAAGATAGAAGGGCGCGGGAACGGCATCAAGACTAACGTGGTCAACATGGTGGACATAGCCAAGGCCCTGGCGCGGCCCGCCGCCTACATCACCAAGTACTTCGGCTGCGAGCTCGGGGCCCAGTCCAAGTTCGACGAGAAGACCGGGGTCTCCCTGGTCAACGGCGCCCACGATGCCCAGAAGCTCTCCGCCCTGCTCGAGGCCTTCATCAAGAGGTACGTCCAGTGCTACGGCTGCGGGAACCCGGAGACGGACGTCGCCATCTCCAAGACCCAGACGATCGCCCTCCACTGCACCGCCTGCGGATTCGTCTCCGACGTGGACATGCGGGACAAGCTCACCGCCTTCGTCCTCAAGAACCCCCCCGAGGCCCGAAGGTCGTCGGCCAACAAGGACAAGAAGGAGATGAGACGCGCGGAGAAGGAGCGGCTCAGGGAGGGTGAGGCCGCCGACGAGGGGCAGAAGAAGCTCCGCAAGGAGACCCGCAGGAGGGCGCCCCACGTGGCGAGTAAGAAGCACGGCAGTTCCGAGGATGAGAACGGCGACGACGAAGAGGTCCAGTGGCAGACAGACACCTCCTTGGAGGCGGCCCGCCAGCGGATACATGAGCAACTCACCGCCGCCACCGCCGAGATGGTCAAGCTCTCCATCGCCGGCGAGCCGCCAAAGCGGATTCAGAAGCAGCAGCCTCCGGAGGCTACCAAGAAGAGCAAAGAGTCCAACGGCCACTCCCCTGCTGAAGCGGCTGCCAGTGAAGCCCACAAGGCCCTGACGGCGGAGATGAAGGCCGAGCTCGACAAGAAGGGCGCCACCCCCCGCCGGCTCGCCGCCGCACTGGCCGCGGCCAAGGCGGGCCCGCAGCCGGCGATGGACGCGCTGTTCGAGGCGGCCTGTGGTGGCGCTGGCAGGGGCATGGCGCGGGAGCTCGCGAAGAGGGCGGCCTTCCTCGGCGCCGTGGCCCACGACGCGGCGTCGCAATTGCGGCTGCTTCGGGCCATGGAGGCCTTCTGCGGCCGCGCAGGCGCCGATGCGTCGAAGGAGGTTGCACTGGCGGCGAAGGCGCTGTACGACGCCGACGTGGTGGAGGAGGGCTGCATCGTTTGCTGGTACGAGGCGGGCCTCGCTGGCGCCGGCCGGGCCTCCCCCGTCTGGAAGAACTTGAAGCCCTTCATCGACTGGCTTCAGAGCGCCGAGTCCGAGTCCGAGTCCAACGAGTGATCCATCATCCCCCTACCACACTCTGGTCGTCGTTGTCGTGTCCTCTGGAATTCAGCTCGCCGTGTCTCCCTCTCCAAGTTATGGAAAACATTAGTAACTTTATCGTGGATAATCCCGGCCAAGGTTCCGAGTTACCCGGCCAGTAACTCTCTCTCTCTCTTTCTCTTTCTCTCTCTCTCTCTAAGGCATCATCGATCATCATCCTCTAGGGTTAACTTAGGGTTTTATTCTGAGGTTACACGAGCGGAGGAAGGACATAATTCCGGCGGCCCAGCGAAACCGAGGCTGGGTTATACATATCCGAAGAAGAGGCGAGGCCTGAAGAGCTCTCTGCTGGAGGGGGATCGGGGATCAGGCGGCGTCCCTGGCGTTGTTGATGAAGGCGGCGGCGCAGAGGACGGAGGCGACCACGACGAAGATCCCCACCCCCACCGCCGCCGAGACCCCCGCTACCACCACGTCCATCGCCCACTGTAGCACGCCGGAGCCCATCATCTTTCCAATAGTCAAGCCCAGCGAGAGAGAGAGAGAGAGAGAGAGAGAGAGGGGGGGGGGCGAGGAGAAGCCGAGCAGGAAGGAAGGGAAGGGGGGTATATTGCTAAAGTACCTTTGTTGATCCTTGTATCCTCATCCGAGGGCAACAATTAGTTAAATATGCGAAAATAAAATTATTTGATTATAAAATAAAATACGCACTGTATCGGGCCTGCTGAGCATGGATTTTGAGGGGTAAATGGCGCATATTTTCTGCGTGGGGGTCTGGCTGGCTGGGTGTCAATAATACTCCGTAGATTTCGACCGTTTAAATATTTTTCATCGATTAAAAGCAAACAATCCACCGAAGAGGGAGGCGACATCTTAATGGGCACCATTGGGCGGGAACTTAAAATTGGGCCGTACGAAGGCCCATCTAGCGTTGTTTAAATGGGCCATGCACGATAGAACGCGCATTAGTTCCCGTGAGCTGGGCCTGGTGGCACCCTTCAACTAAATGGGTTATTTAGTTATAGGCCCTCCAAAATGTCAGACAATTAAGAAAAGGCTCCCATTTTAACAAGGCAGGCAGGAGGCTGGAATCGGGCCAAGTGAAGAAGAGCCTGCGCCGGTAGCAGACGAGAAGTCGCCTCTTCCTCTTCTTCCCCGGCCGGCCTTCGCTCTTCCCCATCCTCTCAGAGCTTGCACCGACTGGGTGATGACAACATCGTCTGCTTCACCTAACCACCCTTCTCACTCCCTGCGCGAGGTATCTTCTCTTCCCTTTCCTCTCTCTCTCTCTCTCTCTCTCACTCACACACACACACACACAAACACACATACATACACAGTGTTCCCCTCACTAATTTTTTTTTTCTTTTGCTTCTGACGATCACTAGGTCAACATGGCCGATGAATCTCCAGAAAGCAAGCCCGAGATGCTGCAGCTGTCGTCCTGGTGAGGTCTCCATCCCCTCATGATCTTGTTCCTCGTCACACGTGCCTCTTAATGGATCTGTTTTTCTTGTACGAAGTTCAAAATTCCTACCTCTTTTACGTGATCTCCATGAAGGAAGAACCCACCGTGTGTAGATGATTTCTCAGCGCAGATCAAAGCCCGTGAACTGTTGAATCGAATGGAAATCAGGCGCCGACTGAACCCTTCAAACCGATCGTTTGGGAATCAGAAGGATTTCCCCAACCATGAACAGGAATATTTTTTTTCTAGAGAGGGAATGTTGGGGGAAAATGAGAGCGGACTGAGAAATGAAAGTGCTCGGGAGAAACCCAAGGGTTTTTACATTTTCTTGTAAGAGGGACAATAGGGGAGAGAGAGAGAGAGAGAGAGAGAGAGAGAGAGAGGGAGGGAGACTCTTACAGTTTCTGTGATCGATTGATCCTTTGGAGGGGTTTACAGTTTGCAGGATCATGAGGGTTTATTCTTCCCCTGGGAAAGTGCACCCAAGACTCGTCTCCAGAGGGAGAATGGGAGGGATCTATGCGCACCGAAGCCTGTAAATAACTCCTATGAATGAATGAATGGCTGGAGGGTCCCGGAGGAAAATCTTGGACCCATTTTCCTTTCTTTCTTCCCTTCCAAGGAGAAATCAAAAAAATAAAAGAAGAAAACCCTGTGATTGTTCTTGTTTCCAGTTATTTTGGGTTGCAAAGGCATGATTTCATGGGTTCCTGAAGAAAAACGTGGACCCATTTTCCTTCTTTTTCTTCCCCTTGAAGGAGAAATCATCAAAAAAATCAAAGAAGAAAACTCTGTGATTGTTCTTGTTTCCAATTATTTCGGGACGCAAAAAGGCATGTTTTCAGAAACTCTGTGATCGATCTTCCTCAGGGACGCAGCCGGCACAACAGAGTACAAGGACAAGTACAGCAGGTACCAAGCGGCCTACGTCAGGAGGCTCAAGGCCAAGTACTTCTCCAAGAAGGCCTTCTACGGAGGTCAGCCTCCGCCCGCCTCAATTCTTTCTTTCCAGACACCATTTTTTTTTGTAGAGTTTCTAGATTCTACTCCATACATCACCTGAAATTCGGCATCCATGGGGATGATCCGAGATCATGTTCACACGAGTTGTCACTCACCGTTCTGCGATTGGTTGATTTCAGGGAACATATTCGACCAAGAAACGAATATAGATGGTGAAATTATAAAGTCCGGCAGGTAATGTCTATATGAAATCATGATGGAATTGCTTCAATACGGAATCATGAATGTTCGCAGGCTCTCAGCTGGTGTTTTTTTTTAAGTTCATTTCCTTCTCATTTATTTACGAATGCATACGAGAAAAAATTATTCATCCTGAGGAAGTCTCATCAAGAAAATAAATAAATCAAAGACCCACTTTTAAATCTTGGATTTAAAAATGGGTCTTTGATTTTTTTTATTTTTCATCACGTTCAGTTCCCATTTGAATCGGGGAATTGAATCGCTTTTTTTATTAAAAAATATAGTTTTTAACCAAAGAGAAGTAGAACTATTCCACTGCCCAAGATTCCAATGACCTGAAGGATCAAATCGGAAGTGCATCTTCTCGAGAAAATTTTATTTCTTGTCGATTATCGATTGTTGATTAGTCTAAGATTCAGTGATTTTCCTTCTTCCCCCAGGTGGCCTTGCACCAGATCATTCGCAGAGCCAGCGCGGTGCCTGCAAGATGCCGGAGCCTTGCCGCCGGCATCGGCCTCCGAGACCTCCTCCACCGGGGCAAGCAGGAAGCACCAGCAGCACCACCAAAAGAAGAGTGGCTGACCCGACCCCCGCAGCGTAGAGAGGAAAAATCTTGGGGGGGCTGTCGGCGGTGGAAGCTGACTATTTTTGGCCGGCAGGGTTGACTCACTGCCGCGCCAAATCTTGTTCGAAGAAGCGTTTTAGCTCAAAGTGCACTCGTATCTCTGTAAAAAATTGTCTCAATGCCGCCGTATCGAACAATGCTCGAGCGAGAATTTCAAGAGACGTATTTCATTTTTTGTGGAGAGTTGACCCTTTCTCCGTCGGATGAGAATCTGAAGAACACATTTTCCCGGCGGACGTGCATTAAATTTCTTAAAAATCGGCTCACCCCGCCAAGTATTTGCCCAGCTAAGAACTTGGAAAGGTCGCACCTTTTTGTAATAGCATGGCGCACCGCATCAAAACCAGCGCCCGCTTGAATCAGATTTTGAAAAGTCAACCTATCGCATCAAATCAAGCTTGAATGATATATATATATATATATCAATATATATTAAAAAAAGCAAATTGGCTCGCTGAATCCGATATTATGTATGATATGAAGAACTAGAGAAAGGTCTATCAGTTCAGCGGAGCGGGAACTGATACGGATGAGGTTGGTCTGCCATGTGATTCCCATTAAAACGAAGATATAATACGGCTCGAGTATGTGCACAAAAGAGTTGTCACAGAGGAGCTCATGTATCTAGAAAATTAAAATTAAAAATTAAAATTCAAAAACCTTAACAGCGTGAAACTGAGAATCTCTTGCCGGTTTTCCCATCAGAGATCAAAATAAAGTAAATATCCTGGATAATGTGGCCCAACCAGCAAGCCCATGAAGAAATTTATCGTAGTTTGTCCGATGTACCGAAAATTAATGGGGATCTTGATTTATTTATTCTTTATAATATTTTCCGTTGAAATCCCAAAATTCCTTCCCCATTATGGGCCTACCCTTTGTTAAGATCATTATGGGCCAAATTATATAAGAAATTTCGGATAAACAGAAGAAAGAAGGCTAATATGAAAACAAACCGACTGGATTGATGCTCCAAAAGATATTCCAGAGACAACAATATGCATTACGCCTTGTTCTTCTTCTTCTTCTTCCTCTTCTTTCATTCATTCATTCTTTCTTCATCCCTTTTGACCCCTCCTTGGGTCAAGAATACATCATGCCTTTATTCGAATGACAAAGGAACCTGTCATGGATAGAACACCCAGACATCCGACGGTCAGAACTCAATCCTGGGATTCTGATTCTCTTCTAAGCTGGGGCATTGCCGATGCTTAGCTCATAAAAAAAAAATGCAAAGTGGAAATAACCCGAACTGGATAAATATTTAGTCCAACTTACAAGCAGGAAGGTTGGATATATCGGCAGAGACAGCACATGGAATGCCTAAGTTGGTGAGGGCCCCCCTGATGATTCCACATGGGAAATATAGATGCATGCTTGTGGATTGGGCGGCCTGGCTGTCGGCAGCCAGTGAGGGAGGGCCCACCTGGGCAGAATCAGGGCTTTCAAGAGACTGATCGATGGATATGCGAGTGAGCCAACGGAATTGGTTATCTTGCAACACGAAGGTACCCTGCAAGATGAAGCAGAGATTCATATAGATGACACAACAGTCAACGGACGAACAACCGAACACACCTTGTGATTCGTTTTGAGGTTGTCAATCTGTTTCTTGAAGAGTTCTGACCAAAACTCTTTGCATATGAACTTGATGGCCTCTAGATTATCAGTGAACCTCGGCCGCTCCATTGTGTACCTGGAAATAATCAATAAATAACGGACATTATGAAGAATTCGTTCATCGTGCATAAATATTTCTACGGCAAGGTAATCTATGTCGAAAAAATAAAATCAAGATGGATGAAATTTCAGATATCAAAAAGCCGACAATGATTGTTGGGGATTTCTCCGAATTCATTGTTGTTTATTGCCAGAGGAAGGCTCGAGTTGTTCCACAACTGGGCAGAGAGAAGCGTAGTTCAAGAGTACCAATGAGCCGCCCCACCAGCAACGGAAAGTTGGAAAACGGAATGAAAACCCCAAAACGAAGAAAGGAAAGATCTGATGCATAGCCTTGACATAAACCTGAACCTTACCGGAACATTGGAGAGTTTAGCCGGGCCTATTAAATGCTATCTGATCGAAAATAGAAAAAGTTTATATATGTGATGCTCTACTTCACAATCTTCGATGAAGGAAGCAGTTCATCTGTACAATGCCAGCAGATGAAGAGGTGAGACAACTCGTCTGTCATCATGCGCAAAGGGAGGGTGCGACATCATGTGCAAGAGGGGCTTCGGACATTATTTGGTCATCATTCATGTCATCAGTGTAATTTAGGAGCCCCGAAATAAAAAAGCATCAGGAGAGATCTTAATTCTCCAGTTGGAATGCATAGCGTGCCTATGAATTCATTTAGTTCTGCATTAGGTTCCTCTAAGCTTAATATTAACCCATATTAAAAAATATAAAAATTCCACCAACTTACAATTCTCTGATTAGTTGAAGCAACACTTCTCAAATCTCGCCATTTAGATCCAGAAGGTTACCTAACAGAGGTCTGATGCCATCCGGTCATATTTAATTATAATACGCACCGAAAACGCCAGGGTACTAATAATGACAAATATGACATGAGAAGAGATTCATAACTAAAATAATCTGCCATAAAATAATCATTGTCGACGAAATATACCCATAGCTTTTGAGAAGTCGTTTGCAAGGCATTTCCCTTTAGATCTATAACTAAAATTCTGCCTTTGACCATTTGCATATATTTTGTTCATGAATTGTAGTGAGTGGTTGCTAATGCAAGATTGAGTTAAATCTTCACAATCATTTATGATTCATACCACTCTTATAACCGAGTAGTTCACTCCCATCTTTCTATTGCAGGCAGTATAACTAATCATGTCCCATATGACAACGAAGATCAAGGTTTGAATCATAAATCTGAATCCTCACAACTCATCAAAATCAGTTTCTTCACAACTTGAAAATTGATTCCCTCCTTTCAATAATTCCAAAAAGAAAAGAAAAGGACATTCGTCTTTTTGTAGCAATGTAATGCAATTAAAGCTACAAGAGGAAATGAAATATATCAATTCTTCATCTGTCTCCATACATGTGTGCACGCGGAATCAATCAACACAATAATGATTCTAATTATAACCAGAGTGTCATTATGTTGTTACAGCCCATGGCCACGCCGATGATGCATTTAGCCTCCCATCTGGATGTCAATTCCCAAGACCAGCACCCACTACAGGATAAGGTAATATAGACAAAAGTCATCTATTTCAACCACGGCAAGAATAAGGATATTTCCCAGTTCCAGGTTCCAAACACATGACATCAAGTGTTCTAATTGAAATTATCACCTTCAAGCTCTTCATGTAGCTCTCAAGCTATGTGAGACAGCATTCCCTAAAATGTATGCATTCTCCCGAATTCCAGGTTCAATCTATGGCTGCACCTGTCTAGATGAGCTCCACATTGCACCCACAACTGATCACGTCCAATACCAAACATACTAATTCAAAATTTCATTTGGCAGTACCTAACGTACTGATTCTAAATTAAATTATCCTTCCTCAAGCAAAGACACATCAACCTGAAACCCACCGTGGGTTCTTCCCAGTATCCTCTAAACTCATTTCTTCATCCCTTTCTCAACACCCGATCTGCCAGGATTATAGGCTAGGCCAATATTTGGGCTTTTCTCTCAAGCACATGGAATGACCACACATCAATATGGGTGAAGGAGACAAGCACACGCAGCATGAAGTCCACAGGTCTAATGCAAAACAACTCTATCGAGCCTGGCCTCTGCTAAGAGAGATCAAAGTGATCCAGAGGAAATGACAGCCTAGGAATCGTTCACATGATTTCTGACACCAGTTGCCATCCTCTACACAGTCTCTATTTTATCATATTTATCATCAACAGGATCATTATAATGATAAGAGTTCAGTTAGAACCGGTGAAGAAGTCATGTGCATTGCAATGTTTCAGGACCTACTATCTCCATGGCATCCTCTCTATGCAAGGTGATGCCAAGTAAACGATCAAGGCTGCATCAACATTACAGTTTCTGGACTTCACTCCATGCTTGTATAGGTTCAGCAGCATCATAATCCAATTTCTGCAGCTTTTGGCTGGGTCTGACAGGAATTGGTCCCAAAATGAATTTGGATTAGCCAATCATGTCATAAGGCTTGCAAATACTGTGTTTCCAAAAGTACTACATTTTGGCTGCTCTACATTAGCATTGGATTAGAATCAGAGAAACGGTGTTATCAATCCAACCCTCAGAATAAGGTTAATGAAAGATAAGGACTGATTTAATTTTTGACAATAGAGATTAGATGGATGTCTGACAGGGGTAATAGAGTATTTTACTATGGGAGAGAATTGATCTTCGGAAACTCTCATTAGAGTTTGAAATAAATTTTCAAAACCTATAAGAGCTGTTAAAAGCATACGGAAAGGATCTCAGACGTTCCATTTCTGAAAATTTCTTCCACCCTCTTACACCTAGACAAGTTTACAGATTATAAGTTTAATTTCCCACAAGTAGGCGAAAATAAAACTTGTCCATGAGCACCATTTCTCCAGAGAAAAAAAAAGGTAAAATATACACGTAATATCAATGATAATGGGTCTAAAACTCATAAAAATAACCGAACCCTTTCAAAACACATCAATAAATTCCTATTCCAACAGCAGCCAAATCCAAAGGAGCCGCGCAAGAAATCTTACCTATCTCCGAGAAACACTTAAAATTCCTTCACGAATAATAAAACTTCGAACAAATCCGGCGATAAAAACACGGAAGAATGGCAGCGCACCTCTCAGAGAGCTGCAGCCCGACCTGGTAACCAATAGCCTCGATTCGGCGGGCGGCGAGCTCTGGCTTGGTGGCGTAGAACCTGTCGCTGTACGCGGACACCATCTCCATGACGATCCCGTCCACGCAGCTCTCCGCCACCTCCCTCCCCATCGCCGGCGACCCCTCTGCCCTTCCCTCTCTCCTTCTCCGAGATCCCCTTCCCGCTCAGACCCCCAGCCCTCTCACTAGCCACCACCCCAACCATTCCGGATCCTGCCAGGTACGCCCTTTCACTAAAGGTTCGGATCCATCATGGATCATTTGCGGAAATCCACGGGCCCGAAACATAACACTGTAGCTCGATCCCGACATACAGACTGAAGTTCGATTTTTTCGGACATTTTTCTGGGCCCAAGTCAGGCATGGGCTAGTAATGGGCCTGGACTGTACTAGAGTCGCCGAAGGCCCAATGAAAATCGGAAGACTGAAGTGGGCATTACGAAAGGGAAGAATGGGGAGAGGAATGTGCTCATAGGCCCGCGGGCGGTGGTCCCTAGAGAAAGGTTCACTTAACGGTTAGACGGTCACCGTCCGTGTCAGAGCCGCTACGAGCCGTCTGATCATCATCACGATCGGTCCAAGATGGCCGGTGAAGCGGCACATCAGAGAGCGAGAGAGAGAGAGAGAGAGAGCGATGGGGACCACTACCAGGGAGAGTATAAATAATTTTCGGTTGTTTGAGAAATTACTGGAGAACGATTTTCCAATGATTTCATAAAATAAAAATTCTAAGATTTTTTAAAATAAAAAAAATTCGGCTTCTCTTTTTTTTTAAAAGTAGAAAGTCACTCGTTCTTCCAAAGTCAGCTGTCTTTTTATTAATTCAAGTATTTTCATTTTTCATTTAACTATCACGCTGACCTTTAAAAAGTATGTAAAAAATTAAATCCCTTTTAATTAATGGGCTCAATCTTTGCATCGAGCAGCAGTTGACTGCCAAAAGTTCGTTTTGACTTTCTAATTCAGGCGGAAGATGGAGTCAACTTTTTAAATCGAACCAAAAATGAACATTTCCTTTTATAGTAATAAATTAAATGCAACTCGTTAGATTGGATCTTACATGGGAAAGCTCGAAGAAGAAGGAATAGAAAACCAGAAGGAGAGAGAGAGAGTGTTGCCGACAACTGGGGGGGGGGTTCACTCCCCATCTGGCAAGAATTTCAGCGATCCACATGCCGCCGGATCATATCGGAGGGTCGCTCTCCCGCCAGCTTCAGTCGGCGGCCGTGGCGGCGGAGCGAGAGGGCCCCGCCGGCGACTGGAAGAAGATCCCCGGCCGATCCTAGCGAGCCCTTCTCTCTCTCTCTCTCTCTCTCGCTTCCGTCCTCTTCCTCGGACGAGACTTGTCGCCATGAAAGCGGCGGCGCAGCAACACGAACATCATATCTTTCCAACCTTGGCGTCGTCCGAAGTTGAATAATCCCACGTTGATGAGGAACAAACCGGCATCGACTCTTCCCAGTGAACGTATACTACTTCTGGATACACTTTCAAACCTGAGAAATGTGATTTCAGCGAACGCACAGAGAGAGAAAGTGGGCTCCCATCAGACTCATGAAACAGGCATGAATGACACGAAGGAAGAGACAGACAGAGAGAGAGCGAGCGAGAGAGAGAGAGAGAGAGAGAGAGCGAGAGAGCGAGAGAGAGTCCAATGTGGGAAAATTAAAAGACCACTTGGTTAATCTACAGGCATATAGAGTAAATACACGCTTCTTATTCATCTCCTTCCGCGTCTGATTTTTCCACACTCAAATCGATATTATCTAAGAACAGAGCAGAGAGGGCGCCAGATCTTCCGCTCCTCTCTCGTCCCTGCTTCTTGCGGAACTCTCCGAGTCCCTGGAAACGTTGACCGAGCCGCTCGATCCTCCACCGAATCCCTGCAACCCTCGGCCCGTCGGATTTGACCACAACCGGCCGACGATCATCCTCAACGGCTCCCCAGGATTTCTTTCAGCTGGTCGTCAAAGAGTTGATAAAAACTGTTAAATCAGAGGCCTCCTCCGAGGAGTGGGGCATCAGCGCTCGGCTTTCAGATGGCTGCCTGCAGAAAATAAAAAAGACCCACATCGATTATTCCTAGAGTCTTAAACCGGAGATTATAAAGATTTTATCTTGGATTAACATGGAAGAGATTCGGAGTATCACCGTGGAAATCTTGGGCGCCGACCTGAATATTATGAAGCTCCTCGGCCCAGGCGCTGGGGATCTGTGGGCCAAAAACAGATGGGAGAAAATAAATAAATAGATAAATAAATGGGGGTCAAAAATCTATTAATAGAAAGATAGGCCGAGAGTAGGATCAACCGCGGTAAATTAGGTCATTTTCTGAGAATCCAAGGAAAAATTGGCACCAAAATTTTTCCTTATTTTTTTTTATTTTTTTTGGAGCTAGAACATAGATGAAAACAACGGCTCAAAGATCCATCAGTAGAGAACGACCGCATGATGCGGGTCAGAGTAGAGAATCAACCCAGATCATTAGTTCATTTTCTGATAATCATAGGCAAAATGGGCACCATAATGGTATCAAACTTAGTGAATGATCAAATATAATTTGGGGGCGAGGCGATCATCCCATTGCAGAAGACTATCCCTATGCTTAATGGGGAATTTTTCATACATAGGACAAAGTTTTAGTTCTTATATTGAATGGAATAGTGGTGAAGAGAGAGAGAGGGGGGGGATATCACCGCACCTGATTTGCCGACTCCCCGTAGGTGGTCACGGCAGCGAGCTGGGCATTAACGGCCCTCCTGAGGGCATCCGAAGGGTTTCCTGTTCTAGGAATCCCTGGCTGGACCAAGGAGCTCTGCCCTGGATGCAACTGGGGAGGAGCGATCTGGGGCGGAAATCCGATCGAGGACATGGGAACGGAATGCGACTGGAGAATCTGGAGCACGCATGACCGATAAGTTACACCATGGAAAGCCCATCAGATATCATCGCAACCATACTAAAAATGGAAAACTTGGAGGGGCTATCTGGGTTTTGACTTCGATCACCTCCTTCAAGAAGAGCCCTTCGATGTTGAAGTCGAGATGAGGATTCACGGTCGCCAGCTTCATCGAGAGGAACTGTGGGAAGGGAAGGACAGAGAGAGGATCAGAACCCAGAAGCCCGTCGAGATGAAAAGGAAAAAAAAAAGTCAGAAAAGAGGAACAATTTAGGACACTAAGAACAGGAGGACGATCTCCACGGGCGGCATACCTCGACCTGCCTCTGAAGCGATTGAACGTAGTTGATGATCTCATCAAGCATCACAGCTTTCCCCGTGACCTGTTTAGGTTGAAATTACGAACTATGATGATGATATATATATATATATATGTGATGATTATTGAACTGGGTGGGTTTTCTGTTGATATGAATCTAATTCTATCCAACAACCTTGCTGCAACCTGGGACGAGATCTTGAAGAAACTTCATCCGCTCACTGATTTTCTCACGTCTGACCTGCGATTGAAATCAAACCCATCGAAGAAAAGATCAAATTGGTTTCTGAGTAGGCGAAATTGGACCCAAGGAGTTCGCCCCATTTGAAAATATCATAATTTCCTCCTGGAATGCTTACTCTCTCCGCGAGGCTGTGGCTGTTGGTGGCCTGCCCTCGCCGGGCTCTGACATGGACGTAGTCCTCTTTGGGCGGCTCTGCAGAGTCCTTGCCGTGCTCCGAGCTCGAGTTCTTCCGCTCATCCACCATTTTATTCCCATGGTTCTCCTTCGGGGCCTCCACAGAGCGCTGAGCGTCCCCCGTGGTCTGCTCCGGCTCCAACACCACCTCCTGAGATCAAGGAAGGAAGAACACGATGAGGAGACCGGCGATCGACTGTTCCTCAAAATCCTGCAGAAGACTGAGCACACAATGGAGATAATATCGTCGATTGGGAGGTAGAAATTTGGAGTGTCTGCTTCGCGTTTTGCCCCGAAATTCTGCGGAGAACTGTTGCTCACCTGGTTTCCCCTCTTCCTCTTCTTGGGCAACAACCCGGCGGAGGAAGGGTCGCCGGCGGTGGTCCCGGAACTAGGGTTCTCCTCCTGGTGTCCTCCTGCTCCGAGCTCATGATCATGGCGGTCGTCATTCTTGGGTGGTGCTCTCCCCGAGGTCGGATTGCTCCTCTGAGAATGAGCTCCGGAGATCACCACGCGAGGGCCGGAGCTAGGGCTCCCCATCCCGCCGGCGGCGAAGCCATTGAAGGAGGAGGGCCTCGAGGCCCGCTCGACGAAAGGAGGGTCCGCTGGGAACTGAGACAACCCGTGGAGGAATATTCCGGCGCCGTTCCGCGAGAAGAGGGCCCCGCCTCCGTCGGGCATGGCTGCCGGAGGGTTCCACGGCATGTCGAGCGCGGGCGGAGGGAGGACGGGGCTCTGGGAATTGGCGGCGGTCTCCCAGAGGCGGCGGCCGAAGGGGGCCGCCATGGCGGAGGAAGAGGAAGAATAGCACATCTGATCCCCTTCAGTGACCGGTGGAGGGCCGAAGAAACTCATCTGCGGGCTGCTGAATCTCCAATCACCATGGATGTCGGATCCATGGTAGCTCAGACGATCATCTCCCTTATCCTTCTGGCTGGAATCCATCCCCCTCACCGTCCCCACTCACAGCCCCTCAGAACCAGAAGGACCTGACCAACCGGGGTCCAATTTCGGAGAACCCTAATCGGAGGAAGAGGATGAGGCTAGAACCCAAATACCTCAATCGGCTAGCCGTCCCAGTCGAACAGGCGAAGAACACCGCAAAAATGTTGATCACCTCCGTGATTCAAACATGCAGAAATCGGCATCAGAGACGGCGAAACCCAGTTGGGGGGGAAATGATCGACGCCTGAGCTCCCCGACGGTCGGAATCAAATGAGAATCTCACCGATCGAACTGCCGAAGATGGAATCAGAAGCGGCAATGAAGCGGAAACAGGGCCGAGAATTCAATAAAAATGGCAGATCAAGGAGCTCCAAAAAGTCTGTGGTAGGGTTTGGATTGAAACAGGAGGAAGCGGAGGATCAATCCCTACCCAATGCGGACCGCCTGCAGACATGCATTGGATTCCGAGAAGACCGTGGGAAAAACACCAACAACCCGGATTGCCCTCCCTCCTCCCGCAGATCTCTCCACAGTCGGCAGCCGAGTTCTCACCCGCAGGCTGGTCGCCGGAGGAGCTCCTCCCCACCTCCTCCTCACCCCCAACACCTAAAAGCCAGAGTAGCAGAAGACCCACTTAAGATTCTCTCCACCCTCTTTCACCCAGCTCTCTCTCTCTCTCTCTCTCTCTCTCTCTCTCTCTCTCTCTCTCTCTCTCTCTCTCTCTCTCTCTCTCTCTCTCTGTCTCTGTGATATATATATATGTATATCCTGCGAGAGCACTATCCGGATGAGAGAGAAATAGCGAAGCGAGGGAGGAAGGGAGAGCAACGGGGGGTTGTCTTTACTTTGGCCTCGCTCGACTGTTCTCTTCTGCTCAGAAACCAACTCCCGCGGACCGATCAAAGATGAACAGTAGAGAAAGAAATAGAGAGAGAGAGAGAGAGAGAGAGAGAGAGGATTAATGGTAGAGGAGGCTTCCTCGCATTCTGACCCGCTCCGGTACAGAGTGGCACCATTAACCAGCCCCCACTCTGCTGTAAAACCATTTTACGAGGACGACTTGAAGACATCCGCAGAAGTTCTAGCCCACCTGCCTCTCTCTCTCTCTCTCTACTGGCTTCACCGGAAATCACCTCCGAGAACAATAAAAAACCTCCCATCTCTGTCAATCCCTTTCATCAAGCCTTGACCTTTCCGCGACTTTTCTCCCTCACTCGGCCGATCGCCAGATACAAGCTTGATCTGGCGCAGCGCCTCTGACAGCCGCCGACCCCGCCTCCATTAAACAAATCCCACGCCTCCTCCCAACTCTCTCCCTAGTCCACGTTGGCACACTATATGCTACGATGAGACGCAGGCGCATCGTCCTCAACGATGGGGCCTCTTTATCCGGTCGGGCGACCACGAGACGTCGACTTCTCCATTTTCCGAAATTATGTAAATACATTTCGCGTATATTTCATTTATTTAATATATTTTAATTTTAAATCTGAAAATAATCGGGCCCCCAAATCCAGTCGGTTGATCCAAAAAACCCTCTTTCTCTCTCTAAAGAAATGTTAATTGGTCCATCGATAGTCCAAGAACCTTAATTTTGATATTATAATTTTATTTTAAAATATTAATAAACTTATACAATTCCTAACTTCAAAATCATATTTTTTTATTATTAATATTTATTGTATAATAATTTTATTAATATTCCCTTTGGAAAGGATCCGTAAAATCCTGGACCGAATAGTTGGGTCGGATCAATACGGATCTGTACGTCGTTCCTCACTTGACCCGGTTGACCGTAAGGACCCGCCAATGAATGAATGCCCTCGGCTCCAGCAGACGCATCGGACAAATGTCGCACGTGTGACGCCGACATGTCAACGACATCTATGCCGTGGGTGACACGTGCGGACCCCCCTCCCCGGGGGGTACCGTCGGAGGGCTCAGATAGGGTTGACCGGGCTATGCAAGGAAATGTAGCTTAAGGAGGGGGTAAAACGAAATTTCACAATATGAGTAGTTGGAGAATAAATCTCACGACTTCGTAAGATGAACTAACCTTATTCTACATTGCTCCATATTTTCGCTCTTTGATTTTTATAGATTGTCAACTGAGAAGGATAAGTATAAAAATTAATAATTATTTATCACTACATTTTATTTGAAAATTGTCGTCATAAAAATGTCAAGAAATACATCCATTGTATTAAAAATCATAGAAGCTCGTATCATCTTGGGACTCAAAATCCTATTTTTTGAGAAATTAATCGCCTACGAAGTTGATATATTAATATTTTCTAGTTTCCATTATTTTTCATAACTTTAAAACTATGAATATTAACATGACGATTTGAAGCATTCATTCTGAAACTCTCTCTCTCTCTCTCTCTATGATCTGGGCCGGGCCCGGATAGGGCCTAGGCCCGATTAAGTCTTTTGACTACCCATGAATTCAACTCAAACTGGGAAATTTCCTCCCAAGATAGAGGATAACTCGAAAAGATGCTGACTTTTGATGACCCTTTTCCCTACTCACACTGAATAGAAGGTAATCTGGACGAGAAACCATCTGGGCTTATCAGCTTTTCTTTTTTTTTTCTTTTTTTCTGTTTGTTAATCAGGTCATTGTTTACCCAAAAAATACCCGACTTTCCTTGAAAAAGGTCAACGTTGACGATTTACCCTCTTGCTTGATCACCAGCTTGTAACTTAAAATATATTAAATTGATCGCAGTTCGGATCGGAAACCAGTTGGATTCTTCGTCTTCTAGCTCCCATCTATTTAACGAAAGCCCATCTAATATTTTTTCCTGAAAAATATCAACCCTTGAAGACCCTTTTGCTCGCTCCCAATTATATCAACGAAAAAATAGATCGAGCTGAAGGTAAATCTCATCAGAAACCACGTAGGTTCATCGGGTTTTAGGCTTGCTGTATGCTTATCTCCTCATTGTTCACAAAACCCAGAGTTGACTTTCTGACACCGGGCATTCTCGGCAAGGATCCCTTGGAGAACAAGTCCTCAACGAAACACCGGGGTTTCCAGCTGAAAGATGTAGACACCGCAGATAGAGATCACCGAGAAGAGGATCGCGAGCAAAGCGTTCTTCGACCTCCGATTCCCCCTCTCCGTTGACCTCTCATTCCCAGGCTTCGGCGGCGGCTCGGTTTGACCGCTATTCGACGCGGTTTCGCCTGGATGGGTCCTGCCGGGGTTATCATCCGAGATTGCCACCTGATGATAACCAAAGAAACTCAATCAGCTGATCTGATCTTAAGGCGTTGACCCCGATGATATTTTGGAAAGAATACCATAATTTCCACCGAAAATGGCCGCTGGGCAATCATACCGACATGAATTCTAGAGATTCTAAGATGAAATATGAATAAGTCAGATGGACTCCGATTTTTGCCAGTTCTTTGGATGGGAATGCATTCAACTGATCTTTTTTTCTTTGTATCTGATCTATTTTACACACAACAAGGTAATATTTTACCCATAACTTTCTTTGAATAGTTCAAAAATCAGGCTGGTCATTCAGGGGGGGGGGGACTTAAATCATGGATCCGGGTAACTATGCATGAAATGATCCATGTAAATAACCTTTATCTGGAACGTGAAAACAGGAATTTTGTACGCAGAATCAGATTAGGATGCGCATTAATATTTTTAAAAGATCGGGTCGAAAATAAAACCTTCTTCACTCTAATCGATACAATTAACTTAGTGAGTTAGCTAAATTACTTTGAAGATGAAAACATTTATAGCTGTGACCTGTGATGAAGGACACTCTCTCAAGGCGAGCTTCATTTACCAGGCAAGTGAACACGCTGGTCTCAGTGGCAGCGTTCTTTGCATATGCTGTGTTCGTCTCAAAAACAGCCTTGTGCAGCGAACCCTCCATGGTCTCTACTTTCCTTTTCAGGAAACCGAGTTCTTCACTTAAATCCGAATTACTCTCGATCAATAGAGAACACCTCAGCTCTGCATCAGCAGCTCTGACTTCTGCCTCATGAACCCTCGACTTCAGATCCTTGATCAGTTTCTTCATATCACAGCGAGCGGCAAAGATTAAGGTTTTCCTCTCCATTTGGGCGTCTGACGCCTTCTCTTCCAGATAACCCTCATTATGGCAGATCATTCGGCCAAGTCCCAGGTCAGCCTCAGGAAATAATTTACAGCGGGCTTCTTCGGATTCAGCCCCGGTTGGATCCATGGAGGAGGTTTCTTCAAGAATACCCATCAGATCTACAGTTTCAGCGCGTTCAAGGTGTTGAATATCCTGTTGATCTTCAGCCTCTTCCATGGAAACCATGGCTAGCTGAAGACGAAGATCAGATCCTTTCGACTTCGCATTCTCCTTCAACATCAAGGAACCTGAATCAACTCCAGAATATACGTCCTCGGTGAGTTCACCTGGTGACTTCAATTTGCTATCGTTCTGCGCAGATCTCGCCTCATTCTCCCACGGAACGGACCCATCTAAATTTACCCCAAGAGCCCGGATCTTTGGGAGAGATTCTCGTGATAAAAATCCCATTTTCATCTCGGAGGCGTCCCCAGCCTCTACCAGCTCAACCCGAATGGCCTGCATCGGTTCTTCTTTCTCCACCAGGTGTAGCTTTATTTGGACGCCGCTGTTATTCCTAGCGTCGGAGAGTTCTCTCTCCAGATCTAGCTCCCTTGCCAGAGACTTCTCCAGCATACGCAATATATGCCTTTGCTGCTCCACTGTCTGCATTTGCCAGTCATCTTCATTCCCTGACAAGAAAATTGCATCGAATTAATCAAAACCTATATTAGTTTTTATCGCTGAACAGATTTAGTGAGAGGAAAACACCCAGGGACTTACAAATTTCCTTCCTCCCAAGAGCCAAGGCCCCGTCAAATTTCTGTGTCTGCATTCTGATCTCGGTTACCTGCTCTTGAGAGTGCCTCAGGGATTCTTCGGCATGGCGCAGCTTCTCCTCTATTTCCTGTGCTTCGGCTCGTTCGTTCGGCCGAATCTTCTTAAGATTTTCCTCGATCTCCTTCTGGAGAGAGGCCATGAAACTGTCCAGTTCTTGGATCTCGCAGTCTAAGATCCCGGATAAGGCATCGAATTCGAAGGCTTTCTCGACGACATCGGACGAAATGGACTTGTTTTCCATATACAGAGCCTCGCAATCGCTCAATCTGCTCGTGGCGTGCATCAGGAGTATGTCGAGATTGAGGACTTTCTCTGCACAGTAGGCTAGATCGAGGTCTATTCGTGTGATGATTTCGCCCATTCTATCTCCGCCGGCCAAGATAGCTTCGTTCGAGCAAATAATGTGGTGATCTGTGTCTATGGCCATCGAATCTTCCTCTTCTTCCCTGCCAAGTAGGTCGACGAGAGATTTCAGTTTTTAATTACATGATGGATGGAGAGAAGAACAGGAGCTACAGATGACCCAATGAAAACTTTCCCCGCCAAACTAGAATTTTGATGGATGTTTACGGAAAAATCGCATCGGAAATTCATGATTCATACTTAGGAAACATCCATGAACGAGGAAGACAGGTCGGTTTGGATGGGAATCCTGTAGGAGGATAATAAGAAAATGAAAGGTCCGATGAGCCGCTGACTCAGTTGCACCGGCGGAGAAGGACGGGGAAACTCCGACCGCAGGAGCACTTCCGGCGACGGAGCGCAAAGATATAGGGCGGAAATGTGAGGCTCCTCTGGGTGGACTAGAGAGCGCCTCGCTGGTGAAACAGGAGTTCGTGGGTCAAGAGGAAGAAGGGACGGCCGGAACTGCCAGAAAATGATGAGGGCAAGCAGGAGGCGAATCCCCACAAGGACAAACCATCCGGCCGAAGAATACTAACCAGAACAAGATCGGCCACCTGCGTTTCTCTGTCCGCTGCTGGAGGAGGAAGAATAAGGTAGCGTCGTCTCCGTCTTCCTCCGGCGTTCGAAGGATACCCACCTAAGCCCGTCAATCGGCGGAGGAAATGGATCCTGGCTGAAGGAGAGGAAGATGGATAAGAGGGGCCAACGGAGAGAGCCAAAAACGCCCGTCCAAGACGCTCCTCGCCGCCGGCCGAAATACCAGGGAGAATGTCCGGACGAAGAGGAGGAACGATGACCCACTCGCTTCTTCTTCTCCTGGCCATGTCCATGCAGGGAGGGTAATCTAAGACCAAAATACCCCTCCCTAAATAGTAATATAGGGCCATCGTTCAAGGGTATTCTAGTATTTATGCCATATCCTGTCATGATCACATCACGGTCCGGACTGAAACTGAGAAGGAAAAATATTTTTAGGATTCAAGGAGACAAGGCCCCCAGGTTTATGGATTGAGCCGTTTCAAGAAAAAAAATCTTTAGCTTGTTCCAAGAATTTCCAAGGTCAAAGGCCAATTAACCAAAACCAAGTAAACTCGGTTCATGGTTCATCTGACCAGGAAAAACTTACGTGAGCATTTGTTTTGAGTGGGTGAATCAGGTCTCATGCAAACCTTAGATCCAATGAAAGACTCCAATATAATTAGCTGCAATAAGATCTTACAAAGAATGAGCTTCAAACCACATGAATATCCGTCCTTTGAACTTGTGAATGAATTTCACCTCATACTTGAGTGGGAGAAGATTTTATCATAACTATCTGCACATTGTTTTGTTCATAATGGCAAGTGAATCTTGAGGTGCTTTCTCATTCCTTGACTTTAATGAAAAAAAATACATTAGAAATGAATTGATTCATTACTATTATCTGTAAAGCACAATAAAATGGTAAATGATGTTAGTTTTATAATCATAAATTTATGATTGTGATTAAATATTTTATTGTTATCATCTAAAATCATAGTAAATTAATTTTATAATTATGTATCCTAGATAGGGATTAAAGAAATTATTAACATAATTAGTGATAAATAGTGAACACAAAAATATTAAAAAAAATCATAAAATGTTGGGTTGGGATTGAAGAAATTAAGATATTGAGCCAAAAAATATAGAGCCCAAAGACTATGGATTTCTTGACATTAACATAGCATTATGAAGTTTCTTTTTTGTATAAGCTGTTCTTATCTCCCTAAAAAAAAAGTGGGGTAAATAAAACAGCTTAATATGAATTTTCTTACTTAATTGTAGGCCAGGGAAGTGCTATAGAATTCGTCCATAAATAGCCCTCTGAATTATTGTCATTTACACCCCATTTGTCATTGAAATGGCACATCCTTTAGTGGTGGGGCACCTTGAGCCTATGATCTTTGACTGATGATATGGAATGTTACGTTCCTTCTACTTCTCCTGAAATCACACAAAGATTCAATTAAACAAATTAAATCTAAATTTCTTACCTACTTGCATTAAGGGGAAGTGGCATAAAATGTATACATAAATAGGCCTCAAAACTGGAGTCATACCAACAGCACATGCTCTACTTGTCAGGCATCTAGCCTCTACAATCATTGACTGATGATTGGGATGGTATCAGTCTTTCTTCTCTCCATGGGAATTTTTTTTAGGTAAAACAGCTTAAGATAAAATCTCTAAATAGCCCAGTAAATGGAAGTGATTAATACTACCATTTATACCCTCATCTACCATTGAAACAACACAAGTCATCTCTTGAGTATGCTTCTTGAGGTGCCTCCTCAAATGCCGATTCAAGATGCTCTTAGGCCTTGGTGACCCTTTGTGGCCTAATATGTTGTGGACATCATCTAGTGAGGATCTACTAGCTATGAAGATTGTCCTCAAGGTGAGGTCTGAATCTCATGAGAAAGCCATGTGGCTATGCAGCAAGTGGAGGAGAGATCCTCATATTATGCCATGCCATAAAAGAATTTCATGTGCCATACATCCACAAGTCCTTGTTTTGTTCCTCCTTGAAGTCAACAATTCGACAATCATGAATTATTGAAGTGGAGCAAGAGAGAGAGAGAGAGAGAGAGAGAGAGAGAGAGAGAGAGAGAGAGGGAGAAGAGAGAGAGAGAGATAGAGAGAGAGCACAAATTGATAGTATTATTATTATGATAGTGAGTTTTCATCAAGCTTTATTCTACAATAGTTATATGATTTCTAAAATCTTTAAGAGGTCACTATTGATGCTTCATATCTCAAATGAGATCATTGATTGTTTCTAATAATCAGAGTTATAATCCAAATATATTTGCATAAATATGACTAAATTTATTATGCTGACCATTATTTTTTAGCTAGCTCCAATGTCTTTACAATACATTTTTACGAGGTGTGTATAAATATTGGCTCTGAACTGATTGCTTAAATTTTGTTAAAAATGGGTAATTTAAATTATTTATTTGACGGTTTGTGTGAAATATATGCTTCCCATTTATTTTTGCTGAGTTAGACAGTCATTTTATTTATTTATTTATAAATACATAAATTTCATCCTAACCTGTTCCAAGTGTTGTTCTCATGCAGGGGCTGACCAAGCCCAAATATATGAGGGTGAGTTTACCCATAACTTCAATTTACATAAAAATCATTAATTCTCCAACTTTATTGTTTTTTATGAGCTCCTAATTCTTTAAATGAGCACTTGGGTGGCCCAGTCCACTAACAGAGCAATTCGACGTTTTGAGGCGCCGAGGTCGAAGCCTCCGAGTCGACAAACCCCTACAGCCATGGCCGAAGATCGGAAGATGGGAGAGAGGCGAGACCAGGACCAGCTCGCGGAAGCGCTGGCCGATCTGTTCAACAACGTCTCCGCCATGGTGCATGGCGACCTCCAGGTCATTCTCCCCCCCTCCTGCGCTCTCCGAAATCTCTCGTCGCCTCTTATCTGTTACCCTATGATTTAGCGCCGGTATGACGACCTAAGGATTCGCTCGAACCCTGTTTGAAGCCACTCGCGTGCGGATTCCCTGACACCGTTACGCTCCCCGGATCAAGCTTTCATTCTGCATCTCGCTTATCTCGTTTACATTATCATTATTTTGCGTTTTATTCGTCTCCTTGTTTAATTCTTGGTCGATCGGTTGTTTCTCGTATTCGATTGGGAATACGCTCGTGTATGATCTACTGAAACTCGTCATCCTTTGATACGACCCAACACAGAACCGACGCAAGAGGCTAGAGAAGATCTGGATTGAGAGTTAGAGAAAACAGACTAGAAGGGAGATAACAAGAGGGTTCGCTAGGTCGCCCCGGAAGGCTTTCGAGAGGCTTCCCGCTTTTCAAGTGACTGTCCGACTCTGCTCAATGGTGCCCCCCTTCCCCCGCGGCCTGAGGCCTCCCCCTTCACACAGGACGCCCTCCTTGAGGAAGTATTTTCCTCCTAAAATAGGTGACTCCCTGGGTCGTATCATCCTTACCTGGTGGCATAGCACATATTCGTTCGACCTTTTCATGCCGCTTATTCTAGTGAAAATGAGATCTGAAGTACCTTTCTTGCCGCTTATTCGACCCTTTCATGTGTTGCTTCTCAAGCTCAATCTAGACTGGTTTGGTGGATACGCATCAGGCTCTGGTTTCACATCACATATATATCCTAGATTTCTCAATCACAGAACATTAGGCCTCAAAACAGGCTCCCACCAAAGCAGTCACCAAAGCTTTTCTGTTGAAGAAGAAGAAGAAGAAATATAATCCTCCTCACATGATGGTAACATAAAGCTGTAGCTCAGAGCTCTCCGATTAGTTTTTTGCTCTTTTACTTTAGCCATTTAGGACCTGTCAGAGCTTTTGATTGGCAGGGCTTATGTGTCAGCCACTGATTTGTCGGGCATTCTTGATAGCCTTTGACTCTGGGTTACTTTTTGACCGGTTTTTACAACGGATGCTAATGCAAGGACTGACAAGTTTCTCATGCAATTCTTTTTATTTCTTCTGTGTCTTGTGATATCATATGGTTGGCACCCGTTACATTTCTACTAACCTCAAATTCCAACTTAGAGCTGAGTTGACCTGATTCTGAATTCAACCATGATCAATGGCCAAGTTGTTCTCAAATGTTGCGGTTTTTTAATATACAAAGTCAAAGTTAACATTTCCATCATTTTTCTCATTTGATCCTGTCATTATTCTCCCTGGCTATATACATGGTAATGAGCAGAAGGCTTAATTACCGTCTGGTAATCAAATAATTTGAGGAAAACTCTTTGTCTTATTATACATAGTCGTGATGAGCATAAATACTTCATATCCCAGGAACATGGATCAGCATAGGGTACGGATGATGAATATCTTTTTCTACATGTCGCACATAACCTGCATCAGAATTCTCAATATTTTCTTCTTCCTATCAGTCTCAGTCTCCTATCTTTGTATCAAGACAGACTTTTGGCAGAATCTCACCTTTTCTTTGACTTTACTGAGCATGATCTTCTGATTAGGGTATGAGCAACTCACTGGAGCTTCTGGAGAAGATGAACCTCCGAGTGGCTGAGGAGTACCAGGGTTTTGGCAACATTGCCGCCGGATTAAGATTGTTCGTCGAGCAACTCAACAGGAAGAACATCAGCTTTGAGGCCCACGTCCAGCAGATCGAGTTGATAGACAAACAGGTGACGGAGTTTGAAGCTGCTGTTTCGATGCTAGCTAGGTATGTGTCTTTATTGGAATCCAAAGTCAGGTCTTCATACCACAACTCGCCTGTATGACATCATTCATGTGCTGGTGAACTTTTTTTTTTTTTTGGGTGAAATTCAAGACGATGGTCTTATATGTTGCATGAATATTTGTTTCAATAAAGCCAAAGTTCAAGTCAGACATCATCAACATCAGGTGTTTTTCAGATTGGTAGCCATTTTTTTTGTTATTTCCTTCAAATGGTTGGCCATAGAAGTAGATCAGCTCACAGTTCTTTGGCTTTTCTATTTGTGGTATTGTTTGGTCGATCAATACAGCTCGGCTTGGGCATCTGGGTGGGTTAGATCTCATCAAATTTCCACACCGTCGGAGAGCGAGAGAGAGGAGAGAGAGAGAGAGAGAGATGAGTGGTCATATTGGTATTGTGGGATAGCCACGTAGCAAGCAGAGTGAACTTTGGGGCGCTTCTCAGTCAGGTCTTACTAAAGCTCAATGGGGTCTGGCCAGTCATTATTTTATTCCCGTGCTTATTTTTTACACCCCAAACTCGGAGGGAACTCTTCTCCCATGCCTCCTCTCCACCTTTGGGTTTTCTATCTTCTTCCGTTTCAATGGCCGAGATACATTTATCTATTAAATAATTTGCCTCGCTCAACCCAGCATACCTTGGTGACCACGTGAATATAATAATATGCGTCCCTCTGTACGTTTAAGAAGATCATGCCAGCATCGGGCATCCTCAGTCGCTCTTTTTAATATAACCACACCAATCTTTTTCTGTCTCAGTCTCTGACTTGTCTGTTTCGCCATGTCTTCTTCGGCGCCGGAGGGGGAAGGCGGCGGCAACAGCGGTGAGGAGGCGGCGCCGCCGCCGCCGCACATCCTTGTGTTCCCTTTCCCGGCGCAGGGGCACATGATCCCGCTGCTGGACTTCGCCCACATCCTCTCCTTGCGGGGGCTCTCCGTCACGGTCCTGGTGACCCCCAAGAACGCCCCTCTTCTGCAGCCCCTCCTCTCCCGCTCTCCCGCCGTCTCCCCCCTGGTGCTCCCCTTCCCCTCCCACTCCTCTCTCCCCGCCGGCGTCGAGAACACCCAGGGCCTCCCCCCGTCTTCCTTCTTCGCCATGATGGGCGCCCTCGCCGGCCTCCGCGGCCCCCTCCTCCGCTGGGCCCGCTCCGCCCCCCGTCCACCCGACGCCCTCATCTCCGACTTCTTCCTCGGCTGGACCCGCGCCGCCGCTGCCGAGCTCCGCATTCCCCGCCTCGTCTTCTGCCCCTCCGGCGCCGCCACCCTCTCCATCGTCCACTGCCTCTGGCGACAGATGCCCCCCCGGCCGCCGGGGGGCTCCGACGAGGCCCCCCTCGCCTTCCCCTCCCTCCCCGGCGCCCCCGTGTACGCCTGGTACCAGCTCTCCCCGACCTTCCAGGCCTTCCGCGAAGGGGACGAGCTATGTGAGTTCGTCCGGAGGGGCTTCCTCGAGAACATCTCCAGCTGGGGCTACGTCTTCAACTCATTCACCGCCGCGGAGGCGGCCCATCTGCGCCACCTCCGGGCCGATCTCGGCCACCACCGCGTCTGGGCCGTGGGGCCCCTGCTACCCCCCGACGACGCCGCCGACCGCGGCGGTGGCGACGGCAACGGCGACGGCGACGGCGTTTTGGCCTGGCTCGGCGGGCGGGCGGAGGGGTCGGTGGTGTACGTCTGCTTCGGCAGCCATACGAAGCTGACGGCGGCTCAGGCGGCGGCGGTGGGGGCGGCTCTGGAGCGGAGCGGCGCCGGGTTCGTGTGGAGCCTCCGAGGGGCGGAGCCGCCGGCGGAGTTCGAGGAGAGGACCGCCGGGAAGGGGGTGGTGGTGAGGGGGTGGGCCCCGCAGGTGGCGATCCTGAGTCACCCCGCCGTGGGATCGTTCCTGACTCACTGCGGGTGGAACTCGGTGATGGAGGGGATTGTCGCCGGAGTCGCCCTCCTGATGTGGCCGATGACGGCGGACCAGTTCTACAACGCCCGGCTGCTGGGGGAGCTCAGAATCGGGATCCGAGCCTGCGAGCGGGCGGACGCGGTCCCCGACCCGGACGATTTGGCGCGGGTCATGGCCGGATCGGTGGACGGGTCGGGGTCCCCGATGAGGGCCAGGGCCCTGGAGCTCCGGCGGGAGGCCGCGGAGGCCACGAGGGAAGGCGGCGATTCCCACCGCCAAATCAGCGAGTTGGTGGACGAGTTGCGCCGACTCAAGCGGAGGCCGTTATAATTTGAGAGTCAACGCTCTACCTCTCTGTCTCACTCTCCCTCTCTAGCCCCTGCTTCGACATGTGACGCGCGGTTGAGAATTGATTGGTTCACCGGATGGACACAATCTTCACTTAATCTATCACAATGCATTATTGAGAAGCTTTTATGACTAGACTAATCATCACAGGCATGGTAAATCATGGTCTTGGAATTAAATTGAGAAATGGTATCACGATTCAAACTGCAAGTGAAGATCTGACTCCCGATCATTCAAGTAATTCTTCGACCGAAATTTCTGTCAGGTTTACATTGTATTCCAAAACCAAATAGAATACAACAAAAGGTGCAAGGAAATTCAAAGATTTTGATTTTTTAAGTACTACATTTGGTAAAATGGTAAGAAAATCGACAGCAATTTTTCTAGGAGATCCAACAATAGCTTTGACCCATTTCTCATTAACACAATGTCATAAGTACGATGGTAGTTATGATAAGAATTCAAGACAAGAAATGAGAAGTATTAAGACATAAATTTGATTATTATTCACAGTAAAACCTCATTTGTTACTATTCCCACAATGAACCATATATACCGAACAAGGTTTTCTTGGGATTTATGTAGGAATCAATGATATGGTATTTTATTGGAATTTAAGTTAATAAATAAATAAATTTTGGATTCATTATTTCATCATATCACCACCATAACACTCATGATAATTTAGCATATATGATAAGTATATATATCCAAGACCCTCCCACCATTTGGGCAAGAGCTTCAGATTGTTATAGCCTTCATACATGTAGATATTATATATATATAACTATATAGATATACATATATATATATATATATATATATATAGAGAGAGAGAGAGAGAGAGATAGAAGGCTCCTCATGGACTTCACTACAAAATGCTCCTCCTTCGATGGCCATTGATATCACTTTGCTCATTGTTAACAAAATGATCAATTTTTGAATATTTATGAACTAAACTCAAAATAAGAATGAGAATTAATTTTAGTGAATTCATGTTGTCTTCAAGGATGATGGTCAATCTCACTAAAAATTTCTTTTGTTCTAAATAATTTATTGAAACAAAAATAATCTTCTTTGCACTTTACATCTTCCAAATTGGTAGAGCTCTAAATCCTTTAATTTTGATGTTTTCTCAAGTTCATATTTAATAATTAACTCAAGACATGCAAAATATTATAAAGAAAATGATAGATAAAATAACAGAAGTACACCTAAATTTGAGAAATACATGGGAGGAGAGAGAAAATATAACTGCCAACGAGGTATCCCCACTAGTAGTGAAACAAGAAACATTTTTTATTCAAATGATGTTAAAAACTAAGTAATGCTTCTGTATAATATACTAAGATGATCTGAACAAGGTCTATTTTTACCAGAAATATTAAATGAAATAAATCAACAAACTCATCCCTCCATGTCACCTAGAAATAGAGTATCATTGCAATGGAAATTCAATAGAAAATAGATTAAAAAGTGATACAAATGTGAATTAAAATACTTAATCTTGTCGTATGCCTATCACCCAGATGAATAAATAAGTCAAAATGAAAATAAAATCGAATAAAAAAGAAAATCAAATTTGCAATCACCATCAGTGACTTTGCTCCTATGTCACTCGTAAATGGACTACTATAAAATCAATATAAAATCATCTAAAAAGCAGCAAAAAAAATGAAGCCGAACCTTAATCTCATCATCTACTTGTCACCCATATGAAGGATTAAGAAGTAATGAAAATGAATACAAATTAAAAGGTAAATCAAATTCATAAATAACAAGAACTTAAGACCAAATGTCATTCATTCTGCACATACCAAGTTCACAAATAATTGAATTAAACCTATATTTCGGAAGGGGCTTTATGAGTATATCAGTCAATTATTTTGATGTTCCAATGTAATGTGGTTCAATGTCCTCTTTTTGGATATCACCTCTAATAAAATTATGTCTATTTTTTATATGCTTAGTTTGACAGTGAATAATCTGATTCTTTTCAAAAATAATGGCACTAATATTATCATAATAAATTAGTATATTGATGTGCACTTATCATTGTGTTTAAATATCTATTATCTAATAATATTTATAACTAAGACTTAATAAGATATTAGGATATATATATGTCTTAGGTTGAATATAAAGAAATTGATTAATCTATCATGAAAAATTAATTTAGTTTATAGAAAGAATAAAATAGAAGTATAAGGTGAGAAGAATAAAGAAAGTGGATAAGGGAAGGAGGAAAAGAGAGAAAGAGAAATCTCATGAAAGAGAGAGAGAAAGAGAGAGAAAGAGAGGAGAAGATAAAAGAGATCTCACAAGAGAGGGAGAGAGAGGGAGAGATCTCACAAGAGATAGAGAGATTGATTTAGAGAAAGCAAGAAAAGGAGATATATCAAGAGAAAGAAAGAGAGGGAGATTGATCGGGAGAGAGAGAGGAGAGAGAGAGATCTCACAAAAGATGGAGAGAAAAGAAGAGATCTCATGAGAGAGAGAAATAAGATGATAATAAAGAGAGAAAAAAAACACAATCAGCATGTTTTACAATAACTATGATTCTCGGACAGATGTGTGCTCGAAAATTTACACACCTTTTTTAACACTTCAACGCTCATTAATCAGTCTTTAATCTTACTAATTTCAGATTCAAAAATAAAAAATACTCATCATTCGTGGAATGTTAGGAACACGAGTACTTTAAGGTTCGACTGTAAAAATCAATAGAAAATGAGTTGGGCATGATCTTAGCTTGATCTCATATAAGTTTAGGAGGATTCCAAAAAAGAACGAATATCATTCATCAAGATTTGAATGTGGTCTACTCATTTTAATTGACATATGTATGAAGTAAAAATTACTTGTTATAAAATATAAACAAATGATGAAAGTATATAAATACATGTTGAAAGTAAGAAAGAAATCATTGCCCAAGTTTACTCTATCTATAGGGCAACTAGAGACATTAGTGTGGGAACTTGGTTTCATCCAGTCATGCCACACCATGCTAAAAGTCATAGAAGTATTGTTCGAAAGTGTTGCACTGCTTGTCGGAGAGATTTGTCGAAAAAAGTGATCAACAATATTGTCACTATCATTTGGGGGGAAGAAGAGAATAGCTAACTACTCGCCAAAAGACATTTAGTGTAGTCGATGAAGGAAGAAACGAGCTTGCTAATCACCAGAGGAATTGATCGTATAAAAAGAGGAAAGAATAGATGTTATAATCACAACTACTGTCAAGATTTTAAAGATAATCTATAATAAAAAAATTTCCAGATGATAATTGAGAATTATCTTTGTATGTATAATGATAATACATACAATAACTTAAGTTCTCAATATCATGGTGCTTCATGTGCCGTTGGATCAAGTGTGCTTGGTCACGTGGCACGTTGAATGACATAGGATTAATCCACCACAAACCACTATCGACCAAGAACTTAATTCTCTAGTACTATAGCACTTCACTAGTCGTCGGATCATCATATATAGATGTGTGTGTTGAGTGACATAGGATTTGTGAACCACCAATAGAATGTTTTACACTTCAAGTATTGTGGCAATTTGCCCACTGTGGGATCTACCTTATTTAGTGATGTGGCCCTCTAAATGTCGTGAGATCAAACCACCCCAAATCATTGTCTTGAAACAAACGAGAGCATTTAGTCCCACATCAAAAGTTTTTCAATGATTGAGCTGAATATATATCAAAGCTACATTCTTAGATATCCCTTCTCCCAAATAAAATAATACCTAGGACCATCTTGGGAAAAGGTAATAGGTGGTCTGCCCTTGCGCACACACGTGTGTATGACACTTCCTACTCCACGACTAGTTGTACCTCGAGATGTGGTAGTGGAATGACACACATGTGTGAAGCGAGTCCTTAGCCACTCGAGTCTAACTCGTGGCTCCTTTGATATGGGTCCACCCACTCGAGCACAACGTCCCTCTAAGTCAACTGTCAAGTGCCAACTTGTTAGTGGGTGGTGATATTTTTTGTTTTATCTTATATTTTTTAAAAATAAAAAATTGTGTTAAGTCCTTTAACTTCAAACTTTTAAAATTAACAATATATTACTTATTTATTCTACAAGTTTACACACAAAAATAAAATAATAAAACTATTTAAACATAAAAGATTTAAGTTCAACAAATACCCCCAACTTTGAATATTGCTACTCCCTAGCAATAAGCAAAAGATTTATACATTTAAAGTTATTTATTATTTTTTTTAACTTGAATCATTTATTTTCTTATTTTTCCACTATAGATGTTATTCAAATAAATATTCAGATATTCATGTGATTTGAAATACTTAGCTATAAGATCAAAAATGAAAAATGATTCAATATTTAAATGAATTATTCTAAAGATATTCATCTTAACTTTCATTCTCTTCAATGCATGAAATTCAACATCTTTCATTGTTGGCGATCACTAATTAAATGATCAAAAGTTTACTCAAATTTTCAAATTATTTTCAGCCTTCTCTTCTAGATTCATGCACCCAAGTAATGTATTTCATTTGTCTTTTTTTATTATTATTGTTATAAACATCATAAGTAGGTAGCTTTCTCCATATAGTTTCTTTTTCATGTATAAATCTCACATGTGGAAAGTCTCTAGAAGACAAGTGAGAAATCTTCATATAAATATTTACACTCACTTTTTTTAATTGTCTTAGTCTCACATATAGAAAAGTCTCTATAGGACAAGTGAGAAATCCTCATATATATTTCTTTTTCGTAAGTTGGGTCTTATACTTTGTGCCATATGATAATTTATATATATATATATATGGTCAACTACTTGAGATTCTTTATACTAAGAATGTCTAGCTTCCAATAATTTTTATACAATTTCAAGCTCTTCACATCTAACTTCATAATCCCTACTAATTCAAAATGTACTATTAATTTTTATATGTGAATTCATAACATATGGATCATAATCATTAAGATATCTTATGAGAATAT